ATATTTGTGGTGTTGGTGTCGGGTTTCCTGCTGATCGGCCTTGGAGGCTACCTGGCTTACCGGAAAATTAACGAGCTGTCGAGGAATATTGGCCGGATCCCCGAGCTCAGAGATGGATTGCACCACGCTGTGAATTCACAGACTCACATAATTGTCGAGATGAATTGTAAGCAGGGTTTCCCTTACATAGGCGTAACCGTGGTGGGCCGCCACAGCTGAAATCCCACCGCCACGCCTACAAGATCCCAGTTTTTTTTTTTTTTTTTTTTTTTTGCGCCGTTTCCCGAAGAAGCAGTGAGAACTACTATGTTGTCGCTTGTGATCACAGCCTGGCGGCAGCAAGGAGGAGCAGGCAGGGCAAGGTGAAGTTGCAGCATAAGTTACTGAGTTTAAAATTAGAAAGGTAGCAGTGGATATGATGCTTTTTGGTTTACATTTTCAATAGCATTAAGATAAACGAGTGTTGACAATCTTGACAGGTTTTCCTCCCCCCACCAGGCTAAGCATCACTTGTTCATGTAAAATGTATTTATTTTTTCGTGTCTGACTTTAACCGCATCTAATACTGTATTACGGCGTGAGCGTAACAGCGACAACTTAAGATTGATGTGTGAGCAGCCTGAGAGGTCGGGTTTTTTCATCTGAACCCTTAAAACCTCCAGCAGGCTATGCTGCACTATTGACGTGTTAGTTAGCGCTGCGCGCTAACAACAAAGAAGAGGTGTTATTTTCCCGCTTCAGAAGAAGCGTCCAACGTGTTTTTATGCTTTCGCAGAGACATGTCACGTCCAGTGGCGGCTGGTGAAAAATATTTTTGGTGGGGCTGTGCTATTTTTTATTTTTAAACAAACTTGTGCTTTCTGAGCTTTGTGCACAACTTCACTATTTCCTGAATTAAGCACAGCTCTTTTATTTCCTGTCTTATATCATTGGACAAACTGATTAATCCAGTGTGTCTGACTATTGGCACACTGCCTTGCGGACCAAGGTTGAAAAATACTGCATTAAATTGCACATAAAATAACATGACCATAAATGGTAAATAGGCAATGCAAGAGGCAAGTAACAAAAACATTTTGTTTAATTTCAACATTTGAGTGAACACGAAAAATTATGAGCAGGTCACTGTTACAGTAATGGTAGTAAACACTAGACAAAATGCCAGAAATTTACACTGTTAAATATTTCTGGAGTGTTGTGCTGAGGTCAACTTTATACAAAGATCAAGTGGATGCATTTGTGTGTGTCTGATACCTCATTTGTACAGAAATTTTGCGCTTCTGTCCTTCTGAGTGGCAAAGCTCTCGATTAGCTTTTTATTGAAGTCAGGAATGTTTGTGACAAGCTTGTTTTTCCATGGAGAGCATGGCAAGAGCATTCAGCCCATCCTGTGTCATGGTGTTCCTCAGGAAAGTCTTAATCCTCTTTAAAGTAGATAAATAAAAAAACAACAGATAAGTACATAGGAAACACTTTCATAGGAAATAATGTCATCAGTATCCTCTTACAAATGTCATATTTCCCAGTTTTTGGGACAATAAAACATTTCTGATTCTCAATCAGATGTTTTTACATTTGAGGTAAAAACATCTAATTGAGAATCAGAAATGTTTTATTGTCACAAAAGCTGGGAAATTTGTTTGCTGCAGCAGAAGTGTAACAAGTAAAATGGAATCAGATTGATGTATGTATAAATTTACATGAAATACACATTTACCTGATTAAATATGAATAATAAGTATGTGTGTTGAAATTAGTTTTTACAGTTATTGCACATTAAACATGTTATTAAACAAATGTCCCAGTTTGTGGGACAACCGAGGATTTCTGATTCTGATTGTCTTGTTCACAGAAATGTAATGTACAGCTTACCTCTGCACCCAGCTGCTGTTGTTCTCCCTGGCCAAACGTCCTCCGTTTCCCTCGTCGAGCTGCATGGCAATGTTAGCTCTGCCTAGCATGGCTAGCTTCACCGTGTTGTTGTCCATGTGTGCCCGGGATGACTCGTGTTTCTTCACCTTCTCCGAAAAATGTTTCATGTCTGTAACTCCTGACTCAATCCATGCCTTATCTGTCCCAGCCGTTTTGAATAACAAACACGGAAAGCAAAATAACGCATTAGCTTGATTGCATCCAGATAGCCAAGCCTTCCTGGTGTACCAATTTCGGGAGAAGCCTAGTGTGTACAGTTTACCTCTCTCCTTCTCCTGCTGGCTTATCTTTACGTCGGGCTGATCTGGTCCAAGCTCTTTGACATTAAGTTTTTCCACCATAGTTCTCCTCTCAAACGGATACTGGAGAAGAGACCGAACTGAATTCAGTGGCTGCTGAGATCCGGTATCCATGCTGGTTGTAGTCACTGGCGGCGTCCATGTTACATCTGCGTCACGACCAAAAACGACTCTGCCGAGTTCTACCGAACACCAACGAAAGCCTTTGGCGGTAGCTCTATCGCCCATCATGCTTCTGAAACAACGTCGACGCTGATTGGATACATTCCCATTCCTACCCTTTGATTTTCTTGTCAGCAATTGGACGGCTGGTTGGGCAATTGAAACACAGCCCACAGCCTCCACCGCTCAGCAGAGACCGGCAGAGACCAATATATATATATATATATATATATATATATATATATATATATATATATATATATATATATGATTTATTTTTGTTACAAAACACACAATTAACTTAGAATATGTGATTATTGTTAATTTTATTTATTTTTTTAAACAAAAATTAAAAACACTGGGGAAAACCGGGGGGGGGGGGGGGGGGGGGGCAGCGCCCTATCGCCCTCTACTGGCCAGCCGCCACTGGTCACATCGCTAAGCAAGCAGAGCACGACGTCGCCTCGGCTCGTTCACCGCTGAGCCGGACTGAGCTCTATAACATTGACCCAGCACAGCCACTGGGTCGTTGGAGCTGCCCCGTAACTGCCTGATGGAAAACCAGTGGGTTTCATCAGACTCGTAATGTTTCTTGTTTTTGCTGGGGACCCCCTGTATTTTACCGCTCCCTCCTGCAGTCTTCCCCTATTAAAATTTAAAATGATTCTGTAAATTCCGTGTATCAATAGAAAAAATCTCTGTCTCTGCCAGCTGCAGTAAATGTAGTCTTCAAATAATAAATAAGAGGTGCATTTACCTGTGTATCTGCTTCGATCCGCATTAGTGATATTCTCAGCACCAGAACAGTGAAGCAAAGAAACAGATTCGTGAGTTTGTTATAATTTTATTTATTAGGTGCATCTAACCTGTTCTATTTTTCTCTGAAATGAGATCAAATCAGTGCTTCTATGGGTTGTCTCCACTCTGCACTAGAAATTTTTACTTTATTTAGAGACGTGTCATAATTTCTCCCCAAGCCTGGGCAGGACTGCGGGAAGACCGCTGAAACGTTCCAGGGTCACTGCAACCCTCCAACCCTCAATGCTCCTCCCCCTATCCACACTGAGGTGACATGTGCTGCTTATCGTGGCCTGAAGTAGGGATAGTCCCAACCCACCACACCACCTAGTGGACACTTATGTTGTGTTGTCTGACGTCTGTTGCATACCTGTCTGAGGTGTCTTTTTGGTGGAGGGTAACTCTGAAGTGCCTTTTTTTCCCTCCACCTGAACCAATCCTCATGTAACCCTCTTACCTCTATTAAGGTAGCGCGACTCATGGTTGCGAATGACCACAGTCACCAATTCTTGTCATGTGTCTTGCCCATGTATGTCTGATCTCTTAATTGTGTGTACTGAAACTCTAATTTCCCTCTGGGATTAATAAAGTATCTTTGATTGATTGATTTATTGATTGATTGTTTGATTGAGTGATTGATTGATTGATTGAAGACCAACAACCAGGTTGTCCGAAACGTGTTATTGATGGCGGGTTTGAGACAAATGCAAGAGAACCACTTTATTATTATTATTATTTTTTTTAAATCTCCATGATATATTTACTCTATAGATATAATGAAAATATAGAGAGGCAGAGAAATGTTGTTTTAGAATAATTTCTTTTCCAAATTTACTATTGCAGCTTTAAAGATCCCATTTAAAACTTGATCTTTGCTAAATTTTCTGCTGAGTAAATAACACAGTTTCCTGTTTTGACTTTGGGAAACGTTTTATATAAAAAATGACGGGCCTTAGCAACAGGAACCCACCTTGGTTGTTGGTCGAGGGTTTTCAGCAGCAGCAGCATTCACAGCACCGGAGATTGCGCCGTCTAAAAATATCAGTAATAATTTCTGTTTTTAATGTTACATAAACACAAATTAGTTTCCACAAACGCCACGCAGATTTCAAATAAATCACTCGTCTACTTGAACAGAAGAACCGCTTGTCTGCTTCCGGAATCAAGACTCCTGAAAAGTGCTGGCAAGATGAACCTCTGCACATTATCACCTATTGAATAAATACTACATTTTTTCACCATTTTGGGAAATAATTAACAGTTAAACAATGTTTTAAAACACTATTTGTCAGAATCAAATATGAAAATGCATCTAAAGAGTTGAATGAAAATGATCCATCACAGGATGATGGAAATGAACGGAGGTTCTGAAACAGTGAGAGAAGCTCAGACCAGTACAAGGTCAGATGAGCTGAAACAATGGCAGAACTCCTCCAGAACTATGAAGTAGGCTGACAAAGACGTATTCCTGCTGAAGGGGCTTCTAGCTTTTGGAGAACTTCTGTTATAATGTCATGGTGAAGTCTGATGTCTCTTTATTGCTCCAGGTCAGAACTTGGTAAACTTTCATTATGCCTCACTAGAATGAGGATTTACTGCTGGACAGTAAAGGCTGCAGCAATAATAGTTGTTGCTGTCATTATTTTAAACTGTGTGATGCATAGTTTTAAAGCAACACAGTCCTACCTGCGCGTGGCGTTGTGACGTAAAAGCCTTTTACATCAGCCCAGTGTTCCCAGTCAGCTTAAGCAATAGTGTGTGCGCGCGCGCTGGTGTTGGAGTTGCGCACGTGGGGGTGATGGTCGGATCGGTGTGTGATTGGTCAGCGGTAAGGACGTCTGACAGGCGGAAAAGTATTTTAAACTGCTGCGGGTAGATCAAAGATCAGAACACAGCGAGCCGAGCCCAGCCGAACCGAACCGACGCGAGCCGAGGGTCGTTTACCAAGAGGAAGAGGCGCGAGGATGAATCTGCCAACTGTGCGACAACTTTTTCTTTTGTGTTTATTCGGTATTTTTGGATGTTTGAACACAGGTGAGTCCATGTGTCAGTTAGCTCATATCAACATTTAAAAATGACAGAAAACAGAAAATAATAATCTGGGATGTGATCGGAGCCCCGGAAAAACGCGGTTTAGCTCTAATCCGGTGCAAACTGTTGTTTTGTATCAGTGTTGAATCATTTAGACACAACACCGGCAGTGAATGTGAGAGTGTGTGAATAATGTAAGAGCCTAGAAAAGCGCTATGCAAATCCAATCTTTAATAATAATAATTATTATAATTATTATAATTATTATAAATGCTATTATTGTAAATATTAGTTATTTAAAAAAATCTATATTATTATTGTTGTTATTATTGTCATTATTAATAATAATGTTGCTGTTATTATTATAACTCTTATTATTGTTGTTGTTACATAGATAATGAATGAAAGAAATATTTAGAACACTTTTTTTCCTTATAATATTTCTTATAATAATATTTAGTCATGTGTGTGTGTGTGTGTGTGTGGGGGGGGGGGGGTAAAGATCAATTGACAACTTTAAAGACTTAATAGCTCTCTATAACAGATGACTGACCTGAAACAAAGGGTTAAGGGTTCGTTGTCTTCCAGGATATATTAGTTTAATTTTCTTTGGCATTTTGCAAAAATTCAGCTCTTTGTTTCCACAGGACACGTAGAAAGCACATTTAGAGAGAATCAATACATAATCTGAGTTCGGCACAAAAGTGCTGCAAATTTAATGAATCAGTGCAGCGAAAGAAGCTTTTATACATAATGTATGGCATGCAGCATCATGACACTATTAGGTAAGAGTTGTTACACAAATACAAACAAACGCTAAAGTGACCATTTTTTTAAATCAACCCTGATTAAGGACTTTTAAATAGGTCTTTAACTCAAGGTCACCATTTAAATTTAAATAAATAAAACAATTCAACTGTTTTTGTTTTTTTCTGGAAACAAATCAAGTCTGTCATGATCAAAGACAGGTCGATTCAAACATGCTTAGCTGAGACCAAGCATGCTCATTTAGTCCGAAGCCATAGCCAGTCTGTTGGAAATCAAACCAAACCAGAAGGAAAACATGGTGTAAATCTGAGTTAGACGCTGAGCAACTGAGAACAATCGTCATGTAAGAGGTGACAGGTGGGCGTGGCAAAGTCAGCAGAGAAGAGGAATGATGGACATTAAACGTACATTAGAGAATTCTGACTAAATGTAAATAAAATGTGTTTACATTATTTTAGAGCACTTATAACTGATTTGTTAGGTCCTATTAACATGTCATGTGTTCTTTATCCAGGGGCCAGCCGATTCGATCAGTGGGAGGATGAGAGGGCGCTACGACAGGTGGTAAAAACATCCTCATTCATTCGTTTTTCATTCATCACTAGAAAATTTTTCAGTTTTTCTTCATTAGATGTTGAGTCATCATCAGCAAATAAACAGTCAATAAACCACTGAAGCTAAGACAATTAGATTACCTCAATATGTGTCCAAACAGCCTCACCAGCGTGGAAGGAAACGGTGCTGTGAGACTTTACGTTGGCTTTATTGTCTGTTATGAAACCATAAATAAGTGCTGAGCGCTGTGACGGAGTGTGTTTGTCTGCAGGTGCGAGGGATCCAGACTGAGGATTTAAGCAACATGCTGTGGAGAGACCAGAATCAAGTAAGAGTCCAAGTGAAAAATTCTCATCTGTTTTCCTGCTGAAGTAGAAATGATCAGTTTGACGTGTGGAGCTCTTCTGCAACAGGTGGAAGGATGAGACAAGGTTGTATTTTCTAAAAATGTTATCATTTCACAAGAAATGTTAAAATCAGCCATTAGAATCTGGATTAGGACGATTCACAGTGAAAAAGAATGACATTTTTCTCTTAATTGTAAAAAAAAGAGCATTCTGGAGGTTTTTTTAATAAACACGAGAGCTTTCCGCTACCTTCATGTAAAGATGATTTCCTGTTGAGATTATTACATTTCTTTGACTCAAAGACAGAAAACAAATCTAAACTTGTTTTGTTTCATTAGCTGTGCAAAAGAGGTAAATGCAACGACTAAAGCACGACAAAGAGCAGATAGTTCTTTATTATGTATTAACAGGGTTTGTGTTTTACAGGAACAAGTCCAGAACATTTTCAAAAGAGTAAGTTGCTATTCTCATTTGATCCTCTTTTCTGATGGATGTTTTATTCACGTTCGCAACATTTTATCCTCCAGTTTCTGTTTCACTACTCCAAAGCACGCAACTCTGTTGGAGCTGTTCAGCAAGAGGTGATTATATAAGTTTTACGGTTTCAAAATATAGTTTCCCATCATTTGATCCTATAATATATTTCTTCTGTCAGTCTCACTCAGTTCACCCACTGATGCGACTTTCACCCAAACTGTCCCAGAGGAGAAAGAAGAAGGTTCTGCTTGTGGTGAGGAAACACAGTCTTTGTGTTTTAAATGTGTTAAAATCAGACAAAACGTTCATGGAAACGTAATGGAACTGTCCTGATAGTATTTTAAAGTTTGTTTTTACATAAAAGTTTTAAAATGTCCTAACTTACTTCCCTGAATGGCCTCAGTTTGGAGAAATAGTTGAAGTCCTACAGGACTGATGAGCTAACGGCTAGTTTGAGTGTAGTTTAGACTAGTCTGTGGTCCGCCTCAATCTTAATGTCAAAGCGGTTCACGCAACATCATTTTATAAACCTTTACTTTTATCATTAACACGAAATTACCTGCAGCATAACTGCTGTTAATCCAGGGACAAAGTCCAGTGATGGTACAACTACATGATGTTTTAAAGGGACTTTACGGAGTTTTGAATTTTTTTGCTGAGGCCAAAAGCTCCAGCACACTAGACTCAAGCCTGGTTTATGCTTCTCCGTCAGCTCCGCAAGGGACAGACACGCACGGATTGACGGAAGCGTTTTGCTCTCATACGTCTCTGTCTCCTGGAGAGTGTTGCAAAGCAATTGCCCGGCAGGACAACAGAGGGCGTAGCGCTGTTCTGTGGTATCCTGTCATAGCCTAGTGAACTAGACCAAATTCTTGCATTGCAAAGAATGTCTAGGCATGCTCCATTGGAACCTCAGCAGCTCCTACCAGGACTCTGGCTAGCCAATCACAGCTCTCTAGAGGGGTTTCAAACACATAAAGAGCTGTGATTGGTCCATAATGGTGGGCCAATCATAGTGCTCTATCTGCTTAGTGAACAAATCACAGAGCTTTATCCGCTTTGTGGGCCAATCAGGGCACTCTATATGCCTGGTGGGTGGGATGATGCAACAGAGTGAAACAAGAGTATGTCACATTCATTGTCCAGTGGAATGCGGAGATCATTTGAAAGACAACGGTAGAACCCGCCCCACAACCGAGAGCCGTCAATGGAGCGTGGCCAGACTAAAAATTACATTTATTTAGTCTGGCTTGCCAGGCTAATCCTGTCATGTATCGGTCCAAGATCGTGTTTATATTGTGTTTTTTGTGTATATGAGACTTAACACGGACATATTTGTCTCTCATTCTCCTACCTCTTCATGCGCTCCCCACCTCTAAACCCACGTTTCCTGTCATTTCCATCCACAAATAAAATGCTTGCTGCGCATCTTTCCACTCCTCCAGTCACGGGGAATTTTAAGAGTTTTTTCGCGAGGTATTCTTCAAGCTTCTCCGTGTCTGCCGCTAGTTATCCTCGGCTCTCTTTGCAATGGCGGCGCTGTAAACAACAGCGGCATCCTGACCAATCACAAGCTTGCGTAATCCGTCTCGTTCGACGGATGTTTAAAAACGTGGGCTCGACTCCGTACGTACTTGCGTGCCTGTTGGAGCCCTATGCAAGGACGGATAATGGCGTTGCGTGTCTCCGCACTGACGCAGACGGAGAAGCATAAATCAGGCTTCAGTGGTTAAATCACCTGTGCAACAGCTCATCAGGCTCTGCAGAAGCCTGTTGATCACCTGCTGATCAAAATCAGGAGTGTTGAAGCAGAGTTGGATACCGGCCCTCGAGACCAGGAACTGAATAGTTCTGACGAAGGGCGCACCGATATTCAAGTGTGGACCTTGGCCCCGCCCCTTTGCCCTTCGCCGAAGTTTGTGCACACTTCAGGTTTTGTGATTATTTCCCTGTAAAAATGACTTATTGCCCCTTTAACCCTTTGAGGTAGAGATTAGTGATAGAAAGTCCGTGTTCAGGGTCGATCCACTACTATTCGCCATCTCTGCTTCTCATTAAACAGAAGATTCGAGATCTGCCGGAGGGGGTGTTGTAGAAGATGAACCAAAGGGAAGAACAAGCATAAGGAGGAGAAGCTGGCAGCTGTGCCTGTGGACCGAGAATCATGGATTCTGAGTGACACGGCCTCCCTGGACCATTGTCCAGAAGAAACTACTTTCTGTGAGCGAGAAATAAACGACATGTAAATATAAAAAAACTGCTCTTTGTTTCGAACACATGAATTACACTGAAGATTGGAGCAAAGTGGCGACTCACGTTTTAATGAAGCAGAATTAAACGTTGCTTTTGTAAAATATTTATCATGTAATAAAAAAGTGAGTTTTTGTCTTGGATGATTCTGTAAAAGTGCTTTAACGTTAAATCTAATGACAAAAGAGTGACTTTCTTTGACTTGTAAAAAAAAAAAAAAAAGCTGAGCGGTTCAATGGGTTCATAGAGTTTGAGGCTCAGCCCACGTGCCTTTGAGCAGGACAGAACCCTGCTCATTGTTAAATATATTTAAAATGAGAAATAACCACAGGTCTGAATGGGAGGCCCGCTTCTCTGCTGCAGATTTAACGTCTGAACGTCTCCTCGTGGAAGTCGACAGCACTCTTCTTTTTAATCGTCCTCAGAGTCGCTGTCTTCTCGCGTAGGGAGTGAACTTCTGATTGATGACATTAACTTGTCTTCGATTTGTTTCTTGGGGTTTTCTTCCAGGTCCGTCTTCACCGCTCCGGTTTCTGATAACCTCCACTCCAGCTCTGGAAGAGAAGCACAGAAACACTTAAGCTGGAGAACAAGCAGATAAACAAAAACGATCAACAGCTCGTCAGAACGGTGGTAGTCAGACACGATGTTTAAACGTTGAAATCATCTCAGGTTTCTTATTACAGGGACGAGCCTAAACAGTAACTTGGTGAGTCTGGTCTGGTTTAATAAATCAGACCTACCTTCGACTTTGAGGTTCATGCCCCCAAACACCAGAGGACCGATGAACTGGGCCTTCATCTCCCCCTCAAAGTAAACAAAGATGGTGGGCAGGTTCCGGTCGGGGTAGTTGGGGATGCAGGTGGTGGAGATGGACTTAAGAAACTTGGTCTGAGGAAACTTCCTGGCCAGCGTGTTCAGGTGTTGGTTGATGAGGGTGCACAGAGGGATGCTGGGACAGAGAGACCAGGCGGATCGGTTAGTGCTGAAATCACCACACTGATTCAGATTCAGCAGCATGTTTTCTATACATAAAGCTTTCCAGATGTTTATGTAAAACATCCAGGTCTAGCTTTGGTCTTAACTCACCCCTGCTTGTAGAGGTGCAGCACCACCCATATTCCCTCTCCAGCCTTGTTGACCTCCTTGACGTAGTCCTGTCCAGAGATTTCCCCCAGTTCTCCAAAAGCGTTCTTTATCTGAGCCGCTTTCCACTCCGCAAGACGCTTCTGTCTGGAAGGAGATGCAGCTTGCATCAGCACACAGCCACGGAGAGAGAAATGCATCAGGAATAGAAGAAATTATAAGATTCAGAATTAAAGCGTTGACTTGATTTCCTAGATGTAATCGAGTAAAAACCAACCATATGGGAAAGAGATTTTATTTTTACTGGTGGATGACGGTGGCTCAGGAGTTAAGTGCTCGCCCCGTAATCGGAAGGTTGCAGGTTTGAGCCCCGCTCAGTCTGTCGCTGTCGCTGTGTCCTTGGGCAAGATACTTAACCCACGTTGCCTGCTGGTGGTGGTCGGAGGGACCGGTGGCGCCTGTGCTCGGCAGCCTCACCTCTGTCAGTGTGCCCCAGGGCAGCTGTGGCTACATCGTAGCTCATCCCCACCAGTGTGTGAATGTGTGTGTGAATGGGTGAATGACTGATTGTGGGGTTCCAGAACTCTAGAAGGCACCATATCAGATACAGGCCATTTACTAGGGATGCACCGACATGACGTTTTTGGGCCGATATTGATTTTTACATAACTGTTATGTCTGATACCGATTTATGCTTCTGAAATCAGCAAATTTTGTATAGACTGACATTATGTAAGCCGAATTTGTGAATATTTTGCTATTTTTCTATAAAATGGAATTTGCAAGATGTTATTCACACACACACACACACACACACACACACAGTCACAGGACTAAACTAAACACATCCTCACCCTCTCAAACAGATACACAAACGGAAACAAGATGGAAAAAATTTGGGTTTTTAATGTCAGCCCCGTTTTACTTATTGGACCAATACCGATATGTTCAAAAATGACTAACATCGGCTGATACCGATATATTGTGCATCCCTAAATTTCACCAGGGTTTTGTTTTGTCAAATGTACAATAAAGTGCATCAGGCACCAAAAACCCGACAGATAGTTATTGAGTTTTGATCGCCCAGTTCTCCTGTTGAACCACTTACCTGTACATCTCAATGGCAGCTTCATCCTCCTCTCCAAACTCGTCTTCGTTCTCCTCCAGCTCATCCAGAGTCATACTCTCATATGTTTTAACTGCACAAACAGCAGACGGCCTCTAATCCACAAATAATCTTACAATTTCTGATTTTATGGGATTGAGATAAGCACAAACATAAAATAATATGACTAATGTAAAAAAGTATGTTAAAATATGAAAATACATTTAAAATCAATGTGGGTGAAACCCTTAAACAGTCATGTTGAAGCCTTCATACCGACAGATTGTTGCTGGAGGGCCAGCTCCTCCTCCTCTTCATCCTCTTTAGGAACTTCTTTGGGGGGGAGGATGCCTTTCTTCCTCAGGATATCGTTCCACTCCGTGTCTTCATTTGGGTTCTTTTGATGAAAACATAATTAATCATTCACACAACGACAAATGTAATAGAATTAATTATAACTTCTGTTTGTGTCTGTCTAACAACTATAAGCTTAAAAAACAAATCAGATGATTTAATTACTGAAAATACATTATAGCTATTGGCCATCAGTAGCCTTTAATAAAACGTGCTTCATTTTATGTAATTAAACACTTTTATTTCATCTGCAACGAAAACAATGAGGATAATGAAAGTGAGGGCCAATAATCAACAGTTAGGCACGTGGCACTTCTACTTTAATTGACATGTTTCAGGAAAAGAAGAAAAGTCCAAATGGTTTAACCAAAATCTGTGTTCAGACTCACGGACATTTATATAAGTCAGTGAACATTTAAAGCGAACTTTAGTTTGAATATTCAAAAAAGACAATTTAAACCCACGATCTGTGGGGGTTTTTGTCCAAAAGTAAAGGACGGATTAAACAAAACTTTTCACATCTCTTCGGTTTTACTTGATATTATTCTCCTGCTCAGGGATCTGATTAAACTGTTAACACGACAACGACACGCCCATTGCTACTTTGTTCAACGATAAAAACATGTACACATAATTTTCACCACCGTTGAACCGCCACTTTCGCTAACGAAAGCTGTTTAAAATCCAAACAAAACCAAACAAACCTGCATTTTGACAAATGAAAGAGTCCCTTCTAAACCACACCACTGCTCCTTTCCAAACCGGAAACAGAAGGAAGTCCGCGTGGGCAGATCCGGCAGAAACAAGAAACTGTAGATTTTATTTTAATCTACTTAGCCCGGAAATGCTGTCATTTAAATTGAATAGTATTGTGAAGCGAATAGAAATATTTTTATTTAAAATACTGTAAAGTAATCAGCGATTTCGAAACAAAAAATAAAAGAGGAATATTTAATTGTGTGGAAAGACAATAATACAAGTAACACCAACTTCCTGCGAGGTGCGATATGACCACATAAGGAAAGAGAGAGAAGCAATCCATTTGTAGCAGCTGGGAACGGAACCAGACAGGTGCTATTCAGGAAGGCCGGTACCGGACCCGAACCTGCCTCTCTCCGTTTTACTGAATTAAAAAAATAACATTTCACTGGGTAAAATAAAACACATCGACAATATTTGCTAATGGAAAATGTTTGCTGATAATAACAGTGTACTACATTCCCAAAGTGCAAAAACAAGTGGATTTAATTAGTGCTCGTTGTTTTCACTATTTACGAAACCAATATTACAGCTCCAAAATGAACGGGTTCTCTGTCATTTATCGAGTTTTTTCTTCAAGTTGCTCATTTATTAATTAACCACACGACATTTGAGTTGTTTCTATTAGTTGTTAAATAAATCATAACAACAATTCAGCGGAGAAAACAGGTTAGACCAAACTTGATCAGGTAAACCTTGATATTTCCTAGAACACCAGATTAGTGAAGAACGTTAACCTTCTGTTGGATAAATGTCGCCCTCGTGTGGCTGATTTAAGTTTTTACTACATGTTGGCTAAATCAGTTTCTAATGCTTGTAATGCAAAAACCAATCTTAATTAGAAATAAAAACAGCTCATTTAATTACAGAAGTATTATTTAGGGTTTACACAAACACGTGCGCGCGCACACAGATTAAAAAATGACGCCCTTTTCAAAAGTACTCTAATTCAACGAGCCTTAATGTTTTATTGATTCACATTCGAGTTTTTCCTAAATTACACTAAATTAATTTGTGTAAAAATGTTTCTAGCAAAAAGCAAAATCATTTAAACAAATTATAATTCTCTGAATATAATCTGTTTAAGGTCTCAGTTTTAATCTAATCACATACACAATGGTAGGTTATTTATTATAAATGAATTAATTTGGTTTCTTTTTGTGTGCTATTTATAACCACCACCGCATCCAATGAGGAAAGGGCAAGAAAATTTTTACCGGAACTCGTGGAAGGGAAAGTTGGTGAAGAGAGAAAATAAAAATAGGGAGGTCTCACTCTGACATTGTTTTTAAAAGCCATCACGTTTCTTTCACGCGATGTGAAGTTCAAATTTACAGTTTTCTCTGAGAAAAACTTTTATCATTCTTTTAACATTAACCATTGGTCTGTTAATTATTCATCTTTTGTTTTGTCTTCAGAAATAAAATTAATATATATAAAAAAAGAAATGCATGCTTAATCCCTTGATGGCAGCTCGCTATTTGTTATTAAATTGCATTCATACCATTGACCTAATCTCTGTATTGTATCTGGTGAAAATAAATCTAATTATGGGTTTGTTTAAAACCATCATGAGAACCAACCCAAACCACTAATAATCAATGGGTTAAACGCTATTTAGAAAACAGAGAACAATATGTTCAGATAAATAACAATAAACCAGAACTGCGAGATATTAGTTGTGGAGTACCACAAGGGTCGGTCCTTGGACCTAAACTGTTCAACTTGTTTATTTATGACCTGGTAAATGTGTCTGAGCTACTCGGTTCTGTTTTGTTTGTGGATGAGCCATTGTTTTATTCAGGGTCAGATATTAATTAACACAAGTGATAATGAACTGATAAAAGTTAAAACCTGGTTTGATGTAAACAGATTAACACTTAATCTTAAAAAAACAAATTTTATTTTATTTAATGACAACATTGATTTATCATTAAAAATAGACAGCATGGAAATTCAAAGGGTAAAAGAGACCAAATTTTTAGGAGTAATGAGTGATGAAGCTCTAACCTGGAAATCACATGTTGGTTATATATTGGATAACCAATGTTACTAATGTTGGATAAACATTAGACTTTCATATATATTAGATTCATTACACATGTAACATCCAGCAATGGTCAGTTTTTAGGTACAGTTGACCATCCAACATCAGGTCAAAAAGGAGACACGAGACTGCATGCGTCCCCTCTAAATCAGCCTGCCTCCATCACACCACCTGGAGAACAGAGCCTGCAACTCTGACAGAGATAATGAAATGTCAACAATAACATTCTCTCCTCAAGGTCAAATCCTACAGGATTCTTCATGTGAACACTCGCAGCCCGGATTAGTTGCTAAATCAAAGAATGATTTCCTAAATCATATAGGAACTTCTACAACTTATAAGCTAGATAATCAGTAAATAAACATTTGTTTATTGCTACTTATAATAATTATAATATAATTAAATGCTTTCATTAATCTGTGCTCAATGATTGAAGGTTGAAATTAATGTTATGTTGTGATTACAATGATTGATTGCATGCTTACTTGACCAGGTCATAACATTTGCACTCACACAAGAACAAAGTAAGGTAAAGTTAAACCCATGACACATAGATAGTCCTTTACCCAGATCAGAGCTTCCAGTATCAAAGAAGGCGCGTTTCTGAGTTGTCTTGGTAACATTCCTAAACTTGTCAACCTCTGGTTGGCTACACAAATCATAACATGAGGACATTAAAATCAGATTATGCTGGTGGTTCCTCAGTTCTAGAGAAAGCTTCAGACCGGCCACCTGAAGCAACATCCTCTATAACCACCAAAGCTTTTGACACGTCATCAAAACCTTTTTGCACCTGCGAAGCTGATAAAGCAAACCAGCTCCTGTAGAATGAGCTGATATTGTTTAGACTCCTTAAGAGTCCACCAGAGACGCTTCCATCCGTCGGTCGTGACCCGAAACATCTCTGGACTGAAGGGTCGGTGCCACGGTTTTCTACATCCCTCCAGTGCCAGAGGTCATCCGGCCTCTCTGACCTTCGGATCCACCAAGAGGGTCTCAGAAAACGGGTGAAGTAGACATGACAGATTACGTCAGATGTGTTTTTAACACAAACCAAATTCTTTTACATCCAGAACTCAGCGCTCCTAGATACGGAAGTTCTGACTAACATCGCATTCACACATAGATTCATACATCACATTTAGTTCCATCCATCACAGTAAATATTAGTGAACCTGTCATGTTTTAATTGTTGGTAAAATAAATTCTTACTTTTATAAACCTGACTGTTTTCTAAATCAAAACAAAGTGTGTACAATCCCTTAATAAACAAAGAATCATAGAATCTTCTGATTAAAGCACAATAAAGACCAGGCAGGGTTGATATTCTATATTTAGATAGAGTATCACAGCTTATTGGTCATAAGTAGAGGTAATACATACATATATATATATATATATATATATATATATATATATATATATATATATATATATATATATATATATATATATATATAGCTCTTAAAGCACTCAATTTACCAAACCCTACACACATAACTGAAGTAGTTCAAGCCTTTTATTGTTTCTAATAATGATGATTGTGGCATACAGCTCATGAAAACCCAAAAACCCTATCTCAAATAATTAGCATATCATGAAAAGGTTCTCTAAACGAGCTAGTAACCTAACCATCTGAATCAACTAATTAAATCTAAACACCTGCAAAGATTCCTGAGGCTTTTAAAATCTCCCAGCCTGGTTCATTACTCAAAACCGCAATCATGGGTAAGACTGCCGACCTGACTGCTGTCCAGAAGGCCATCATTGACACCCTCAAGCAAGAGGGTCAGACACAGAAAGAAATTTCTGAACGAATAGGCTGTTCCCAGAGCGCTGTATCAAGGCACCTCAGTGGGAAGTCTGTGGGAAGGAAAACGTGTGGCAGAAAACGCTGCACAACCAGAAGAGGTGACCGGACCCTGAGGAAGATTGTGGAGAAGGACCGATTCCAGACCTTGGGGGACCTGCGGAAACAGTGGACTGAGTCTGGAGTAGAAACATCCAGAGCCACCGTGTACAGGTGTGTGAAGGAAATGGGCTACAGGTGCCGCATTCCCCAGATCAAGCCACTTTTGAACCAGAAACAGCGGCAGAAGCGCCTGACCTGGGCTAAAGAGAAGCATCACTGGACTGTTGCTCACTTTTCTTTTATTGTTCGGATGAAATATGCTAATTATTTGGGATGGGAATTTTGGGTTTTCATGAGCTGTATGTCAAAATCATCAATATTAGAAACAATAAAAGGCTTGAACTACTTCAGTTGTGTGTAATGAATCTAATATATATGAAAGTCTACCGTTTATCAGTACATTACAGAAAATTATGAACTTGTTCACAATATGCTAATTTTTTGAGAAGGACCTGTAAAAGGTGAAGTGACCAAAGCCATTGCAGTATTACATAATGTAAATTATACCGAATAGTTCTGAATGCACTGATTCATCCATATTTAAGTTATTGTGTAGAAATCTGGGGAACTGCATATAGAACTTCTACACAACCACGGTTTATTTAGCATAAAATTAAATTATAGCAGACTTATTAATAATAATCACAGTATAAAGCTAATATAGGTACATTGCCAAAATAATTCAGCAATTGTTTGAAAAGAGGGAAATTAGTTATATGTTGAAGGGAACTGTGAAGTCTTCAAAAAGCCCAGATTTAGAACCAGAATGAAGGAAATGAGTGTTTTGGTGATCAGTGTGAAATTATGGAATTGTCTGAGAAGTGAAAGAGTCAAGAACTCTAAAAATGTTTAGATAACATATCAGATCAAGTGTGTTGGGTGGATATGAATGTGAATAATGTCTGTGGCTATAACTGAAATATGGACAAGGAAATGTGACAGAAAGAACTTCGAGGGAATGCACAAAGAGATTTGTTATTTTTGTTTAAAAAGGGGACAGAAATGATGTTTTCTTCCATCTGCTCCTTTTCATTCAAGTTTGTATTGTGTTTATATGCATTTTTTAATTTATTTGTTGTATTTTTAATTGGATGAAAGACATATTTGAAGAAAAAACTGGGTCAAAAGTCAATTTTTCAGAAGTTGCTGAGGTAGTGAAACAACTACACAGCGGCAGAGACCCGGGGGCGGATGAGATTCGTCCTGGGTATCTGAAGGCTATGGATGTTGTAGGGCTGTCGTGGTTGACACGTCTCTGCAACATTGCGTGGTCATCGGGGGCAGTTCCTGTGGAGTGATGGTGGTCCCCATCTTTAAGAAGGGTGACCTGAGGGTGTGTTCCAACTATAGGGGGATCACACTCCTCAGCCTCCCTGGAAAGGTCTACTCCAAGGTACTGGAGAGGAGGGTCCAATCGATAGTTGGATCTCAGATTGAGGAGGAGCAATGTGGTTTTCGTCCTGGCCGTGGAACTGTGGACCAGCTCTATACCCTTGCAAGGGTGATGGAGGGGGCATGGGAGTTTGCCCAACCAATCCTCATGTGTTTTGTGGATTTGGAGAAGGCTTATGACCGTGTCCCCAGGGGCACCCTGTGGGGGACGCTCCAGGAGTGTGGGGTGGGTGGCTTTCTGTTAAGGGCCATTCAGTCCCTTTACCAGAGGAGCGTGAGTTTGGTCCGCATAGCCGGTAGTCGGACCTGTTCCCAGTGAGGGTTGGACTCCGCCAGGGCTGCCCTTTGTCACCGGTTCTGTTCATTACCTTTATGGACAGAATTTCTAGGCGCAGTCGTGGTGTGGAGTGTGTCGAGTTTGGTGGCAGGAGAATCTCATCTCTGCTTTTTGCGGATGATGTGGTCCTCCTAGCTTCATCCAGCTCTGACCTTCAGCTCTTGCTGGGTAGGTTTGCGGCCGAGTGTGAAGCAGCTGGGATGAGGATCAGCACCTCCAAATCTGAGACCATGGTTCTCGACCGGAAAAGGGTGGCTTGCCAACTCCGGGTCGGGAGAGAGGTCCTACCTCAAGTGGAGGAGTTTAAGTATCTCGGGGTCTTGTTCACGAGTGAGGGTAGGAGGGATCGGGAGATCGACAGGCGGATTGGTTCAGCGTCTGCAGTGATGCGGACGCTGATCCGATCTGTCGTGGTGAAGAGGGAGCTGAGCCAGAAAGCCAGGCTCTCGATTTACCGGTCGATCTACGTCCCAATCCTCACCTATGGTCATGAGCTTTGGGTAATGACCGAAAGAACGAGATCGCGGATACAAGCGGCCGAAATGAGTTTCCTCCGTAGGGTGGCCGGGCTCAGCCTTAGAGATAGGGTGAGGAGCTCGGACATTCGGGAGGGACTCGGAGTAGAACCGCTGCTCCTCCGGATCGAAAGGAGTCAGTGGAGGTGGTTTGGGCATCTGGTCAGGATGCCTCCTGGACGCCTCCCCGGGGAGGTGTTTCGGGCATGTCCTGCCGGCAGGAGGCCCCCGGTTCGACCCAGGACACGCTGGAGAGGTTACATCTCCAATCTGGTCCGGGAACGCCTTGGGGTCCTGCCGGAGGAGCTGGTGGAGGTGGCCGGGGAGAGGACGGTCTGGAGCTCCCTAGTTGGGATGCTGCCCCCGCGACCCGGCCCTGGATAAGCGGAGGAAGACTACGACATCAATTTTTTTTTTATCTTCACACACACACACACACACACACACACACACACACACACACACACACACACACACACACACACACACACACACACACACACACACAGAGCGCCTCGCTAACCCTTCTCCTGAGGCGCTAAATACAAGATTCCTTCTTAAATCCTAAAACGTCCCCTCTTGCTCGTGGATCACGTGATCATACAGGAACAGCAGATACGCTGCAGAGTCACGCATCCTCCTCGAGAGACGACCTTTGGACAGTGTGTACAGCTGCTAGTCGGGGGTGAGGCAACAGCAGTCGCCTCGGAGTCCGAAATCCTGCAGCTGTCCGGCGAGCAGGAAAACCATGGAAAACCTGGAACTCCGCCGCTGTAGGGTGCACTAGACCGCTCCCCAACCGGAGGACAGGCGGGAGGGGACTCCGTGTCCCTCCGCAGCGGAGACCGAGAGGCGTAGGGCTGCCCCTCCGGCGGCGGTTCCTCCCTGCTGGAAGAAATGTGGCTGAACCCGGAGGAAGTTCTGCTGAAAAACGCTCTGAAGCTCTGGGTGACCGAGAGGAGCAACGACTTCTTCCTGCTGCAGAGGAGGAGAGGCCATGGGGAGCCGGGGAGCCGGATCACAGGTAACCAGGACAGGGACAGGGACACAGCCGGTAAACAATAAAACCTAGGGCTCAGCAGGCAGGTTAACCAGGTGCGATCAGGGGGGCGGGGCCACATCTAGATCTGACATACTTTGCTGTTCAATCAAAGCTTTGGTTAAGCTTTGGTTACCATGGAAACCTGCTCTGAAGCTGACCCCAACAACAACACGACCCCCCCCCCCCCCCCCCCCACACACACACACACACACACAGGCCTTAAGGTGGACTGCTTAATTCCCAGCAAATACATCGGGTTGACTCCTTTAGAGCTTCTTTAAATCAGCAGTGGTCGGTTCAGAGTAAAAGTAAACATTCGTGTAGACTAAAAACTTAAAGCAGACTGTTTAGGAGCGTTCTGTGCACATAAACAACTTTTTATAAATCCAAAGTCTCCCAGTGAACATCCTCAGCTTCCTCAAACTCTGTCTTTTCAAACCGGTGTTTCCTATCGACATCATCCTGTAACATTATTTGCATTCTGCCTGTCTTTGTGTGTAATGATGGAGCTCAGACCAGACATGCTGCAGCTGGTGTGAGAAGACCGACCCGCCGGAAGCAGAGCTCCTGAGCAGGAGCAGCTGCAGCTGCTCTGTCTGCCTCCTCCGTGTGCTTCTGTACCAACGTCTGCATGAGTGACTCAACACGGAGGAACTCGTCCAGAACATGGCCCATGAAACAGAACAGGAGACACTTCCTCCTCAGTCTCTTCTTTATGCAGGCCTTTATTCCTCTTTCTTTCCCACAGTGAGAGGGCTGAAAGGTCCACAAGCATCGTGATGTTGTTGAGGGAAATGATTCCTTGTAGAACAGATGAAGGGGAGCGTTTCAGACAAGAGTGGAAGGTGGAGTTTGGCTTTTTAAGAAGAGCTGTGGTCTGAACATGAAACCAGCGGGATCTTATCTGTTGTTTTACGTTTGACCAGTTGGACTTTTTCCCACTCTGATATAAAAACATTTACAGTCTTATAGGTGTGACAGCAGATGTCAGACCCGGTGACCTTTGTCCCCGCGGCAGCTTTTTATTTCGGCGAGGACCTTTGCTCAGATGGTTTATGGTGGTTTTCCTTTTCTGGAGAGGCGTCTCCGGGCCGTGGTGGCAGATGGATGGTTCCGGGTTGCCGGGCTGCTGGGTTTGCAGCGTCAGGCAGGTCCACAATAAATCTAAGATGTGGTTCATGCTGGGCTGACAGCCAGAGCAACCTGCTGGAGGAGTTTCACCTCGGAGAGAAACGGGACACAACTCTCTTCAGTAATCATTACGTGAGCATCTACAGCTGATTAACTCTGGAGTTTACCTGCACAGGAGCACGCCGCTACTGGCAATTAATCAGTGACAGCAGAGAGGCTGCATTCCTCCCTGACTGATAGAAATCAAGCCACATTCACCTGATGTGTGTGTGTGTGTGGCGGTTAGACTATCTGTGCTTCCAGAAGATGAAGCCTTGATGGTTGAGGCCATTGGAGATCCTAAAGAGACTTCTATCTGCCCACGGTCCATTTCAGTCCACCTGAGTTAGAATGCAGGGCACCACTGAAGTCTGTGTGCGTCTGGAGGACATCTCTGAAACATCAGCGGTGATGACTGGAGCTGCAGCTTTGTCTGAACAGACTGCAGACAGCCGGATTTTAGCGTTACAGCTGCACTGATTGCCCTGTGAAGACAGAGACATCCCCTGACTCATTATCTTGCTGTAGGATTGATCCAAGTCCAACTAGGACATCACCATACGAGTCAACAAGTCAAAATCCTGCAAAGCAGCTAGAGACCACCACACTTCCTCTGTGGATTCAACAGATGACCAAAGTCCTGTGGTGAAATTCCAGCTAAAGCCTTCAGTAGGAGTTCGTTTTTCTTATTCTGACTTGTCAGCGATGATTTGCTTCCGCATCTGAACCCGTCAGACTGCATCGTACCTCCTTATCTTGTCTTGAAGCTGTTGTCCTGTCTACCAAACAAGCTGTTGTCCATCCTCTTCCTCTCAGAGCTGCTCTTTTTACACAAATGCTGCTCAGATGGTGTTTCCACACAGACCGAGGGTTAACTAGTCAATCGTAGAGTAATGGGGACATGTCGGACCCCTGTGGGAACTGGCTGCACCGGCGTTCAGCCAACCACCCGAAAGCCTTCACTGATGCACGGCAGTTGACATGAGCCGTGCACGTTTCGCCATCTTTGCAGGTCTCCTGGTGGGGGCGCTAGACACGGTGCTGGACTCCAATGCCAGGGTCACACCATTCCGCATCCTGCTGCAGGTCCCAGGCTCTCAGACCAGCTGGGTCATCGCAAGTGGTGAGATCAGCCATCACGCCTGAACCTCCGTTAGCCGTCTGATGATGGCGGTTACCCTCAGCTGGTCCCTCTGCTTGTCTTCTCCAGGAGCCGCCATAGAGGAGGTGAATAAGCACTGGGACTGGCTGGTCCACAACCTGCTGCACTCTCTGTTGGTGTTTGAGAACAAAGAAGATGCTGCTAGCTTTGTCCGAGGAAAAGTTAAGGTCTGAAGGATGTAACTAAAGTAAAATCTTCCCATGTTACTTTAGCTAAAGTCCTAAATACTTCTGATGGTGGTCTGGGATCCAGGGTCTTATTGCAGAGGACGCTCGGGGACGGCAGGCTGCCCAGGAGGAGGATCCGGAGAAGTTCAGAGACGCCCTGCTGAAGTTCGAGCGGCACTTTGGCCTCCCTTCATCAGAGAAGCTGGTGACGTTCTACTCCTGCTGCTGCTGGAAGGGCCGCGTGCCTCGGCAGGGCTTCCTTTACCTCAGCATCAACCACATGGCCTTCTACTCATTCCTACTTGGGAAGGAAGGTCCGTCCACCACTGAGACCCTATTAAAACGAACCTTCCTGTAGTTGGGTTTAGATCCTGTTGCGTTCTGGCTCCTCTTCTAGTCAAGTTCGTGATTCCCTGGGCGGAGGTGACGCGGCTGGAGCGGGTCTCTACCGCTCTGATGACCGAAGCCATTCGGGTCACCACCCGACAGCGGCAGAGGGAGTTCTCCATGTTCTTGAACCTGGACGAGGCCTTCGGGGTCATAGGTCAGCTGGCTGACATCACCCTGAGGCGGCTGCTGGACAGCGAAGGCCTGGAGCTGGACTGGGTTCTACAGCAGCCGGCCCGCATCACCAAGAGGTGGGTGTCTCTAATTCTGTCCCTGTACAAACAACTCAGTGGCAACAGGAAGTGGCTGTTGTCACAAGCACACTTCCTGAAAGCAGATTAATAAACAGCAGCTCTCTACCACAACATAGTGTCTGTAGATCACCTAAACCGGTGAGAAATACGTTCAGCGAGCAGAAACAGGAAAATTCTGACACTGAATCATTTTATTAAGATTTACGTCTTTTATTTAAAACAGTTCTAGTTAATTTTAGCTCATTTCCTTCATGTGAAAGGTCACAGTTACTGTTTAGACACCTGCGTAATGATTCGTTAGTTACTTCTTACGTAATGAACCATAACATGTGAGATTCCATAGGAATATGAAATATCAATCTGAAGGACCTTGGAATATTACTTTTTATTCTCCCTCTCCAGATAATAACGTTTTGCTTTCCTTGACGTTGGATGTGCTACTACTCAGAACAATGGTGTCTAAAGCTGATCTTGAGTTGATTATTCACGCGTTTACATCATCCCGTTTAGACTACTGTAATAGTTTATTTTCTTGTCTAAACAAAAAAGAGCTGTCCCGCTTACAACAAGTCCAGAATTGTGCAGCTAGAATTCTGACTCGTGACAACAGAAGGGCCCACATTACCCCCATTTTAAAAGCTCTTCATTGGCTTCCTATCACATTTCGCATAAATTTTAAAATTCTTGTGCTGACTTTCAGAGCGCTGCATGGTCTGGCTCCATTGTATGTTCGAGACATGCTCTGCCCTTACACGCCTTCTCGCAGGCTGAGATCTATGGATCAAAACCTTTTAATGGTCCCACGTACTCAGTTCAGGACACGAGGAGATCGCTCATTCCAGGCCGTCGCTCCTAGGCTCTGGAATGAGCTACCTCTGTCTTTACGCTCAATCGACTCAGTTGATGTTTTTAAGAGCAATCTTAAAACCCATTTGTTTCTCCAGGCATTTTAAACTTAGTCTCATTCAGATTGGTTTTATTTGACACTGTATATTGTGGCTGTATTTTACTGTATTTATATGTTGTTGCCTTTTAACTTGTGAAGCACTTTGTGACCTTTTTGTCTGTGAGAGGTGCTATAGAAATAAAGTTACTTACTTACTTACTTACTAGTTTACCCGTTTAACAATAGATCCACTAGGATAAATACAATAAAGTTTAACTCTCGCCAAATAGAATATTTACTAAGAAATCACAACGTAACCATAGACATATTTCTTGGTGTGTGTGTATGTGTGTGCGTGCGCGTGTGTGTGTGTTCTGTCTTCTCGATCCCCAGTGAGTCGTGGAGGATGGCTGCTTATACTGAGCCAGGATTCTCTGGAGGTTTCTTCCTGTTAAAAGGGAGTTTTCCTCTCCACTGTCGCTAAATGCTTGCTTAGTATGAGGATTGCTATATAGTCACTGACACTAGTCAGTGACTTGATGCAATTTGCTGGGTTCCTTATACAGGAAACATTATTTCTGATTGGCTTAATGAACTGACCTGAATTGGAATGTTTATTATGTGAAGTGCCTTGAGACGATTCTTGACATGATTTGGCGCTATAAAAATAAACTTGAATTGAATTGAACCAGAAGATCGAAACTTTATTGCGGGGATTAGGTAACACTTCGTATTAACCCAGAGACAAGAGAGAGAGACAGGAGTTTTAAAGTTTAAGATTTATTTCTAAACAATTTAAAACAAGGCTAACTCTAAACACTGTGTGATGAATGGATCTAGGTGTGAATGAGGCAAGATGGATGGTGTAAATGTGGAATGTTGTTATCAGAACTCTCGTTTCCGGAGAAGCCTTAGTTCTGTGTGGGAGCGAATGTTTTGCTCTAAACTATAGTGGAGTTTCAAAACCACATTCAGACGCCATATTGCCATTCTACATACCCTTGAGGAGACCTCCATTGTAGATCCAGAATGCCAGGTCCTCTGACCCGCCTCTTGGTACCAGAGCCAATGAAACAGCGTACGGTAGGGTCAGTGAGTTCAGCTGTACTCTGAAGGAGCGTTGCGTTCAGGTGTAGCTTGCAACAGGTTTTATTATCTGGCTTGTCAAGGTTCTTTGTGGTTAAAAAGTTACGAGTGGCCGGCTCGAAACTCTAGAACGTTTGAACTGAGCTAAGGGTGACGTGGGAGTTGGTTTTATAATTCAGATGTTTTGATTTGTGGTCGAATCAGAATTTTACAACCAAAAGGGGGTTTGTATAAACACCGCACAGACCACGCCATGCGTCAGAAAGGAAAGCTCTGATTGGAAAGACAAAAGGAATGTGTCATGTGATCTTAACATTACTTGTGTCATAGGAGTGTCTAGTGCATCTGTGCCAAGTTAATTCTTATACAAATACTACTTATTACTAGGGCTGGGGGTAAACGATTATTTTTAAAACGATTATTTTGACGATTATTTTATCGAATAGTCGACTATTCTAATGACTATTTAGACAATTAATCTAATGATTATTTTTCTATTGCACAGTTAATAAAAACCAAAAAATCTCTAATAAATTCCTCAAAAAAATTGATAAATTGTTACTGTAAGAGAATAAACACTACAGGCCTTCCATTTTGTATATCACTGCTTTTATTGTGTTGGTTGGTTATGTTCTGGTGACGTGTAGAACTTAGGAGTGCAGGCTGCTGCCTGAGAGGTGGTTGGAGACGGAGTGTCTCCATGCTGCTTTGTTTTGGTCAGTAATGTGCGTGAGACGAGTGGTGTTACGACTCTTCCTGGGGAGTTTGGCTCGTGTGCAAAAAGGAAGGGACAATAACGGGATTTAAAAGTTAAAATGATGATCAGGTTTATTTACAACTACAAAAAATCATAAATCTTTCCATCCACAGGTTGGGAATAATAAAACTAATTCTGCCTGTGGGGAATTAAAACAAAAGTACAAATAAGTAGGGATGTCCCACTGGGCAAAGATTACTGGGTTCTGGACCAAAATAAGAATCTCCAAAGGTCCAAACTCTAAACTGGGTGGTTAAACCAAACTAAAGGTGATATTTTAAACTAAACCGAAAACCCACAACACTCTAAATGTAATAAAAGGGAGATCTGCACCACAAAAAAGATGAACTCTAAACCAAAACGTAACAGCTTATCCAAATGCAAGAAGCTGTTAGCGAAAATGCTAACAGTAGTTTTACCAACATTAAGTTCAAGTTACCAAGTTTAAATAAACCAAAAATACCCAGCAGCAAACAGACCAGCACAGAGGAGAGACTGCTACCACCAAAACAGCAGCGCATCTGACCCCGGAAGTTGTTGTCCGTTGCCGGGAGACGAAGGCGGGCAAAACAGGAATGGGATCTAGCAGCGGGCAAACATTGTTCCGGGTCTTCGGTATTTGGCGGGGATGTTAGTGAAGGCGGAGAAGAGGGCGAGCTAGAGGAAAAAAAGGCAGATTCCTCCTCTATTTACAAACTCCTGGGGATGCAACAAGTGGTCGCGGTGCGCCGACTACCGGATCTGACATCGACAAATTTTTAGAATCGAGCCGTCGACATCATTGACGCTTCGCTACAGCCCTACTGATTACAGTATTATAATTCTAGTAATTAACATTGTCATTTCACAGATTGATTTACATTGGGCTCACATTATTATTGGGACTAACAGACGTTATTTAATTATTTATTAAAAAGAAGAGTAGAGTCATGAGACCTTGAGAGAGTAGGTTGTTGAGGGAGACTGTGTCTCCCCAGCTTGAGCACAGCAGGCATGACCTTTAGGTCAGAAAACAGTCATTTCATTCCGCTACACCTAACATGTTTTAATATTTGATCATGTGTGCAAAAGAACCTGAAAAGAGGAACAACAAATGAAACGCGCTGCTGGTCGAGGTAAAAAATAAACCAAAACAGGAAGTAAGAAATCAAGTGAAGGTGGTACTGCGGCTGAATACAACCACTCAAAGGCTTTTTTATAACATAAAGCACATCATCATCATCATCATCATTATTATTATTATTATTATTATTATTTTTAAGGTTAGCTTATTCTATTGTTTCCACCCATAACTGGATTCGTGTCTTGTTTAAGGACTGATAATACACATAAACGTCCATGCTTGACCCGCAGAAAAGCCCGATTGAATCTGAAACGATGTTGAGACATCGTTGTTGCAGTGTTGTTGTTCCTGTGTGTCTTCTCTCCTGCAGGATCTTAGAGGAGCAGGCCATCCGAGAGTACGTCCTGGCTTTGTTTCGACTCCCTCGGGGGGAGAAGCTCCACGAGGTGGCCTCGTGTTCGGTGTGGACTCCACACGCTCGCTGCCACACGGCTGGGATGCTCTACACCACCGATGGCTACATTTGCTTCTCCAGTCGAGAGGAAGGCTGCTGCACCCTCCTCATCCCCCTCTCTGAGGTACCAGCTCACCAGTCCCGTAGGACGCTAACTGTTCAGAAGGTGGTTGTTTGTAACTTTTAGACAGAAACTGCAAATAGTTTTTTTTTTGACTTTCTGCCCGTTGAATCGTCATTCCAGCTCAGGAAGCAGGAAGTCATCTTCCTCTCTACCGTGGTTGGACGCGTGGAGGAACTGATGGTTTTACCCTCTTTAGGTTTTATCCATAGAGAAGGCGGAGAGCACCAGCGTCCTTCCCAACCCGGTAATCGTGAGCGTGCGGACCAAAAAGGCCTTCCAGCTGATAGAGCTGCAGGACAGAGACGAACTGGTGGAGAACATGAGCTCCAGACTCCGAGCCACGCAGTGGAAACAGTCCATGTTCCGCAGCAGGAAGGACAGCCGCAGCAGCGTGGTGAGAGAGCCAACACATCGGCCTCCATCTTTGCTCCGCTCCTAACATAAAACCTGCAGATCTGCGCTGATGCCTCTTTGTGAACGTGTATTTATGTATGTGTAGTAGAATGTGTGTTGTAGAATAAGATCTGTACATCAGATGAAGCTGAACCAGCTCTGCAGCACGTGTCCGTAACAGTAAAAATACAAATAATGAATAAAGTCAGCGTTGTCCTGTTTGTGTTCTGGTCAGACCTGCATGTTTTCTAGTGGTTTGACTGGTTGTTCCACCCATTAGTGTGGCTGCAGCTAAGCTAATATTTTAAAGCATGAGACTCTTCCTTCGTAGAGTTCTCCGACACCTTACTACACCTTCTACTACGACACTGGGCCCTCTGATGAAGAGGAGCTAGAGGAGCAGGTCCTTCGTAATACGGTCAACAACGAAGCTCTCATGATGGCCTTCCACCAGAACCAGCCAGGAATTGATGGAAACAAGGTGGGCGGAGTCTAATCTTCTCTTTGAACTTGTATTTCTGTAGGTTTTCATTAGAACTCGGCAGATTCACCTGTGATTGATCTGTTTGTGGTCAGAGCACGGAGGCGGTAAAGGCGCGGCTGTGGGAGGATCACTTCTTAGAGTTTGGACGCGGCGTCTACATGTTTCGTACAGAGAAGATCCAAAAGCTGGTTGCCATGGGGATCCCAGAGTCTCTGAGAGGGGAGCTGTGGATGACCTTTTCTGGTGAGAGGAAACGGAAAAGTAGGAATTGCGAAAGGTTTTGATCTGAAGCTGTGGCTTAGGATCACAGCAAACTTTTACAATGGAATGTACATAAATGATGGAACACACACACACACACACACACACACACACACACACACACACACACACACACACACACACACACACACACACACACACACACACACACACACAGAGTTTTATTTAGAAGTAGAGAAACTTGGTTTGAGTCACAATGAATAAAAAAAGCATCGGTTTAAACACTGGTTTGTTTGTATCACAGTAACTTCCTCACTCACACAGAGAAGTTCAGATTTGTGTGTGTGTGTGTGTGTGTGTGTGTGTGTGTGTGTGTGTGTGTGTGTGTGTGTGTGTGTGTGTGTGTGTGTGTGTGTGTGTGTGTGTGTGACTTCCTTGTGTTGAAACCATCACTGTTTGATCTGAAGAAAAGTGGTTTGTTGAAACATAAAACACAGCCACGACTCTGCTGTCACCTCCAGCCTCACATCCTGGTGGAAGAATTTGACCCACTCCTCGTTTAGAAACCTGTTCTCATTCTTGGTCTCGCCACATTTTAATCAGATTAAGATCTGGACTTTGACTGGACCGTTGTTGCAAGTAGATGTTTGTTGTTCATTTGTTGTGTAGATATTTTTGTGGCGCTTTAGGTAGGAGTCTTGTCTACAGCCCAAACCTTCATCTCTCCACCACCGTGCTGACTGCTGGGGTTAGGTGTTCTTGTGTCAAATACAGAAGTCTCTATGTTGGTGTCATCTGTCCAGAGAACATTGTTTTTGTCTTTTAGTTCATTGAGTCCTACGTTGTTGTTTTCATGTTTAGAGTAAACAGGTTTTCATCCAGCTGATTTTTACCCTTTAGTGGAGCCCTGCACTGAAGTCCTAGGCCCGTGGGTCGGCCCGACCCGACGGCCCGAGGGCCGGGCTTCAGGCCAACAACTGTGTAATTACCTCGGACACGGGCCGGGCGCCTTTATCTTTAATTGAATTCATTAAAAAAACTGAAACACTTAAACGCAGCAGCACCTGCCTGCTTCTCACGCACCGGCACCCATTGGCTCAGTTAAGGTCTGTGTGGTTTATAAATGCACCTATATAAACGAATTCTCACACTGCTGATTGAAACATGTGCCCCTATTCTAATATGCCATTTTATGTCCACTTTGCTATGTCAGAAACCATTCGTTTATTCTCATGAAAACGGCAGCATTCTATTTTTCTGTGAATAAATTCGCTCTGCAGTTAAAAAAATACAGCATTCATTGCTGTTTTTTTTCTAACTGGAGAGCGCATTTTCAGAGCGGCAGATTAAATTTACAAACGCATCCAATTAATATGGTGTTCGTAAATTTCATCTGCCACTGGAAAAATACGCTCTGTTAGAAAAAAAAAGCTGCATTGAATCTGTTTTTCTGTCTGTCTTTCTTTCTTTTTTTTTTTTTACTGCAGAACGCTTCTCACAGATAAGTAGAATGCTGAGCATTCTATCACGCTAAAACATTATGAAAGGTTAAAAAAAAGTCTGGCTCGGGCCAGAGAATGCTGAAAACCTTTTCGGACCGGGTCGGGCTGGGGCTCCACCCCCTCGGGCCGGGCCGGACACGGGCTCAGATTTTAGGCCCGTGCAAGGCTCTACCCTATAGGCCCTTTCTAACCATACTCTGTTATAATACATACTCTGTTATAATACATACTCTGTTATAATACATACTCTGTTATAATACATACTCTGTTATAATACATACTCTGTTATAATACATACTCTGTTATAATACATACTCTGTTATAATACATACTCTGTTATAATACATACTCTGTTATAATACATACCTGTGATCTGCAGATGGAAGTAGTCGTTCACATTGTAGAGTGATCTCCGTAAGCCCTTTCAGATTGATGGACAAGAGCAGCTGGGTAATTAGCTGGTCTGTCGTGTGCTGATAACACACACCTGTATGCTCCGGAGCAGAGAGCTGGTACCTTGTACATGATTCTACTGTAATTTTCTTATGTCTGAAACCTTGGAATGAGGATCAGTGTAGTTGTAGTTGCACAGGTAGAATCATTTGTTCTGTTTAGCTTGTTAAGTGCAGTCTGAGATGGTTTTTTTTCTGTGGCACATGCGAACTTTCACACACGTGTGTGCAACATTGACCGACAGATAATGGGATGAGTAAAGAAGTTTTGCCTGGCAGACCTGGATGATCTTGTCCTGCGGTCAGAGTCCGACGATCTCAGCTGGAGAGCCTGAGAAATAAATAAAGGTTTAGTCCAAAAACTGAATAATTGTAATCGCCTCTGAAACATAAAATCCTGGAAAAATTTCATCTAAACCTTGTGAACATCTTATTCCTAATGATTGGTTTCTGATCCATTCATCAAACTTCCCTCTGATGAACCCCCCCACTCCGTGCATTCCTCTCTATGTGCACAGAATGCGTGTGCTCAGCTCGGAGAATGAATGTTCTGTTTGCAAATTTCGTTGAAGGAGTTGCTTCACAGGTTCTGTTTAGAGTCTGGTTCAGTTCTTGTTGGGAAATATTCAGCTGACGGACCTGTTGGACGTGAACACAGCCTGTCCTTTGTCGGCTGGCAGAGCTGTCTGTCAATATGTTGACTTGGCCGCACATGTTTGTGCGGGGCCAGCGGAGAGACGGTTCTGGAGGTTCTGACCTGCTGTTCATAGGGTTGTCCCAGATTGTCGGTGGCACTGAGCTGCTGTGATTTTCAATTTAAGAATAAACCAATCAAGCAAAAAAAAAAAACGGCCTAATTTTTCCACCCTAAGAACACCACGCTATATTAGCTAGCATGCTAAATTGTTATATGGTTAAATAAGTGTGTGATGTTAGGAATCATGGCAGAAAAAGTGGAACAACGGGTCTAAGGAAAACTGAATCCTCACGAGCAAGGAGTCCACGTTCTGGTATTCTGGAGGTGCAGCTTGGGGGGGGCAGTTCCACCTTCAAGTACAGGAACCAGCTTCTTCCTATGCTTCCCACCTTCTCAGTGGCCTAGTGGTAGTGTCCACCCTGGCACTGGGAGCTCAGGGTGAAAACCCTGGTCGGGTCAGACCAAATGCTTTCAAAATGGGGCCCAATGCCTCCCTGCTTGACACTCAGCTTTAAGGAGTTGGGTTGGGGGTTAAACCACCAAATAGGTCCCGAGCGCAGCCACTACTGCAGCTCACCGCTCCACACGGGAATGGGTCAACGGTGGAGATGAATTTCACCAGGCTGTGTTGAATTAATGGGACGTTATTGACTTTTTCCCAGGAGCTGTCCTGCCTCGGGGCAAGAGATGATGTGTAAGGTATGGTGACAGTCCTGTGTCCCATCGTGTGTCTGATTTGTGCAGATGCATCCTCCGAGTTAGAGTCCCACCAAGGCTACTACGCTGGCCTGGTGCAGAAATCGATGGGTCAAAGCAACCTGGCCACAGAGGAGATCGAGCGTGATCTGCATCGTTCCCTGCCGGACCATCCAGCTTTCCAAAACCCCACCGGGATCGCCGCCCTCAGGAGAGTCCTCACTGCATACGCTCACCGCAACCCAAAGATCGGATACTGTCAGGTATTTACGAGGTGTGGGGGGAGGAAGGAATCTCTGCTGCAGCACGTTTGAACTTCCTGCTTCAGGGTCTGACTTTTGTGTGAACCCTCTTCTTCTTCCGTTCACATTTCTCCAGTCCATGAACATCCTGGCATCGGTCCTGCTGCTCTACTCCAAAGAAGAAGAAGCTTTCTGGCTCCTGGTGGCTGTTTGTGAGAGGATGCTGCCCGACTACTTCAACCGCAGAGTGATAGGTGAATAAAAACTAAACAGGATTTCTGTCTCTGTTGTTTCTCACTCAACTTATGATTCAAAGGCTTTTTTTCTGGGTCTTACTTCCTGTTTTTCTCAGGCTATTTTTGAAATAATATCCTCTTCCTTTGAACGTCTGCTTGTTTGTGGGAGTTTCCTCTTAAACCTTTTTTATCTCTGCATGCACAATGGATCAGACTCATTTTTACACCCCCCGGCGCGCATAAATTTACCCATTTTTCTGACCGTTTATGTAAGAGAGGTTGTCCTGGTAACAACCTGCCTTTATTGGCTGCTCAGGTGCTTATTTGTCTGTCTGTGTTTTTACAAGACATGGAAAATGTGAAAGTCCAGCCTTTGCTGCCATCTAGTGGGGTAAAGAATGATGACATGCAGTCAAGTGTTAGAAATAATCTATTTATCTGCAGTCTGTTGTCTAGGGTTTTAATCCTAACTCTGGTGTGTTATTTAGACCCTGCTGATCACGACACCGCCCTCTTGCTAACAAACAGACACGCGCCTCTCTGACTCTGGCGTTTCCTCCTGCAGGAGCTCAGGTAGACCAGTCTGTGTTTGAGGAGCTGATCCGGGAGCGTCTGCCTGAGCTGGCCGAGCAGGTCCCGGACCTCTCCACCCTCTCCTCCGTCTCTCTCTCCTGGTTCCTCACCCTTTTCCTCAGCGTCCTCCCCTTCCACAGTGCTGTTTGTGTGGTAGACTGCTTCTTCTTCCAGGGCATCAAAGCCATCTTTAAGTTGGGTCTGGCCGTGCTGGAGGCCAACGCGGCACAGCTCTCTGCGTGCACGGATGACGGACAGGCGCTTATGATTCTCACCAGGTAGCTGTGTGTGTGTTTACTTGAGCTGTTGTACACATAAGAATCTCATTCAGAGCGCATTTGTCTTTGGCGACCCCTAACCCCCCACTGTGTGCAGTTTTCTGGACCGGGTTGGAAGTGAAGAGACTCCTGGTGCAGCGTTGTGTCCGCCTACAGAGGAGAACAGCGGCAGTGACACTGACATTCCAGCTGTGGGACACATAAACATCACTGTGCTCATTAACGAGTCCTTGGAGGTGTGACATAGTGCGGTGAAAAGAAACGACTCGTATCCATATTGTCTTCTTAAGAAAACACGTTACCGTTGCTCTGTTTGAATGGATCCTTTCCTGTCTTCTCGTCAGAAATTCAGAGACCTGACAGTCCGTCAGATTGAGCGTCTTCGTTGTCTCCACAGAATCCAAGTGCTGCAGGCTCACGAGGACACCATCAAAGAAAATGCTGTGAGCCGATAAAGACGCACAGTAACTGCAGGCCTACTGTGTCATTTGATTCTTTCCTCAATGGTCCCTTTCTTTGTTTTCCTGCATAGCTGCGACTGGTGACCCCTGATGTCTCCATCTCTCCAGAAACTATGTCTGACATCTACGACCTCTTTAAGGTATCATACTTTTTTCTTAAAGTAACACTTACGTTTTCTACAGGTTGAAAGCATCATAACCACTGTTGTAAATAAGCTTGCCACGGCCTGCTGCACCTAGTGCTAATAACGAGCTCACGCTAGCACGAGCCAACTGAATGAGCCATGAAGAAAAAAGATCCAGTAACAACAAAGCCAGGTCACCATCAGTCCATCAGCTAGTTTGTATTTGAATGTCACAAATGATCATCAATAAGAAATTATTTATGGATTTGATGAAATTTTAAAACTGGGAACGTTATCTCTTCAGAAAGTGTCCTGCTTTTCCCTGTGTCCGTTCTCCAGACGGAGCACTTCATCAGCCTGTACTGGGGCGACAGCAGCTCTGCGGCAGCAGCAGAAGCAGCAGCGTGGCAGTACAGCGACTCTGGTCGCTCCTTCGTGGAGCGCCAGTATCGGCTGGACCGACCCCAGTTCAAAAGCCTGTATGGGCTGCTGGCACCGTGGCCCACCGTCTCAAACCAGCACACCGACACACTGGCTAACCGCACCTTCACCCTGCTGGACCAGGACCATGACAATCTGGTCACCTTTAAAGAGTTTAGCAGCTGGCTGGGTGAGGGGATCACAGCTGTGAAGAAACTGTAATTTAAATCTAATCCAAGAGCTAAACTCCGTCTCCTTATTTTCAGATACTTTGTACTGTGAGGAGCTGAATGAGAAAATACGGCTGCTGTATCGCCTTCACATCCCTCCAGGTTGCTCTCCTGTGAATGTTGATAAAACGCCGTTTGGGCTGCTGTTGGGTGGTAAACTTCATGCTGTTTCTGTGTCTGCAGCTCTGACTGAACATGAGGAGGATTCATCTCTCAGGAGCACCCTACTGTCCACAAACAGACCTCTCTACCTTAACAAGGAGCCCTCTGGTTGGTCCTTTGAGCACAGATGTTCATAATGTCTTCTTGAGCCTTTTTTCTAACGTGACTGACTGTGAAACAGTTCTTGCAGGAGCAGAAGAAGCAGTGAAGGACTACCAGGAGCAGCTAAAGCAGATGCTGCAGGATCTGACCAAAGAGAAGAAAAAAGATGTGGACCAGCCTCTGCCGCTCATGAATCAGGTGCTAAAACCAGAGTCGTCTAACTCATGTTTCATCTCTGATGCTATAAAAGCTCTAAATGTGCAGACTGTGGAAAGAAGGTGTGAATTTTTACCCCTTCTCCTCTTTTCCAGCGAGAGTTCATCCAGTTCTGTAAGACGCTCTACAGTATGTTCCACGGGGACCCGGAGGAAAACGAGCTCTTTCAGGCTATCGCCACAGTCACAAGCCTTGTGCTGCAGATCGGTGAGGCCAGTCACCACGGGCAAGCCAAAGGGTCAGAGGTCAGCGGCCAAGAGGAGGCAGAAGCACCGGAATGCTGGCGGGAAGCTGGAAGTCTGGCTGCAGCGAGCGAGTGGACGGTCAGCTACGCTCAGATCCTGGCGTCGCTGCTGACCGAACAGGCGCTGGTGAACTTCTTCGAGAAGCCGGCGGACCTGTCGGTGAAAATTGCCGAGGCCAAAGAGAATCAGTACCAGCAGAGGGCGGGTTTGCTCACGCTGCAGCAGCGGACCAGGTGACTGCAGTTAGAACAGAGACGGGCGGCTGGAAGCCTGACCTCCTTCACTAACGCTCACCACACGCGTAGAAGTGACTGCAGAGTTTTCCAGAGCATTCTGAGCCATTTACGTACAGCGCCACAAACCTTTAAGTTATAACCGTTTCCTTCTTCCATCGCCACGACGATGCCTTCAGTTTACCCGTAATCCTGTCTGCCACTCAAGTGTTAACAGACTAATGACTTCATAATTATTAAAAGTCCATTCACCTTGTTCCCAGGAAGCTGCCTTATTTAAAACTTTAACCAGGAAACCTTAAAAACGGCTAGTTTTCTAGGCTGAACGTGTTCTTTTTGTAATTATTTTATTACTTCTGTTTCCTCAAAATAAAATGTTTTCACACACTCACTACTCGTGTTTGTCGTTTTTAAAAACATTTTCATTCCACTAAACCTGCTGGAGTTTTCCCTGCGGTGACTCCTACCTGTGGATGTGCCACAAATGTCTGGATCTTAGCTCTCTAATGCAACGTTTGGGTCAGAGGAACCTCATTCTGTAAATGCTGGACAGTAAAACCCAACCTAAGAAGAGGCTGACAGAAAGAAGCAAACACACATGAGTGAAAGGAGGCGGAGGGCTGCAGGAGCTTGTGTGCTTTATTAGCTACTGATTAAAGGTAGAGGACAAGCCTTAGCCAGGACCTAAACAATCGGAAGGAACAAAACACACATAATAGTTTATCAGCCTTCGTGGAGGCTCAACTCTTCAGGAGTGGTTTGATCTCAGGAGACGGATGATAACCGACTCCTTTTAATCTGATTGTCTTAATCTCAGAGATTAGTGGGACAACATGAGCCCAAAGTGTTCAGAAGGAAATACTCATCAGTAGAGCTAGGACAAAAATAGTACATTAAATTACGCTATCAAGGTTTTTGAATGTACAAAGTGGTGGGTCAGGTTGTAGGTTAGCGAGACATTTATACGGAGCGGTTCCAACAATCTAACAGTCATTCACTGTAAGCATGGTGGGTTATTAGAGGTGTTTCTATGAAGCTTTCATCACATCCACAGGGAACGGGGCAGCAGACTTACCAACAAGAAAAACAACACCAATCAAATCACCGTTCAAAAGCCAGAAGAAACTAAAAGCTACAGATTGCACCGAGTCATGACTGTGACAGGAGGAGCAGCCAGCTGGCCCTGTGGATGGGTCTCGCCCACTCTGGAGGGACGATGGGCGGGCTTCTGTCTTTAAATGGCTTCCACGTAATTGGCAGGCAGCATGCCGGTCTTGCCGGTGCGCTGCACTGTTCCGTACATCCAGCCCTCGTCGATGGACTGCACGTTAACGATGACGTCACCGTCTTTGAATGACACCTCATCGCCGTCTGCTGCGGCGTAGTCGTACATGGCTCGCACGGTTTTCTATGGGAGACCAACGAAAATGAAAAATTATGTTTGTGAAGAGTGAATGTAAAAGTCATCCAGCTGTAATGTTTATTCTGAATGTAAAACCTGCTCTGATGTAATGTTAAATAATAAATGGCCTGTATTTGATATAGCGCCTTCTAGAGTCCTGGAACCCCCCAAGGCGCTTTACAACACAATCAGTCATTCACCCATTCACACACACATTCACACACTGGTGGGGATGAGCTACAATGTAGCCACAGCTGCCCTGGGGCGCACTGACAGAGGCGAGGCTGCCGAGCACAGGTGCCACCGGTCCCTCCGACCACCACCAGCGGGCAACGTGGGTTAAGTGTCTTGCCCAAGGACACAACGACAGCGACAGACTGAGCGGGGCTCGAACCTGCAACCTTCCGATTACAGGGCGAGCACTTAACTCCTGTGCCACCGTCGCCCCGTTTAAGCCGTAGTTTATTTGTTCTGAATGTAAAACTGCAACAAAGGGATGTTAACTACAGTTTTTTACATTTTGACTAAAGATGGGAGAAGGCCCTTTCCTGACATGCCTGCCCTTATTGCCTCTTTTACTCCCTTTTTGCCCAAAGTGCCATGAGGGCTAAAAATCTCCCGTCACAAACTGTGCAGCTCTTTTTACACTGATTATACTTCACATACATTTTATTCCTCTAAATACGCACAACATCTCATTTAAATAAAGGCAAGCTGCACCTGAGCCGAGTCGCTGTTTGACAGCACAGAATGAAGTGAAAACGCCTTTTTTTTAGACGGCTTTGTGAATCGATGGAGAGACACAGAAGTCGACCCATGCCATTGTGAACTTTTGCCAGTGAGTGTAACACAGGTGTGTGAGTCACTCACCCCAGTGGTGGAGGGGTGTGAGGGAACGGAGGAGACAGTGGTCTGCTGGGTGGCCACTGATGATGACCTCTGCTGCAGCTCCACAGTTTTAGCCTGCTGGTAGCCTGTAGATGGTCACAATTACACACAGGTAAGTTGTTACTTTATCAGGCACCCTGGTTTTTAAAGTTTATCTGGTAAAACATCTAAAACAATGTAACGGACTAGTAGTGATTTCGGGTCAGTACCTATGGAGCTGGTCATAAAACCATTGCTGTAGAGAGACAGGTGGTGGTCCACATCCTGGGACACCTCTGACTTCTCATCAGCCAGGCCACTCAAGGCGCTGGTGGAGCGGGAGTGCTCCTTGCTGCGGCGCTGGGCTTGTACTGTCAGAACCATGTCCAGTAGAACATTCTAGTCAGAACATTCCTGCTTCTCTGAACCTTTTCACAACCCGCTGACTGAGAGTGAGGTCAACAGCTGCTTGTTTTGTATTAAACGTTTCTATTAAACATTACAAGTACAGTGAGATCATTCTCCTTTCTTTTTGGTAATGTCACCATTTGAAATATTTCTGCTAAATAACTCTTTGAAAAGTGTTAAATTAAAGGGACTTTACAGACTTTTGAATTTTTATGCTCGCGATTGCCCTCTCAGGCCAAAAGCGTAATGGCAGCATCAATAGTAGGCTCGTGCACGAGGCGCGCATGCTGTACGTGCACACTCCTTAACGAAAATAACAGCTGAGACAGTCCCGTGTGTGTGTGTGTGTGTGTGTGTGTGTGTGTGTGTGTGTGTGTGTGTGTGTGTGTGTGTGTGTGGCCTGGAGGACAGAGGACAGGAGAATGCGCAGCTAATTAATTAAATAATTTGGTTCTGTACCTTTCTCTTCAGCACAGCCGACAAAGGTTTAAGATGGGTCAGTCCTCCTGCATGCTCAGATCATTCCCTTCCCTTGCTTGAAAAATTGTTCCAAAATGAAAGTTCAACCCACATCTTTTTTATCTGTGAATTCAATGCCGTTCGGCGAGTCTCAAATAAAAATTTGTGTGTCTTACTGTAAAAAAATATACCATTAATGTAAAAAAGAAACTCTAAATAAATTATGTTCGCATCCAGAATCGAACCCAGGTCTTCTGCATGGGAGTCAGACATCTTACAAGAATGATACTGCAAATGTTACTAGAGCTACACTCTAGTAACATTCACAGTATCTGTAACATTTATATCCTTGATAATAGCTGAAACAACGTCAAACCAAAGAACGGTTCGGAGCGAAAATGTCTATTTTGTTGCTAATTTGCAGGAACTATCTAGAAGAAAGTTCTACAGAAAGTAGCTAAGGGTCCTCAGAAATGTAGCTAGCTTTGTCACTAGGTGTTAGGAACAGCGACACAGTGGCACTGCCTCTCTCTCTGCTGCTAAAGCTACTGATAGCAAATGCTACGGGCTATGCCTGAGCGTGAACGCGCATGAAGCAGCCTGCTCGACCCGAGCAGCTCTCTTTTTCTGTGATTTTACAGAAAAACAGGCAATCACAGTAAAAATGCCAGGGCTCATTCTACAGGACCAGGGCATTGCAGGAGAATGTATGAAGAAGACATTTATTATTTCTATACATGTTTTGGCTGTCAAACTTCCATAATGCCCCTTTAAGTTAAGACTCCAATAGCGAAACATCATGAAACAAAGTGAACATTTTTTAAATTTTAGGCCAAATTGTTTTCTTTACTAAACCCTTTAATGCCTGAATTGTGAAACTATATTTGTTTTTAAATGGAACGGTTTATGTAATGCTCATTAAACAACTATAAAGTAATCAGGTGTATTTTATTATATAATTATAAAACAGTGATAGAAAACTAAAACAGGCCCTTGCCACGTGTAGTTCCTCGGCCAGAGGTGGACTGGATCTGGCAGGTTTGTGATGAAGGCACTAATCCTGATAATAATAATAATAATAATAATAATAATAATAATAATAATAATAAGTCTGAATGCTTTCACACCAGAATAGGGTTGATGCTAATTTTCAAAACCGTACCTGACATCATGTGCAGACTCCTGGACTGAATGTTGTCCTCAGCTGGATCATAATCAAACACAGAGCCGGGGTTTGTGCGCCACACACGCAGATCTGAGGATATAAACTAAGTTATATAATCTCACAAAGACCGATGGGACTCAAACTGTCTGATCCCAGCTGGTTGTGTCTGTCTCACACCAACAGTCCTCAGAGTAAAGGTGTGTGATCGTACCCGTGATGGTCTCCTGGTCATGCTCGATGGCGCGTCTCCTCTCCATCTCCACCACGCGCCTCTGGATGCCACGGTAGCTGATGTCGCTGAAGTCCTGTGTGTTCTTCTTCACACGCTCTGTCACCAGGTCAGAGGTCGTTGGAGTGAAGCTGCCCTTGCTCTTCTCAAAGTCTTCGTGGTATTTCACCTAAAGAGTACAAATTAAGACCAATGGAAGTGAGCTAGAGTCAGGGTTTACTCATCATGCATGTGAACATGTTAAGTTAGAGCTTTTTAGGAGTAACTTCTTCTGACATTAAATAATTAGAATAGATGCACGCAGCTTGAAAACAAACAACTTACACCAGAGATGATTCGCTGGGTCTCTCTGACACGCCTCATCTCAGGTGTGTCCAGAACGAAGGCAGCCTTGCCCTGCACCTGCTTACGGAAGCTGTCAGAATACATCACCTAGAAGGGACAGGAAGTAGGAAGAACATGCAACATAAAATCAACGTCTCATTGTGTTTTCACCCAAAATCAAAACGTTAGCGTCCACAGCACAAAGAAAGAAATCCAAACGCACAGAAAGTTGCTGGATTATTGATGGATTTCAGACAAATGAATTAGCAGGAAGACTTTTATCTTAATGCAAGAGTTTGAAGAGTTAGAAAATAAATAAAAATTGGCAGAAAAGTTACATTGTGATCTTCAGAGGGAGAGAGACAGGGAAAAAGATGAAGTGGTGCAGTTTGAAGAACAGAAGAGGTTAGCAGCAGCGATGGAATACCACAGCTGGTGGGATTAAACAGTTCTTCTCAAACAGCAGTCTGGATTATTAAGATTAACAAGAGCAGTTCTCAGGTCAGTTAGACAAAGGTTAACAAGAAGTTTGTCATGAAGAACATGTTCTTGCAGATGTTCTGAAGGTACCGAGCTAATGTTCTCTTGGTTCCGTTTGACTCGCTCCATCTCTGGAGTAAAGACCACAGGCGTTCCCTTGTTTGAGCTGTCCTTATACAACACCTACAGGACAGAAGCACAGCAGCCCAGAGGGACAGTCAGACACTCGAGGGAGTCTTTAACACAACACACCTTTCACACATTTGGTCTCTTGAGGCCTGAACTCTTGAAAAAAGATACAAAAGGGACATTTTCAGGAAATATTGAGACCGACTGATATTAAAGAAATTATTCCTTTAATTCAGTGAAATCTGAGTCTAAGAAACTGATTCCATAGTGGGAATGAATCACTGTGTACGACCATCCTGGTAGCTCCAAGATTTCTTTAGAAGGTTCAGACATATATAAACATTAGTCACAGCTCAGCTGAAGATGTCGCTTTTCATTTCCTGGGAAGCCGAAGTTAACGTAGCAAAATGTATCAAGTTTATGTGCAGGAAGCAAGGCTGCAGGTTAGAAACGATTCTGGAGGATTAGGAGGGATGGGAATGGAAGTGAACGGTGATGATGGTAGGGGCGGATCTCGGGAAGCTGCAGTCGGAGCCTTAAATAAAGATGGATAAAGGGGAGACAGAGATAAGTGTGAGAGATGGCAGGAGAAAGGGGGGACTAGTGATGTTCACTCTTGGTTAGGAGCACACATGGTTCGGTTTCGTTCCACTACCGAGCTGATGTGCCTCTGGGTTTCTTTGACCCGCTTCACCTCGGGTAGATCTGGTATCGCTGTGCCTCGACCCAGAGAGTCCTTGTATTTTATCTGGCGAACAAAAATTTGAGGTTTCATGCAGAGAAACAGGAAGAAAAAAATGAGGTAGATCAGTAACAGGTTTTTATAAAATGACACCACAGCAAAAGACCAAAACCAGACACACACTCTTCACCTGAAAAGATAAGCAACACTTCATGTTAGACACAAAGGAGCAGAGTACTGCAGTAAAATTAATGGGAGGAGTTTAAAATGGAAAGTTTTACATTTGAATGACTGAAGGAGGCTCAGGAGGTGTCACGTTGAGGTTAGGAGGCTTGGACCCAAAATGCAAGAACCCAGAACTACACAGGCAGGAGCGGTTGCAAAAATAAGAATCCTTTATTTTTGGAGGAGTGACAAGACAGGGTTATATACACACATGGGCTGGGTGATTAGGGAATTAGGGAGGAGCAGAACGAGGCGGGGGAGGAAACCAGACCTAAATGGGGAAGGAAGCACAATAAACTTAAGGGAGATACAACGTAGATAATCTAAAGAAAGGTGAACTCATAAACCTGAAACTAGAAACACTCTGGGTTAGATATAGGAACTTAAAGAGACCAGAACCAGAGGAAGAGGACATATAATACAGGGGATCTTAATACTGAAAATGGGTAAACTAAGTAAGAGGTGAGTGCCTAGGGGGAACATGAGGGAAACCTGGAGGGGGCTGGGGACCACAGGGACACAGAACATGACAGGAGGATTGTTACGACAGGCTTTTGAGGGAGATGAGATGCTGGAAAAGGAGAACACAGGGTCACTGCGTCAAAGTACCGTGCTAATATTTAGCTGATTGCGTTTAGCTCTCTCCATCTCTGGCGTTTCTGACACTGATGTGCCGTGTCCCACTCCTTCTTTGTAATGATGCTTTGGAAAGACAGCACAGAGGAGTCAGTTTCTACCACATCCATTGTGGATTAATTTTAACTTACAAGAAATGGACATGAGAACAAATATAGAAATGTCCGGGTAAAAAGAGCTAGTCAGGAAAAGGGCAGAGGACAGACATGGATACATTTGTTGGTACCCTTCCATTGGTCACTGGAACAACTTAAACCCAGTGGCCTCCTGCCAGCCAGACATACCTGAAACACCTCCACTGGGAGGCATCCAGTGGGCATTCTCATCAAATTCTTAACCCTCTCAACAAGGAGGAGCAGCAGCTCTACTCTGACTCCCTTCCAAACATCTCTAAGGCTGAGCCAGGCCAACCGATGGAAGCAACTCATTTCAGCCACCAAAGTGAGGATTGGGATGAAAATCAATAGGTACAGTGGTACCCCGTCAATGTTTCACAATTTGTTATATTGCAGCCATTTACTAAAATCAATTAAACACATTTTATTCCTCATTAATGAACACACAGCACCCCAATGACATAAAAACAGAGAGTTATAGAAATTTCTGCAGATTTATTAAAAAAGACAAAGTGAAACATCACATGGTCCTAAGTATTCAGACCCTTTGCTGTCACACATATATTTAACTTTCCATTTCTTCTGCTCATCCTTGAGATGGTCCTACACCATCATTGGAGTCCAGCTGTGTTTGATTCTACTGACTGGACTTGGTTAGGAAAGCCACACACCTCTCTATATAAGAGCTTACAGCTCACAAAGCATGTCAGAGCAAATGAGAACCATGAGGTCAAAGGAACTGCCTGAAGAGCTCAGAGACAGAATTGTATCAAGGCACAGATCTGGCCAAGGTTACTAAAACATCTCTGCTGCATTTCAGGTTCCTAAGAGAACAGTGGCCTCCATAATCCTTAAATGGAAGACGTTTGGGATGACCAGAACCCTTCCTAGAGCAGGTTGTTCAGCCAAACTGAGCTACCGGGGAGAAGAGCATTGGTGAGAGAGGTAAAGAAGAACCCAAACATCACTGTGGCTGAGCTCCAGAGATGCAGTTGAAGAAGGTTGTAGAAAGTCAACCATCACTGCAGCCCTCCACCAGTCAGGGCTTTATGGCAGACTGGCCCGTTGGAAGCCTCTCCTCAGTGCAAGACATGTGAAAGCCAGCATGGAGTTGCCTAAAAGACACCTGAAGGACCGTGAGATGGTGAGAAATAAGATTCTCTGGTCTGATGAGACCAAGATAGAACCATATGGCCTTAATTCTAAAAGGTATGCATGGAGAAAACCAGGCACTGCTCATCACTTGTTCAATACAGTCCCCACAGTGAAGCATGGTGGTGGCAGCATCATGCTGTGGGGGTGTTTTTCAGCTGCAGGGACAGGACGACTGGTTGTAATCAAGGGAACGATAAATGTGGACAAGTAAATGGATATCCTGGACAAGAACCTTCTCCAGAGTGCTCAGGACCTCAGATTAGGCTGAAGCTTTACCTTCCAACATGACAATGGCCCTAAGCACACAGCTAAAGTAAAGAAAGAGTGTCTTCACGGCAACTCTGTAACTGTTCTTGAATGGCCCAGCCAGAACCCTGACTTAAACCCTAGTGAGCATCACTGAAGAGACCTAAAAATGGCCGTCCACCAACGTTCACCATCCAACCTGACAGAACTGGATAGAGTCTGCAAGAAGGAATGGCAGACGATCCCCACATCCAGGTGTAAGAAACATGTTGCATCTTTACCAAGAAGACTCGTGGCTGTAGCTGAAAAGGGTGTTTCTACTAAATACTGAGCAAAGGGTGTGAATACTTAGGACCATGTGATATTTCAGTTAGTCTTTTTTAACAATTCTGCAGAAATTTCTAAATGTTTTTCTGTCAATGTTGGATGCTGTGTGTTCATTAATGAGGAAAAAACTAATTTAATTGATTTTGACAAATGGCTGCAATAAAAGAGTGAAAAATGTACGGGGTCAGACTACTTTCCGTACTCACTGTAAATTGAAAGCTTTTCTTCCTGGCTTAGCTCCCTTTTCACCACAGTAGTCTGGTTAAGCAGCCGCATCACTGTCCACTAAGTCCTGATCCTCCAGTCAATCTCCCTTTCCCTCCTTCCCTCACTCGTGATCAAGACCCAGAGATACTTTAACTCCCCCAATTGAGGTAGGACCTCTCTCCCACCCTAGAATTGGTAATCTAACCTTTTCTGGTTGACAACTATAAAGATTTATGGACTTGATCTTCCTCTCAGCCACTTCACGCTTGGCTGCAAACCTTACTGGCAAGAGTTGAATCATGCATGACTTTACCTAAAAAAATTGAATATTTTGAAATTGGATGACTGCCTGAATCATCTTGGAGTAAATAAAGCTGACAGCCACCAGCACATCACCCAATGGCAGAATGTGCACACAAAACCAGAGGGGTCCCAATATTGAACCCTGTGGAACACCCCAAGCTAGATGGGAAAAATCAGAAGACAAGACCTCCATCCCTACACACCCTATTCTGTTTGTGAGACAGGACTGAAACCAATTTAAAGCCAGGCCAGAAATTCCCATGTAATACTCGAGACATTCGTGACCCACAATATCAACCGAACAAGCAGCATGTACCTGCTGCCATCTTTTGCTAGAAGAATATTATTCAACACCTTCAGCAAAGCTATCTTAGTACTAGTGGTTTAAAACCAGATTGAAAGAGTTCTGAACAGCTATGTTCATTACAAATGCAGTCAACTGACCATAGACACATAGAGAGGGGCCTAAAAGAAGCTGGCGATGTTGCATCTAGCCCAGGTTTTTTAAAGAATGGGTGAATGATCACTTTAAAAATCATGAATTTTTCCATAAGTTGACATTCAGCACATTATAAATGAACCATTTGAAATTATTTTATTAACCATAGTGGGATTTTTCTTTGACCAACAACGTTATCCATGTTTGTGTGTTTAAATAAAAATATCACTGGGAAGAAATTCTGGGGAAAAGGAATGACTTTTAAACGTTGTTAGAATGAAAAGGGAGAAAATCAGCATTAAATAAAAAAAACTGTTCATTTAATGATTGTTACGTTAGTTAAGTTTGAGGGATACTTTCAAGGGGGAAAGTTGCTACATCAAAGTACCGTGCTAATATTTTGCTGATTGCGTTTAACTCTCTCCATTTCAGGGGTTTCTGACACGGATGTGCCGTGTCTCAGTCCTTCTTTGTAATGATGCTATGGAAGAGACAAAACAGTCACAGAAGGTGGTAGCACACTCCAGGGAAGATTAGTTTTAAATTTAGGAGAAAGAGACACATGGAAAATATATAAATATCCAGGGAACAGGAGCAAAGTGGAACAAGGGAACAGGAAATTACAGCATGTTTAGGTGAAAAACCAATTCTGGAAGACAAAACAACAACAGAGGAATGATTTTAAGGACTTGGTGAGTGAACGAAAAGAAAACAAGCCCAAAAATGGTCGGTTTTTGGTAAAAGGGGTTTGTAAGGAGGAGGCTCACTGCATCAAAGTACCGTGCTAATATTTTGCTGATTGCGTTTAACTCTCTCCATCTCGGGGGTTTCTGACACGGACGTGCCGTGTCCCACTCCTTCTTTGTAATGATGCTTTGAAAGAGACAAAACCAGTCACATAAGGTGGTAGAACACTGCAGGGTGGATTCGTTTTAGTTTAGGAGGAATGGAAAAAAAATCATCTGGAAAAAGGGAGGAAATTATAGCCATGAAATCTAAACCAACCAAAGCAGTAGCAAAAACGTTTTGCTCTGCAGGTCTTACAAGGCTAAGGAAATTATTGTTCAGGGACTAAAAGATCTTCGTGAGTTCATTCTCAGTACAAAAAGGAAGGATGTATAGAACGTGGCTAGGATAATTGAAGTATATTTTTAGGGTAGAAAGAGTTTGGGGGTATTTTCAAGGAGGAAAGTCACAGCAGTCATTTTTTTTATCTACCAGACTGATATTCTTCTGGGTGTCTCGGACCCGCTTCACCTCCGGGAGGTCTGGAATGGCTGTCCCTTGACCCACTGATTCCTTGTATTGTATCTGCTCGTTGCAAATGTCAGAAGTACAGAATGAGACAGCTGAAGGTTATGCATAATTCACAGATTAAACTGTGAGTTTTTTATTTAAAGTTTGTATGATGAGGATTATGGATCAGCCATGGACTTAAAGTATCTTTCCGGAGTTTTCCCCTTTCAGAAATTATGTATAATTTTTCAGAAATCCGTAAAAGTGATGATCTCATCATGTAATGTGATACAATGTAACCAATACGTCTTTATTTTTTTTGCTAAGAACACTCCCTGCTGCCCAGGGATCCGTGCAATAGGAAACTGAGCGCCGACCAGAACTAACCAATAGCGTTAGACTACCGCTTACTTACTTCAAGTTTAAGGAATACCTCGGCTGATGCAGCAGAACTTTTCACGGACAAGAAAGTTTCTAAAATAAAAATATGCGAGAACACAACATGACATGAGAATAATACTCGTAAAACAGCGTAGTTTGTCGGCTACAAAAAAACCCGCATCAACGGCCTTTGTGTGATATGCTTGTCAGCCACTAAATGGTGACATCAGACAAGAGAAATACTCCGGAAAGATACTTTAAAGTCCAGATGACGAAAATGTTAACGTGAGAACCCGTTATGTTATTAAACGGGAACAAATTACATGAGAAGTTAGTCCTGGTTTTATTTTTAGATACTGGTTCATGAGTTCAATATGGAGGAAAGAGGAATGATGGGGTCACTCGGAGTACCGTGCTAATGTTCCGTTGGTTACGTTTAACCCTTTCCATCTCGGGGGTCTCGGGCAAAGATGTTCCTCCTCCCAAATCTTCTTTGTAATGAATCTTTGTATGAATGAGGAACGGAAGCAGGAACCTGCGGTTAGCCTGATTTTTATACTGAACGCTATGAGTTTCATTCTCATTTCTGTTATACGTCTGGAAAAATCAGCTTGCGATCACAAATCATCATGGTAAATGTTAAATGGTGTGTTTAAGTATAGTGCCTTCTGGGGTCCTACAACCCCCCCGAGGCGCTTCACAACACAATCAGTCATTCACACACTAGTAAGCTTCATAAAACTATGACACACAACATCATACTTATACCACACAAGCTCTGCAGCAACTAGCATAAATGCTACACTATGAAATTAATTTTCAGGGATTAGTTGCATCATTTAAAATGTGTCTAATAAAGAATTCATATCAGTTTGTTAAAACAAGGAAAGACAGGCTCAAATGGAGGAAACAAGGTTAAAAAAAGAGATGTTATAGAAAAATTAAAAATGATATGAAGTAGATACCAAGCTGAAATTCTTCGTATTCTCTTTAACACGGAGTATTTCAGGCGTGTCCTTTACCGCAGACACTTTGCCCTTTATGTTTTTAAGGTCAGTCTGGTACTGATGCTAGAAGGAGAAAAACAAGAGGTTTAAATGTTTCACTGAGACAAAAACAAGAAGCATCAGAGCTAGAAGAGACAATACTTACAGAACATCCGTCACACATTACTTGATTTAGACTAACAGCACATACACAACAACACATCTTGTAATAAAAAAGCAGTATAAATGACTTAAAGGGACTTTACGGAGTTTTGAATTTTTATGCTCGCGATTGCCCCCTCAGGCCAAAAGCGTAACGGCAGCTTCAATAGTAGGCTCGTGCACGAGGCGCGCATGCTGTACGTGCACACTCCTTAACGAAAATAACAGCTGAGACAGTCCCTTGTGTGTGTGTGTGGCCCGGAGGACAGAGGACAGGAGAACGTGCAGCTAATTAATAAAATAATTTGGTTCTGTACCTTTCTCTTCAGCACAGCCGACAAAGGTTTATGATGGGTCAGTCCTCCTGCATGCTCAGATCATTCCCTTCCCTTGCTTGAAAAATTGCTCCAAAATGAAAGTTGAACCCACATCTTTTTAATCTGTGAATTCAATGCCGTTCGGCGAGTCTCAAATAAAAATTTGGGCATCTTACTGTAAAAAATATATACCATTAATGTAAAAAAGAAACTCTAAATGAACTATGTTCACACCCAGAATTGAAACCAGGTCTTCTGCATGAGAGTCCAACGTCTAAAGCACCAGCGACATCTTTTGTATCTGTAACATTTACATCCTTGATGACAGCTGAAACAATGTTCAAAGAACGGTTCGGAGCGAAAATGGCTATTTTGTTGCTAATTTGCAGGAAATATCTAGAAGAAAGTTCTACAGAAAGTAGCTAAGTGTTCTCAGAAATGTAGCTAGGTTCGTCACTAGGCGTTAGGAACAGCGACAAAGTCGCTGAGTTGGCACTACCTCTCTCTCTGCTGCTAAAGCTACTGATAGCAAATGCTACGGGCTATGCCTGAGCGTGAACGAGCATGAAGCAGCCTGCTCGACCCGAGCAGCTCTCTTTTTCTGTTATTTTACAGAAAAACAGGCAATCACAGTAAAAATGCCAGGGCTCATTCTACAGGACCAGGGCATTACAGGAGAATGTATGAAGAAGACATTTATTATTTCTATACATGTTTTGGCTGTCAAACTTCCATAATGCCCCTTTAAGCTGCATTATTGTCTCATACATGCAGAAATACCACTATCTGGATCAAACTCTGGTTTCAGCAGGAGCTTTTTGTTTTGACTTACAGTGCTGAAGTTCTTCTGGTTCTCACGGACTCTCTGCATCTCTGGCGTGTCCAGCACCGGTACATAGTGAGACATGGTTTTCTCAGCTTCCTCTTTATATTTTTTCTGCATGAAAAAGAAAAATGTTTGACCAGATGGATTCTGAATGTTTTCAGAGGGTAAAAGGCTGCAGAGAAGTGTGTTTGTATTTCAGTTTTACAGCTGGATGCATACCTGGCTGACGATGTTCCTCATCTGCTGAGCGTGGATGATGTCGGGGGTGTCAATGACGGTAGTGTAGCTGGCTCTGTCCATCTCAGCTGTCTGCTTGTACTTGGTCTGCAAATGGAAGCATCGAAAAAAACGTTTCAGCACAAACATCCCTATACATGTATCTGTCTGTGCTTTCTAACACAACAGGACCCTGACCTGACTGAGGATGTCAGTGGCGTTCCTGGCTCTCATAAAGTCAGGGGTATCTGTGGCCAACGCCAACATCCCTTTGCCTTTGATCTCCTGCTCCAGTGCCTTCTTGTACTCTCTCTGTTAACATGAAACATTGTTACACACAATAATTCTGGTTTTTCTACCTAGGAACAACAAGATTTGTACTCAATCATACTGAGGAGGGCTGCAAAACACCTACAAGGGGACAGGGAATGAAGCAGGTTAGCAGAAATGAGGATGCTTGTTTAGGGAACAAACATGGTGACTGAAGAGCAAAAAGTGTGTGAAGTTGTCAAGAAAGCAAGAACTAGAATAAGAGTCAAACCCTTTTTTAACGAAGCTTTGTTAAGAGGGGAGGGGTTTCACTAAGAGCGGGATTAAAGGAAGTCACTCGGACGAGGAGTGTGATGCCACTTCCACCACCTCTCAGTCAGCCGTACCTCACACAGGATTTGAGTGGCATTCTTTGCTCTCAAAAGCTCCGGAGTTTCCTCCAGTGCAGTTAGCCCTTTACCCTTCACTCCCTCCTCTAGATCCTTCCTGTACTCTTTCTACACGACGGAAGAAGAACAGAGAGACTGCAGAGATGGGCACACAGGCAGGCCAGGCCAGGACATACTGACATTTGCAAGTTAAGCTCAAAGTCATCAAAACCTCCTAAAACAAGAATCCTCTGCTACGATGGTTCCTGTGGTTAAGGATGATCATAACCGAGACAGTGGAGAATACTGACGACTTTGGCAAGAATCCCGATACACACACACACACACACACACACACACACACACACACACACACACACACACACACACACACACACACACACACACACACGCACGCACGCACGCACGCACACACACACACACACACACACACACACACACACACAATAATCTTCAGTTCATCAATGAAACATGAACAGCAGCAACAAAACAAGAAGTCAACATGAGAGGCTCAGTGCTTCATTCATATATTTGCATGCATGTGTAACAGCTGTACAGAATGACAGATTTACACTAAGACCACAAGCAGAAAAGGTCAGTAAACACATGAGCACAACTTTAGAGTCGTTTTACTGGTAAACACTGAGTAGTTAGAACAGTCAACCATGCAAGAACTGAATTAAATCTCATACATGGGCCCAGAAAAGGCAAAGTGGGAAGGAAATACTTGTCAGATTTTTTTAAAGTGAAAAAAGCAGGAAACCCGGTTGTGATATGGTCTTAGTATGATTATAAAGAATGAGTGAAGTAAATGAAGGAAACAATGGATCGTCCTTTAGTTACCTCACTGACTATTTTGGTGGCGTGTCTGACATGAATCATGGCAGGGGTGACCTCCAAGCCTGAGAGGTTCTTTCCCCTCATGTACTCCTCAAAGTCCTTCTTATAGTCTTTCTATTGGCCACAAAGACAAGACAGACAGGGCTCAGATGGCCACATGCAAGCAGTGCTGATGCACTAGCAGCAACATCAATCATTGTGCTTTTATACACTTTAAAAGTATAGATTTGAAAAAAAATTTTTTTCAATATCCATAGTCATGGTGAAAAGAAAGCCCACCCTCCTGATATTTCCAAGCGTTTGTCTCTGCTCAGATCTAAAGGATCGATTCTATTTTTGCCGGACGCCGGAACAGAGGGCGGCGCACTGCGCCGCACTGCCGGAGCACGGCCGCAGTAGTGGAATTGCTCTGATTGACTACAACGGGACCGATTTTGCTCCGGCGTTCATGTCAGAGCGGAGCGGAGGTAGTGGAATTTGGGGGTAAGGTCTCGTTCAGCATTTCAGTGAGGTTCAGGACTGAACTTTTTCTGGACCATTATAGAACCTGATCTTTTTTCCCAGTAGTCTGTTGTAGATCTGCTGCTGTGTTTGGATCATGGTTTTGTTTAATGACTCAGTTTGATTCAAACCAACTGTTAGACAGATGGACTTGGCTCAGGGACACATGCAAGGTGTTTTATTTGGCCCCAATTGCTCCTCTGGTACCTCATGTTTCAACTTTGCTTCCCTGACACCTCACCTGAAAAGTTTGGTCAAATCACTTGGTGTAAAAATTGATGTTTCACTCAGATTTGTTGATCTCGTAAAAGGATTATTGCAACTCCCTTTTAATAGGGGTTGGTCAGAATATTCTGGTGCAAAATGCTGTAGTGCGTTTTTTGATTGGCAAAAGAAAATTTGAGCGCGTCATTCCAGTCCTGGCTTCTTTACACTGGCTTCCAATTGATTTTAGAGTTAGTTTAAAAGATTTTAATGCAGTGGGTATCTGTTATTTTACGTCAAATGTATTTTTTCTTTTATCGTTTTTATTGTTTATTTTATATTTGTGTTTTAAAGCACTTAGGTTGACTACAGTTGTTTTTAAAGTGCTATACAAATAAACTTGGTGTGGTATGGTATGCTGTGCTGTGCTGTGGTATTGCTTGGTATGTTGTGGTATGTATGGTATGGTACAGTATGATATGATGTGCTATGCTGCGCTATGGTATGCTATTCTATCGTATGGTATGGTATTCTATGGTATGGCATGGTATGGTATGGTATGGTATGGTGTGCTATGCTGTGCTATGGTATGCTATTCTATCGTATGGTATGGTATTCTATGGTATGGCATGGTATGGTATGGTATGGTATGGTGTGCTATGCTGTGCTATGGTATGCTATTCTATCGTATGGTATGGTATGGTATGGTATGGTATGGTATGGTATGGTATGGTATGGTATGGAATGGTATGGTATGGTATGGTATGGTATGGTATGGTATGGTATGGTATGGTATGGTATGGTATGGCATGGTATGGTATGGTGTGCTGTGCTGTGCTCTGGTATGGCTTGGTATGTTGTGGTATTATATTGTATGGTATGGTATGGTATGGTATGGTATGGTATGGTATGGAATGGTATGGTATGGTATGGAATGGTATGGTGTGGCGAGAAGCCCAGACCATCAGCCCTCCATCACTAACAGTTGGAGAGACCAGTTGGCCTTTAAATGCATAGACTGTTATTTATCAAGGGAGCTGTGCATTATGGCTAAAGATGCAACCATTCAAGCCGCACTTATGTAGACTTTTTGTAATTCCTCAGTCATGAACTTTGAAATCTTGACTGGCTTGGATTTGTTCCATTTTTTACATTGGTTTGAGATGAGCTTTGTTGTAAATTAGCCACTTATTTTTACTAAAATAAATGGAAACTGAATTTTAAGATCTGAGAGAGCTCTATGGTTTATTACAATTTCTCGGAGCACTACGGTGCCTGACCCTTGTGTTTTCTAACCCTGATCCTGATGACACACTGACCTGCATGTTTTCCATGTCTATGCTTCAGCACACATGATTTACATTGGCTCCTCAGGAGGACATCAAGTGCTGCAGATGCCTGTTAATCACTCATTCGTTTAAGTCAAGTGCGGTAGCAAGAAAACACTGATGTTTAAAAACGCAACATGGAAAACATGCGGGACAGTGTGCCGTGAGGACCAGGATTGGGAAACACTGCTAGATGAATTGGGTTGCAACAGCTGCTTCTAAGTAGCCTGGTAGTAGAGGACGAGTCTGGCAGGCCAGGCTAGCTTCTATGATCACTGATGTTGTCTTTGCTCCATGGTTTTGTGCTAAACTGCTTTTATAAAGAAGCTCACACAGAGGATGACGATCAGGGTGGACTTTCTTTTTCCTTTTTGTTGTACAAGGACTGACCAAAGGCATTCTCTGGTTTACAACATAAGATGATGCAATGCAAGCTGCTGGGTTAAGTTTTACAGATTCCACAGCTAGTTAAACCCTGATACAGTTTAAAACGATCCCTCCAAATAAATAAATAAATAAGAAGGTAAATATTTACTTTAAAAAATAATGAGTAACTGAATTACAATTTTGCTGTTAAATGAGTCTTTGAAGCAAATTTCAGACCAATTGGGTGAATTAAACCTGGAATTCAAGAAGCTCATCAACAGCACAAAGAAAGCAACAATAAAAAAGCATTTAAGAGTCTTTACATTTGAAAAACAGGGAGTGCCTACAGCTTGTTTTAGCGCAAAGGTGTAAAACAGCATATTTACCTGGCTCTGCAGGTGCTGGGCCTCCTTCGCTGTCACATATGTGGGCGTCTCAAAGTCCAGCATGGGTTTGCCCTTCTCCTTCTCATACTTCTCCTTGTATTTTACCTGGAACAGCCCACAAATATCCAATGTCCAAAGGTGTACGTCAACCACTGTCATGTCATCTACTGCTTTTTGTTTGTTTTTAAAAAAATCTCTTTTGTTCTATGGCCACAGGATTTTATAAAAGCTTTTAAACAACACTCACAGGACAGCAGTCCCATAACAACTATGCTTTTATGTGGGTAAGACGTTGGTTCACCCCCACCCTGAGTTTGGACCACTTACGTTGCTCTGGAGCTCAGAGGCCTCCTTGAGATGGAGCTGCTCTGGTGTGTCGGGGATCATGTGGTAGTGACCCTTACTCTCCTCAAATTTCCTCTTGTAGCGGTACTACAGTAACGTAAGGCAGCTCAGTACAACAGGTGAGAAGAAGAGTGCCTGCATGGATCTTACTCCATCACACAGCACAAAATACCTCATAGAATATTGACTTAAAAAAGTGAAAACAAAAATTCAAGGATAATTAGTAAAAAAAAAAAAAAAGGAGGTGTTTGAGTTAGGTGGTTGTTGCAGGTAAAAGTGAATTATTAGACATCATACGAGGTCAAAGTTCAGGTGGATGAAGACAAAAAATGTCAGTGAATGAGAAGGTAAGGATCACTACCAGATGAGATCTAATGGGAGGATGAATCCATGACAAGGTCACAGGTTTATGTTGACTGTTACTGGTGAAATGGTAAATGGCCTGTATTTGATATAGCGCCTTCTAGAGTCCTGGAACCCCCCAAGGCGCTTTACAACACAATCAGTCATTCACCCATTCACACACACATTCACACACTGGTGGGGATGAGCTACGATGTAGCCACAGCTGCCCTGGGGCGCACTGACAGAGGCGAGGCTGCCGAGCACTGGCGCCACCGGTCCCTCCGACCACCACCAGCAGGCAACGTGGGTTAAGTGTCTTGCCCAAGGACACTACGACAGCGACAGACTGAGCGGGGCTCGAACCTGCAACCTTCCGATTACGGGGCGAGCACTTAACTCCTGTGCCACCGTCGCCCCGTGAAGTTAAGACCTACAGTATACCATCAAACCCAGTGGGAGTGTGACAAGGTTAAAGGATGATGAAGATGAGGACAGTGTCTTACGTCACTGGAGAGTTTGCTGGTGCTCAGGCTGTGCTGCATGGACAGCGACTCGGCCATGTCGGTCACAGGTTTGTGGATCTTCTTCAGGTCACCTTTGTACTTTACCTGTGGGTTTAAATACCAGAGACCAGATTCTAAATGAACACCAAACAGATGTAAGATCAGAATCACTGATCTGAGGAAGGTTTTTCATTCCAGGAAAGCCTGCTGCATCATATTTATATCATCATAAGGTGTGAAAGGCTGGAGTCATGGAGCAGGAAGTGACTTAAGTCCATGTACGATGTGTGATGATGGTGGTTTTACCTCACTAGCCAGGTCATTAGCATCCTTCAAAGTTTTGTAAATTTTGCTCTCCTTCAGGTCAAATTGTGGCTTCTTCCCTTTCACCTCCTTATCAAACTTCTCCTTGTACTTCACCTGGTGGGGTTAGAAAGATGTTACTGGACAGATGAAGACCAGCAGTGGACGTGTCAACAGTTGAAACAGAAACGCGTACTTTACGCAATCCCATAAAAAACATCCTTCTTCCTTTCTGCACCATTTTCCATGCATCTTTGCATTTATGATTACATTTTGCAGAGGTGTGACCGAGTCACTGCTTTGCAAGTCACAAGTAAGTCACAGGTCTTTCCAGTCAAGTCTCAAGTCGAGTCCAAAGTCAGTGATGTGAAAGTCCAAGTCAAGTCCAAGTTCTTAACTTTGAATTTTCACGTCATGATCAAGTCATCTGTCCAACTTCAATTTAATGACGATGATAATAAATAAACTCCAGAAATAATGCTTCATTATTCCAGAAATATGCTCAAGTCAACATCAAGTCAACAGATGCAAGTCGATTCAAGTCGCAAGTCATTGGCTTTCAAGTCCGAGTCACGTTGTAAGTCTTTATAGATTTTATCAAGTCAAGTCAGAAGTCTGACCCGAGTCCAAGTCATGTGTCTCAAGTCCACACCTCTGAAATTTAGCTATCGCTGTGCTAATTGATCCCAGATGACAGACTCTGCTACCATTTGCAACAAAACTAGGACATTGTGGGGGGTCAGCACCGTTTGACCTTTCTGATACCGACTATCATTTGGGATCAGTTGCAGTCCATGCACAACACCAGAATGCATCTTCTACTTCACTAGGATCCTTTGATTTTAAAGATTTCTTTTTCACAGCTGATTTTCTCTTTTAAGGAAAAATGTCCAATTTAGTCTGCATGGCTTTTGTAAGATTGTCTGTAAGTTTGCAGATCTTTGCTGCCACCTAGCGCCTAGATTAAAACGATGCACAGCGGCAGTGATTGCTAACGATGCATCTAATGAAAGATCCAGGGGAAACAAGTCTTGAGAAATCACCCGCAGAGTTACCTGAGCACCTACTGCAGTAAAACACAGAGCAATAAGCCACAGCTCATCAGCAGAAGGATGAAAAAGGCAAACAAAGCTAAAGAGCACAATCAAATATCCAAATGATCCGGTCATTCATGTGACTGGATCATTTGGATCAGTTCCTCGTTGTATATAAAGCTCTTTCAACACTGCAGCGAAATCCAAATCTGCTCCGGAGCCATTCTATGGGTTGGTTGGACGACAGACAAGACAAACACGTAGCAGCAGCCCTTTGGTTTTAGGACACGAGCCTCCTTACATCACTAGTCACTGCACTCATTTTCTTAATGTGGCGCATCAGGGGGGTATCATAGGAAGATGCTCCATGGAGGGAGGTCTTGGCCTCCACCTACAAAGCGCAGCAAGATTAGGAATGAGAACACAAAGACATTATGGAGGTCGAGAGGACAGGGAAGAGATTAAAAAGACCAGTAAGGAGTGAGAGAGTGGAGGAAGATGGACAGGAAGTCAGGTTGGAGGGAGGAATGAGACACACATGATGATATGACCAGTTAAAAACATCTGCTTTCATTAAATCACAATGAGAGATTAAAACATGGATTATGATGCAAGACGGCAAAGGAAGTGCTGTAGATGAGCTGCTAGTTCTGTTTCTAGGCCAACAGGACTGCTGCTAAGCACCGCATCTTCACCAATACTACTCTGCACATTAGCAAAAAAACAAAAAACTCTGACAGCTCTCTATTGTGGGGTGGCTGCCATTGACTGGTTCAAACAATCTAATGTAACCATGAGAGAAATCGACAGCAGAAGATGATTATTGTGAGAAACCGTTAGGACAGAGATGTGTGAGCGATGGATGATGTTTGTTTGTTTTGTTGTACCTGGCTTGTCAGCTGAGACACCTGAGTTGCCAAAGCGATGTCTGGACGATTGATCAGAGAACCTCCGCGGCTGGCCTCTTCACGGGCCTTTTCCCGGTAGCCAATCTGAACAAAGAGACATCGGTGGATCAGAAACACTGCTGTCTGGTTACTGGGTGGAGCTGTAGGGCAATGGGTCACATTCAGTTTTAGTTTGGCGAGAGGCAGAGGTGGACTAGGACCAAAATTCGGCCCTGGCACAAATTGTCGGCCCTCAGTTGGCCCTCCCCATTAGGAGAGCAGTGGGGGTGGGGGGTGTTGCCGCCCGCTGACTCGTTTCTAGGCCGAAAGTGAGATCTAATATGGACTGGGACAGTTAAATTACAAGCAGGGCCAGACCGCAGCGACCGGGAGCCCTGGCCTTCCAGATCAGCTCATTCTCCACGGGCGGAGATCAGCGGGACATTAGCTACATGCTAACTCCTACGTCATCGCTCCACTGCGTTTTTCTTGCTACAAACGCCTGGAAAAACTCTGTTAGCTCTGGGTTACCATGCAGCTAATGTTCTGCAGATCATCGTCTGTGGAGTAGTGTCAGCCCAAGCTGGGCAAGCAGCCCACTTGGCTAAGCGGCCCACCGGGACAGTGCCAGAATGCCAGATAGGCCAGTCCACCCCTGGCGAAAGGTATGTTTGCATGTGTGTAATCTGTAGGAGTCAAGATCAGGTTTGGTCACTACGTAGAAGAGCGGCCTGACTTTAACATTTGAAACAGATTTTAGTCACTAGCTCACCTCACTGATCAGTTTAGCAGCCTGAGTGGCCTTCCTGATGTCAGGACGGTCCACTACGGTAGTGTAGTGCAGGCTGGCTTTGGCGTCTTTCTTGTAGGCAACCTGCAGAAGAGCAGCGTGTGAGCTAAAAACATAGCATTAGCAGCACATTTAACATTAACATCAGCTGATTTCTCTCAGCATGGATGCTGACTAAGTCAACTCACATTGCTCTGGCTCTTTGCCACATCCATCGCATGCTGAACATCTGGTGGAACAATCATTTGGTTGTAAATGGACTTCCCCTTTTCCTTCTCAAACTTCGATTTGTACTCTTTCTGTAAGGAAGAACGGACTATCAAGACACCCAGCAGGGGATCCTGGGTTTATTAATTAAAAACAAACGATGAGAAGGTTTTACCCCACTGACGAGCTTTTTGATCCCCTTGCTGTGGGCGGTGTCACGAGTCTCAGACAGGGTGGTGAAAGAGCCGGACTGCATGGCCTTCTTACTGGCCTCCTTGTATTTGCTCTGAAGAAAAGCAGAAGGAAGTCATGAGCAAACTTTCAGTAAGTTTTTGTAAATGATTTATCAGCAGGAAGATGTTAAACCGTTGTTGTTTGATCAGTCGTACCTCTGATACTAAGGTGCGCACAGCTTTGGCATGGAGAATCTGAGGAGTGTCTAAAACGGGCACGTAGTGTCCCTTTTCCTTCTCGTACTTCTCTTTGTACTTCACCTGCAGAGAGAACACGAGCAACACTTCAGAAGGGCCTTTTTGCAAACTGGAAATGAAATGAACTCTAATATTTGTGTTTCGGAGGAATCAAGTGAAGGGGCTCACTTCGCTGGCCATTTCGGCATTTTTCTTGTACATAAGGGTGTACATGTCATTAGAAACAGGTATCACACAGCCCTTCATCATCTCTTTGTCATACTTGTACTCCACCTGCAGGAGTAACAGTGTGAGAGATCCTCATGTGAAGAGAATCAAACATAAAAAAAAAAATAACCCATCACAACTGAATTAGAACTGTCGACCCACATCGCTCTGCTGCAGGGAGTTTTTGGCCGCATTGACAAAGTCGGGTCTGTCAGTTGTCCAGATCCACTTGTTCTTGGTCGCCTCGTACTTCTTCTTGTAGTCGAGCTAAAAACACAGACATGTTGAGCATTACGTTAGACACTCTGAGCTCAGTCTACCAGATCCCGTCGTCAAAGCTGCTCACGTTGCTGATGTTCTTGTAGGCCTCCTTGGCAGCACGGATCTCATGAGCTTCAGGGTCCATGTTGATCTGGGCCTTGCTCCTCTCATACACCTCCTTGTACTTCAGCTGCAGAATGCATAATAACACATCATGCATTTATGTTGTGGGTTTGGTTTGCTTTTGTGGGAAATGATCAAAGCTGCCTGAGACGTACATTGCTGGTGATCTCCTTGACTTTCTTCATGTGCTGTTGGTGTGGTGTGTCATAAGGCAAAGTGTATGCTTTCGCCTTGGTCTTGTTGTACTCCATCTTGTAGAGGATCTAAGAAGGTTAAAAGAAACAATAGAGGCTCTTAAAAAATCCTTACAACCAGAATATACCGGACAAAACCAAAAAATAAAAGCTTACATCAGTGATCTTCTTGCTGCGTTTGTGAGTTTCATACTCAGGCGTGTCCAGAACCGAGGTGAACTTATCTTTGGCTTTCTCGTACTGCTCCCTGTACTTCCACTGAAGGAGGATGAGCGAACACAACAGAGTCACTCCAGATGTTTGTATCTACTTTATAAAAATCACAATAGCTACTAAAGAATTTTCTGCTCACAGTGAAAGAAAATTTAGAGAAAACTATCCAGCAATTTTAATTCAGTTCCTCAAAGAACATTGAGAATAACAGATGCTAAATTCCTGAATTGGAAGCAAAAATGCTTGAATCAGAATCAATCTGAATACTTAGATTGATTATGCATATAAAAATACTAAAACATAATAGTATGATGCAAGAATATGTTAAGTGGTTTTCGTTTGTTTAGCTTTAATTCTCTGGAAATATCATGAACCAAAAACATGCAACAAGGATCTATACCCATCTGATAATGACTTATTGTTGTGGTGGCATGCACATGTGCATTATTGCATGCTTTATGAGTCACACGCATACACAGGTGAAAGTGAAGTTACCACGACTTGATCCGGAGGGCCATGAATCTAAGCACTGGTCCGTATGAATGAATTAGACTTGATTAGCACGTGCAAGGAGATGTTGCAATCAGAAAAGCTATCTTTGAAAAATTGTTTTATAATGAGAAAGCTAGAAAATGCCTGCAGAAAAACCTTGGTGGACTTGCACATTTTCAGTTTTCCTACAGAGCATTCACCCATCAAGTCATCATGGCTGAAGGCCGTTAACTACCAACAGGCAGGCTCGAGCTGCTGCGCACAAACATCTGCTGCTCCGTCTTCAGCCTTTATCTGCTTGTAGAGTCTGAAACGTTCAGTTATCTTAGAGCTTTTGCTGCTGACTTAGCTGAAGAAAAAAGTAAAATCACATAAATATCAGTGACTTTGGTGCTGATCTCAAATGTTGCTTTTTATTAACTACATTCTAGTGTTAGCGCAACTCTAAACGTGTAAATTATCACGGCTTTGATGCCGTTCCAGACATTTGCTTCATTTTTCACAATAAATGCATCTGTTCCAGGTACAAAAAGAAAAGTGGACGACATGTTTCTGTCTTCATGCTGTCCAACGTTCCTGTTTCTAGTTCTACGTCGGTGATCCGTCAGGCAGAAGTTCTGGTGTGTTTCAACATGAGCTCAAGTTGAATTAATTTGTGAAACGTGATGATAACGGATGAAGGGATTAACAAAGATGAAAGCATGAATCCATAAAATTACAACTTAGTTTTAGTGGATTAAATGGATGGAGAGGAGGATGGGATTTTAATAGGATGACACCACGTCCTGAAACGGCAGGAGAAATGAAGCTCTGATCTATGACTGCAGCCATAAAAGCAGGAGTATTTTTCCTGCATGTTTGTGGACACGCTTCACGGCTCTGATGGTTTACCTTACTGCCCGTAATGGACTGGCAAAGGGCTGTGAGGATGTCGGGGCGGAGCAACTCATTGCAGCCACTCTTTAGCAGATCCTTTGCTCGGGACTTATACTTTTTCTGTTCACATACACGACATACACACATAGCGTGCCATAGGTGAGAATAAAACAAACAAAAAAAACAGGCGCAACACTGGGAGAACTGGAGGAAAACTCCGGACTCCAAGTGTGACTGGTCTGTTCCCCCAGAGAAATAGATATTGCTATTATGAATAAAGCAAAATTTGGTTCTCTCTGAGTGAACAGATACAGATGCTCACTCCACACCGCAGTGCTGCAGTTTGAGTGGCAGTACAGTAACCTGCGAGGGACAAAAAGGGAGAGAGACCGTAAGTGCAGAGTCTAACAGAAGAACCGTCATGCGGCGAACACCAGCAGCAGGTCTGACGACGACCTCATGCACCAGGGTCAGAGGTCTGGACCGACTCTGGGGCAGCGGCTGAGCAGGCAGGCTGGTTGTCCGGCACAACCGGGAAGTTTACCTGGCTCATCTTCCTGTTTTCCCTGGCCAGTTGGTATCTAGGATCATCTGTGGTTATGGTAAACTTATCCTTGGTCTTCATATAATCAGCTTTGTAGAACCTCTGCTCAGAATGTCAGAAGGTGGTTAACAAACAAATATCTGGAAAGCTATGCCTCTGATGTGAGGAGACTTCAGGAAAGGAAGGAAAGTGAAAGGAAGATGTGGAAAACAGTAAACATTTCAGTCCGTTTACATTACCGCGACTCTGAAAGTCCAACAGAGACGCAGAAAAAGACACAAATGTGGTTGAAAATCTGACTGTACCTTTATCAGTACGAGCTAAGAAGACAAACAAGGACTTACCTCGTTGATGAGAGCAGAGGCGGTCTTTGCGGCCTGGAAGAAGGGGGTGTCACACGTGTACCTGAAGTTCCCTCTGTTCTTCTCAAATGAGGCTTTGTATAATCTCTGCAGAAAAAAAGAATAAAGATGGAGAAAACAAACGTCCTGTAAAACAATTTACACACTTTTAATCGAGCATCGATTCTGAAGCAAACTGCCTCATCACCTCGCTGTACAGCGACTTGTTCCTGTCAGCCAGCTGCAGCTCAGGAGTATCCCACACATAGCAGCCGATGCCCTTCAGCCATTCCAGGTCCTCCTTGTACTTCACCTGAACATGTACATAAAAATACACAGATGCAAATATTGTTTAGCAAGTGCATCGTTCTGCCAGTTACGAGTGTAACTCTGGGGTGTAAGTCACTCGTACTCACATTGCTGACGTTGTCGTTGGCCATTTTGCTGAAGAAGAACTCGGGCCGGTTAGGGATGGACTTCCACGTGCCCAGAGAGTTTATGTATTTCTTTCTGTATTTCACCTGAGTTACAGAAATCAAAAGAAAATAAATCAGGGTAATCAAAAAGACTAATTATCCTCAAAAAAAGCATAAACTTTTTAGGTATCCGACCTCGCTGATGTCATCGGTGACTCTGCGGTGGATGGTGATGTCCAGAGCATCCTTGACTGTGTGGTAGTGACCCTTGGAAAGCTCAAAGGTCTCCTTGTAGCGCAGCTGGAGGCATAACGAATAAAACACATGAAACCTTCATCAAAATTTAAATCATTAAAACACAAAAATCTACTTTAAATGTGTAACATTTTAGATTGACATGGACCAGTTAGCTAGCTGAATTCCACACAAGGATGGACGAAAGTGAGTTCAAAGTCAAACTTGAGTTTTCTGATGGGAATACTCACATCACTGGACTGCAGGTAGGCTTTCTTTGACCGGATCAGGAGAGGCGTATCAGCAATAGCAGTGTACCTGTGCTTCATCTTCTCATACTGCTCTTTGTATTTGGTCTGAAGGAGAAGTTTGAGTCGATTCAGTTCTGTACGAGGATACAACACAACGCTCCCGCATAAAAGGCAATCGGTGTGTAATTCCAGCTTCCTTGAGCATGGTTCACAGACTTTAAAGCTAATTTTAAACTGAGGCCAACTAATGTTGAGAAGCCATTCATTTGTAGCCACTTTGGTCGAATTTTGAAAATAAGTCAGTCTGGAATGACTTTCAGCTGCCACCATGTAAAACTCTTGCCCAAAGTCCCCAAAATTGAATGAGTTATAACCATTTATGTATGTGATGAGGTCAGTTAGCTATGGCAGCCATCTTGAATGGCGATCACTCCAAGGGCTAATCAGTTGTAAATGCTTTTAATCAAACTCTCATTAAAATCTGCGCAGTGGTCGGTGTGACATTTTGTTAAAAGTCAAGCAAAGTTGACAAACAGCTGAATTGAAGATTTTTAAATCAAAGATCTTGGAACGTAACGGAATGAAATGACTGTTTTCCACCAAAAGTCATTTCCCCCCTCTCCTCTGACACAGAACTAGTCTGCATGAGATATGGCCTCAAGGTCTCATGCATTTGCTTCTAAACTGCTTCTTTCCAGCTCAAGAGAAGAATGAAGAATGGACTCTCCTTTTAATAAACCAAAGAACTCTATTTTTAATACTGCTTATCAAACAAAGTGATAGTCAATAATAAGATGTGACCAATCTGTGAAATCCAAATATTAATTACTTTATTATAATCCTTTAGAATATAATAAGTAATATGACTTTAAATGTTTCCACTAGGACTTATCTCACGTAGCGTTAAGAGACAACACATTGCTTTACTGATCCAATCAGAATCTGCCAGATCTGACGGAGGCGTGGTTTTGGTGGTGTTTGGTAAATCTGTCATCTTTTCATTCGACCATAAACCAAAACATCCGAAGTATAAAACTATGCCCACGTCATCTTTAACGCCAGTTCAAAGCGTTCGAGAGAAGTTGTCGGAGTGGCCAATCCGTAACTTTCCTCTTCAGCCGAAAGAACCAACGACAAGCTGGATAAAATCTGTTGCTGTTCCAACTGCTGCAACGGTTCCTTTCAGAATAAAAGCTGAACCATCACGACCCCGTTTTGGGTCTCACTAGATGCCAACAAAACTATCGTGACCCGGAAGTTTCTCAAGACTGGTGGTTGGCTGCCGCGGCTGTTCCTACAAGCTTCGGCTCCATAAAGGTCAAACTGGACCTCTACACCTCCTGATCTAGACGGGGACTTCCGCTAAGGGTATGTAGACGACAAATGGCGTTGAATGTGTTTATGAATCTCCTAACCAATCAAATAAAAAGTTGCAATAAAAAGTTCCAATCTTCTTGTTAAACATCACCCACAGATCCATAAGATTGATTTCATATTTCCTATGGAATCTTATGTCTTATGGCTTTCAGCCACTCAGCTCCAAAACTCTGGAACACTCTACCGCCTGACCTCCGCAATATAAACTCCTTCTCAACCTTCAAGTCTCAACTCAAAACTCACATGTTCCACCTGGCTTACTCACTGTAACTGTCCTCCTTCCATCTACTCTTTTTAGTTTATTATCCATCGCACTGCTTTGACTCTACCCTTGGGAATTACTCTTAGCACTTATTTCTTGTTGTTTGCATTGCTTGCTGTTCCTTATATTTTGTCTTGTAGTGACCTTGAGAGCTTTGAAAGGCACTTGAAATAAAATGTATTATTATTATTATTATTATTATTATTATTATTATTATTAAATAACATGTAATTTAACTGATTACATGGACAATCACCGCTGAGCTGTTGGCTGCAGGATCCATACATACAAAATATGAGGATGCAGAAGACTTACATCACTGTAGACCACTTTCATTTTTCTGGCATGTTGATTATCTGGAGTGTCCTTTTCTGGAGTGAAGTGAGATCTTTCCTTTGCTGCCAGGTTTACATACTGGTACTGTAGGAGAGAGGAGTGTTGTGTAAATTAGAAGATGCAACAAATCCATTCATCAAAGGGGTCTTTTGTCTGAACTTGCCTTGTTTGTCAGCTGCTGGGCCCACTTGACTCTCTTGATGTCCACAGAGTCAGGAATGGAGCTAACCTTTGTCATTTCCTTTTTGCTGTGAGCTTTGTATATCATCTAAAAAGATCAGTTGTACACAATGATCTGGAACCTGCTGCCGTTTTCACTTTTAATGTTTTTAAAAACCAGAACAGGTGAACTCACATCACTCATGTGGGTCTTCAGCTCAGTCACACGCTTGTACTCTGGAGTATCCAGGACCACGGTGAAGTTGGCGAGGTTCTTCTTAGCTTCCACTGGGTAGCTAACCTGTAACAGTTAAAAAGAAAAAAAAAGTTTCAAAAATGATAGAAATGATTGTAAATGTAAAAAACTGCCGTCTGAAAGGAAACACCTACCCTACGCTTGGTGATATTGCGGACGTGGACCATCTCTGGGGTGTCGTACAAGAAGCAGCCGACACCTCTAAACCACATCAAATCTTCTTTGTACTTGAGCTAAAAACACAAAACCTGTTTAGATCACATGGTTTCAGAAAAAAGTTACTATTCTCTTTAGTGGATAATTGGGTAAAATTACATCGCTGGTGATCTCGTTGACATGGTGACAGTGCATGAGCTCAGGCGTGATGGGCAGAGAGATCAGCTGGCCTCTGCTGTTGTAGTATTTCTCTTTGTAGCAAAGCTGAAAGGTGAGACGGGAAACAAAAGGCGGGATTATTGGTGCATGCACATAAATAATGACTGCTGTTAGCTGCGTGGGAATATCCGCGTACATCGCTGAGGTTACGCTGGTTACTCTTGACTTGTTTGATGTCGGGAGTGTCGTAGGTTGTGTGGATCTTGTCCTTATGCTTCTGGTACGTCTCACGATACAAACGCTGAGTGAAAAGAGAGATCAGAAGGTCCAGTCAAGTAAAGATATTTCAAAGCGCTTTATGAACGGTGCAGGCAGTGCGTTCACTTACATCGTTGATGATCTTATGAGCCTTCCTTGCAGTGACAAAGTTGACCCCCTCTGGGTGAAGAGTGTACGCTTTAGCCTTCGTCATCTCGTAGGCTTCCTTGTATTTTGCCTGCAAAGTAAAACCAAGAACCGTTAGGATCCTAACACCACGAAGAGTACCGTTTAGTAAAAGAATAGGATGGAACCATGAATGACTTACGTTGCTGGTGACGACGCTGTTTATCTTGACCTGCTTGATGAGCGGCGTGTCGCTGGGCAGCGAGTAACCAGTGGGCATAAACTTCCTGTTGGCCTCTTTGTACCAGCTCTGAGAGACGACAACAAACAGGCAGATAAGCAAGCATCAGGTGTTCAACGTCCTCCAAGTTGCATCAAGTAATCCTCATTCACCTATCCACACAGTGCTTTATGTTATTTATTTGCCCTCTTCATGCATCACATCTATTACTTACAGAATAAGTAGAATACCAGGGGCATTGGGGGTACACTATCTTTAAAGGGCTGGGAATGAAATCCCAAACCTCCAAATGAGAGATACTTCTCCTACCAGGAGGCTACAGCTGCCCCCAAATACAAAATACTGAATCAGACAAAACCTCTGGAAATACTCTCATTTCTTAAAGGTGTTGAACACTCATTTAATACATTTGCAGGGGTCTATGGTAGGAATCAATGCCTTCCAATTCGTACTCAGGGGGAAAAAGCCCAGAAGCTCCTGGATCAGTGCAGACAAGTCTTCTGCAGCAGACAGAAGATTTTGGACTCTTAGTTCCTGATTTTTGGACATATTGCCTAAGATTACATGACAGCAACTCTACCACTAACCCCGTTTGCTCTGCGACATGGCCATTTCATCCCTACAAACAACACAAGCCTGGGGGAGCTTCTGCTGTGTGGTTGAATTGCTAATGCTAATGGTTAGCTTCTGCTAGCCGAGACGTTCAATGCTGTTTCCTGGATGCTGAACCAACAACAGGTCGCTAGCCAAGATGGGTGAGTCCAAGCGACCATTTGATGTAGAGAGGTTGGGCTTTTCAAATCCGAGCATTTCGTCATCTATTTTCTATCAGAAGCTAATGCAGGAGATATGTGTAGGAGACTAGTTTCACGTTCAGCCTGCATGAAAAACAGAGTGACTGTTAACTATACCTCAAAATAATCAATAAAAAATTGTTTTCTGTGTTCCACACCTTTAAATGTTAACAGAATGAATTCCTGTAAAACACAATTAATGTTTCTCATGTATTTTTGTCTATAATTTGTGTTTTCATGAAATTTAGACAAGCTTTTCTTTGCTATGGTCTTGTGCTATTACAACAAACATCCACATAAACAAACTCAACCTCTTCAGAGGACATTTGGTGAATTTTCTACAGTTTATCAGTGAAACAAAGCTCAGTAACTGCTGTGGCAGCTCCGAAAATTCCTGTTTCACACAGCTGTGATGAAAATTGCAGCATTGAATTTGGGGTGTCGCATAATTGTGTGTCTGTAAATCCACAGTGGCATTAAATACTGATAAACATGAACTTACATCACTCTGGATGTGGTTGGCCAAGCGGACTCTTTCTGTATCAATGGTAACAGCTGGAGAGGAGTTGGTGCCCTTGATGTTGGTATTGTAATCGGAACGGTAATGGAGCTGGAAGACAAAAAAAAAAAAAGAGTTGGGGATTTTATGCTTTGATTTTTCATTTAATGTGGGATGCAGTGGAGCTATTTATTTAAATTCAGATAATAATCAACAAAAAATGCACCAAAAAGTTCTTACATCACTCAGGTTCTTAGCATTCTGCTTGGATGTCTCATACACTGGAGTATCCGTCACCACAGTGTAGTCCTTGAAAGCCTGAATGCCTTTGACTCGGTACTTGGCCTGAAATGAAGCAAGAAAATCACAATCATGTGGTGAAAGTAAAGCCAGCTGACAACCAAAATAGGTGCACAAACACCAGTGAACACTCATCTTATTGGACGCATCGGTTTAAAAGCTTATTAGCACAAATAGCCAAACAGCTAAGATGAAGACGGCTCACCTCACTCTGAAGGATGCCAGCCTGCTTCACACGGAGAATCTCTGGAGTGTCCCAGGCGTAACAACCAATACCTTTCAGCCAGTTTAAGTCGTCCTTGTAGAAGATCTGGGGAGGAAAGGTATTAGTTTTCATATAGTTTCGGTTCACTTTAGCTTTAAACGCCAAACACATTTTGTTAGCTTTTGTATGTTTTGCTCTTTTCATACAAACAAAAACAACAAAAGAAATTCTTCTTTTTAAAAATGTCATTTTAAATTAGGTCTCACATCTCTCTAAACTCAAACTTCTAAATGAAACCAAACAGCATTCCACAGCCGCTGTGGTTGCACTCACATCGCTGAGTTGTTCGTTGACTTTGCGGGCTTGGACGTACACCTGCATGTCCGGCATGCACATCCACTGATGCAGATACTTGCGATAGTGGATCCCACTGACGGCAGACTGAGTGTTGCGAGCTCCCAGGATCTCCAGCATGTCTGGGGGGATGTGGTTTTTGGCTTTGGTCTTTTCGTAGTTGGCTTTGTACAGACGCTGTGAAGATGAACAGAGAGGTAGACTCCATTAAATCCAGTATTGGGAACATTACTTTTAAAAAGTAATTAGTTATAGTTACTAATTACTTCGTCAAAAAGTAACTCTGTTACTTACAGAGTTACGAGATTATAAAAGTAACTAATTACCAAGAAAAATAACTACTTAGTTACTTTTTTTCATTAAAGAATGCAAGACAAATGGGTTAATTAAACATACTTAATTTACTATAAATTACTACAATAGTGAAATATAAATGACAAACGACTGGAACATAATAAAATGTATGTCCAAATGATTTTTATAAACCTGAATAATTTAAATAAATAAGCACTTAACAGGAGGAACTACTAACAGGAACATTACACTTATCTAGACTATTAAAAGGTCACTGTGTGATATTTAACAAGACCCCAATCAGCTAAAATTTAAAATTGCAAATAGAAACACCTGTAAAGGTTCCTGAGCCTTTAAATGGTCTCTCAGTCTAGTTAAATTACAGAAATAAATGTAAGTTTGCACAGTATTTTAATTTTTCCAGCTTCACATAATTATGTGTTTTTAGTAGCATTTCTGTTGCTGCTAATCTAGTAATGGTTAAATAAATAAATAAAATCTTTTAAAATGACACTAGAAGAGGCACAAGCCTGATGGAGGACTTACATTTACTAACTTGGGTCAGACCCAACCACAGGTAGCTGAAGCTGGGTGGTAAACACACACAGGTAGTTCTAATAACACCTGAGCTCCATGACGTCTGAGACTGATGTATCAGTGCTACAGCGGGACTAAAGACATGATCGAGAACGGTTACAGCTGGATGATCTAGGAAGGTAGAAGATTGTGACATCTGAGCCATGAACAGGTGAGCGGACCTTCAGGATGTCACGCTAAGAAGGGCACAGCTGCAGTTCCACACCTGCAGCCGTAGACTAATCATCACATCTTCCTCGTTCTTCACGGGCCGTGATGCACTTGGATGAAAACATCTGCCTCTTTAGCTCCTGATCAGCTAATGACAGCTTCAACACACCGCGCTGCTTAACGAACGCATTTCCTTATCAGTAACAGAAACAACGTTTTGATAAAAGAAGACGGTAATTAATTAGTTTGCTCGTTACTGAAATTTTTTTAGTAACGCGGTTATTTTAAATTGTGTTATTCCCATCACTGCTCTGTTGCGTCTACAGCAGGCAGTGACAGTGAGAACACTGAGGGTCTCTGCCCACCCGGCCAATCATCATCGTGTTTGTAAGTGTGTTACCGACACCTCTCTCTCCCTGGCTGCAGCTGAAGTGTGGCGGTCAGAAAGCCTCACACTGTTGATCAACGTTCGACAAGCACATAGTAACGCACAACCTTCTGTCCCCAGTAATGGTAACAGCGTTGCAACAGTGGGAAAAGTAATTAATTAGATTATTCCGTTACCTAAAAAAGAACGCCGTTATTCCCATCACTGATTAAATCTACAGATCTGCATGTTTGTTTACTGAACTAATATTAGAATGCAAATAAAATAAAACAAACACACAAGGAATTTATATATATATATATATATATATATATATATATATATATATATATATATATATATATATACTTTACTCACATCAAGGACCAGTTTTCCAGCTTTGACACAACGAGCAGTGGCGGGATCATCTTCAAGTGACTTTGGCAGACTGTAGAGGGCTTTGAACTTCTCATAATCCTCCTTGTACTTCACCTAAAGGGGTAAAGAAAGTAATTTTGTTAAACTTGTTTTAAATTCAACAAACACTCAGAGGATGGTAATGTGAGAATTAAAAGTGGGACTCACGTTGCTGAGAACAATCTTCTGCTGTTTGGCGTGTTGCAGAGCGTTGGAGTCAGCTGGGATTTTGTAGCCCTTTGCTTTGATCTTGTCCCAGGCAGCTGTGTAGTTTTTCTACAGATAAGAAAATATTATTAGAAACACGTCACTGCATCTCGAAACAAGAAACAGCCCAAATTCTTTTGAAGATATATGTTTGCTCACGTTGCTAAAGAAGTGTTTGAAGTCGTGGCATCTGGCGTAATCGTGGGTGTCCAGGATGGTGGTGTACATGTGCTTCTCCTTGTGATATGCCTCCCTGTAGTTCAGCTACAAACCACAATTCAGGATTATTAGAAAATTATTGTTTCCCTAAATATTATTTATGTTACTCAAATGCTCACTTACGTCACTGGCCCAGGTGTGACCCAGGACAGCAGTCACATAAGCAGGGGTGTCAGTCACAATGGAGTAATTATGGAATTCCTTCTTGGCGTTTGCTCTGTATTTAAGCTGTTGGGATATTTAAAACAAACAAATGATCACTAAATCAATCAACTGGGCTCCAATGAGCCATATGGCGTAAGCTTTCATGGTGCTACTCACGTCACTTTGCAGCTCATAGGACTTCTTGGCACGAAGAATCTCTGGTGTGTCCCAGACGTAGCAGCCGATACCCTTCATCCAGTTCAGGTCATCTTTGTAGAACACCTATCCAACGATAATTGTTCAAAAACCATGAAAATGTGAAATTAGAGAGAAACTTTTACTATTGTTTTAATGTAATTTTTTAAAATTATTTATATTTCTTTAGTTTGTTATTCTACTGTAGAAAGTTCAGAGTGCAGCTATACTGCCTGAAACTCCAACTTCAAAATGCTAAAATGTCTTCTGTTTGACCAAAATCCTGCTGTAGTCTGCAGGGAAACTTCTTGCAATTTCTCAGCATGTTTTATCTGTCGTACCACCACCAAAAGCCATTGCACTACTCCTGATTGGCCCAATTTTTGTTGTATAATTTGCAGATTTTCTAATTAGTTGCAAAGCTGAAGAGCTTAAAATAAAAAACTCACGAGAGAACTGAAACAGGACAGCAAAAAGGGTACAGATTTCCCACAAGTATACGTCTACACACACATACATCTATGAATATTTGCTCAGTGTATTATTTTGAGACCAGTTATGTTTTGAACATACGTAAAACGTTTTGTTATGCATCAGAACAAGCATGAACCCTAACCCTACCCTAACCTGAAAAGCAGCAAAGTGTGATTATTTTAAAGAACCTCAAGCAATGGCTAGCATGGAGATGTAGTTTACGTAGGTCTATAATCTGTCCTAGAATATTGCACAGTAATTAAGTCCAGAAGAAAGACCTACATCGCTGAGAATCTCATTGGTTTTTCGGGCCCGAATAGCATCCTCCTGTTCCGGGTGGCAGGTCCACTGGTGCAGGTGCGTGCGGTAGAGCACGTCGCTCAACATGTCCTGGCACCGCTTGGCTACCTGGTTAGCGATGATGTCAGAGGGAAGGTGGATCTTGGTCTTGGTCTGATGGTAGTCCTTCTGGTAGATTCTCTGTTAGAACATACCGGTACATTATTAGGACAGAAAACAATGAAACTATCGGCTTTAATGGAACTTTAAAAAAACGTGCAGTGTCTTCTGGGTTAGTTGTCATGCTGGTGTCATGTTTCTTTATAGTTTTTTTCATCAATTTGAGAAAAGCTATTTTTTCTGTAGACTGTGGAACAAAGATCAATGTTATTTAAACATAGCTGTCTCACCAGTCCCTTATTCTTCTCCTGTTGTCCACAGCGCATGACCTCTGGGAAGTCCACTAGGGTTCCAGCCATGTAGTGACCTTTGACCTTCTCATGTTCTTTCTTGTACTTGACCTAGAGTCCAAAGATAATTACAGTCTACATTTCTTGTATATATTCCAAAGAAAACATGCTAAAAGGACACTTTCTAAACATTAGGAGTGATGACACTTACATCACTAGCAATCTCTCTGCCTTTTTTGCCGCTGAGCAGAGGGATGTACTCATGGTTCAGATGGTAGCTTGTAGCCTTGGATGCATCCCAGTTGGATTTGTAGAGTTTCTGAAAATATGAACGATAATTGGTAAAGTTAAAGACGATAAATAAAACGATAGCACACATAAAAATGAACAAACAAATATTTTCCATTACCTCACTGATGTTCTTAGCCATCTCTCTGCTATGGGCCAGTTGAGGAGTATCATCCGAACCAATGTAATGACCCTTTTCAGCGTTGAAGGTCTCCTTGTATTTCAGCTGCGGTAGAAAAAATACATTGTAAATGTAACAACTTCCTGTGAGAATTATTTAGCATCTTTGAGATCAACTCCTTAGGAGAGCAAAGTGCTGAATAACATACGTCACTGAGGTTGGCAGCATTTATTTTTGCCAAGACGATCTCTGGACGGTCCACAATCAGGGAGAATTTTCCAAATCCTTCTTTGGCATTTTTCTGGTATAGTCTCTGCACATAAAATCAAAGCAGTACGGTTATAAAAATGTGTCTGAATGAGAATCATGTGGCCGAAAACAGAGAAAAGAATCAAAGGCAGAAGGTAATGGGAACCGTACATCATTGAGAATTTCCTGGGCCTTCCTGACTTTGACGTGGTCAACAGATTCTGCTGCCACCCAACCACAGCCGCGGATCCATTCCAGATCAGCTCTGTACACGTTCTGCAGACAGAAACAATAATATTTAGACAAGAAAAAACAAAGAGTTGACAAGATTTTACTGACTTCTAAAAAAATAAGTCACTTACATCACTCTGGAGATCATAAATTTTCCTGGCCTGCACCACATCGTTGGAGTCAGGCAGACAGGTCCACTGGTGCAGGCGGGTTCTGTAGTTGAAGTCGTTGACTTGGATCTGGCATTTCTTGGCCAGTTCAAGGTTCAGCATGTCTGCTGGCAGGTTGAACTTGGTCTTGGACTTGTTGAAGTCCTTCTTGTACAGAACATCACTGGCGATCTTGCCCGAGTTCAGAGCCAGCACGATAAGAGGATCGTCCAGAACGCTGAGGGCACCGATGTGGTGACCAAGCTGTTTGCGGTATCCCTCTAAGTACTTGTGCTACATGACAAAAAAAAAGACCTGTTACTGTGTTCTTAGTTAAATAAAACAGATTGTATACTGCTGTCAATATGAAGACTCACTTTACTCTGCACTTTAGTCGTATCGATGCATTGTTTGATCGGTACAGCATCACCAGGCATGAAGTATCCCGTGGCTTTCACCTTGTCCCATGCTTCGGTGTACAGTTTCTACAGGAGACAAAAACCACTTAGCCTATTTTTCACAATGCAATGTTTCTGTAAACACTGGGAGTGTAAGGTCTTACTGGGTGGATGTTTTTAGCCACCTCTCTGGCTGTGGCAAGACTGGGAGTATCTACCAGAGAGTATTTAGTTTTGTCCTGGTGCCACGCTTCACGATACTTGGCCTGAAAATAACGAGAAATCCAAACTCAGTTATCAAAACTACAAATAAATCTGCAACAATATCTCTCATAATCCTGCAAAAAGACATCTACGTTTCATTTTAGTTTATTAAAAATACTCGCCTCATTCAACACATCAGCAGCATTCTTGGCACAAGCAAAGTCAACTCTGTCCACAGGAACTGTGTATTTCTGCTCATCCAATTTAACTCGGTAGCCTCTCTGTGTGAAGAAAATATCAAAATCAATCAAATCAAAGACACTTTATTAATCCCAGAGGGACATTAGAGTTTCAGTACACACAATTCAGAGATCAGACATACATGGGCAAGACATATGACAAGAATTGGTGACTGTGGTCATTCGCAACCCTGAGTCGCGCTATTTTAATGAGATCAGAGGGGTTTACATGAGGATTGGTTCAGGTGGAGGGAAAAAAAGGCACTTCAGAGTTACTCTCCAGCAGGAGGGCAGCTTTGCTATGCAAAACAAACAAACAAAAAAAAAAACACACCTCAAACAGATATGTAACAGACTTCAGACAACACAACATAGGTGTCCACTAGGTGGGGTGGTGTGTTGGGACTATCCCCACTTCTGTTCCTGCAGCCACGATGAGCAGCGTGTGTCACCTCAGTGTGGATAGGGGGAGGAGCATTGCGGGTTGGAGGGTTGCAGTGACCCTGGAACGTTTCAGCGGCCTTCCCGCAGTCCCACCCAGATTGGGAAAAGATACAGAGTTGAGTTGCCATAGCGACATCACATTCCACATATCTTCTGGAGGAGTTTTCGTTGGAGCCTTGCAGGCTCAAGGACGCCAGATTCTGATTAGAAATTGTTTTGGGGCCAGACAAAGATAATTTCCTCTCTGTCTTACAGTTTGTTGGTCCTCAACCTCTAAAAATCCCAATAATGAACATTAATCTATCCCAATCCGTGCTGATTCGTCCACTCTATCCTTGATGGCATCCATCTTTTGTGCCAAAGAATGAATCTCCGCCAAAGTCCCAAGCTTACGATTCATCTCGACAATTATGTGAGTCTGTGAATTCACAGCGCGGTGCAATCCATCTCTGAGATCCGGGATCAGGCCAATATTCCTCGACAGCTCGTTAATTTTCCGGTAAGCCAGGTAGCCTCCAAGGCCAATGAGCAGGAAACCTGACACCAACACCACGAATATCCACACGTCTTCAGAGTCCTCCACAGACAGCTGAGATAAACAAATCAAGTTCCACTGTTTCCAGGAGTCCATGATGTGTCCAACTGGGTCTGTCCCGGCGGGGCATCCGGGAGCCCCTTCTCATCGTTGAAAAATTTTATCAATCGCGTTGAGAGACCAACTGACAAGATCCATTTAAGTGAATTTATATAGCTTTAAGATCCAAAACAACAAACACTCCTAACAAATAACCAAGATGTTTCTTGATTCAAGTGTACTTACATCAGCGAGGATCTTCTGAGCATGCTTCACCTTCATAACATCCACACATTCATGTGGCATCCATCCACAGCCACGTATCCACTCCAGATCAGCTTTGTACACAGCCTGAGGGAAGTAAATACATCACGTTAAACAGAATGTGGGACATACTTTACCTGATATTTAAAGGGATAAAAATAAAAAAAAATGTATACTTACGTCACTCTGAAGGTCATAAATTTTCCTGGCTTGGACCACGTCGTTGGAATCAGGCAGACATGTCCACTGATGCAGATATGTTCTGTAGTTGAAGTCATTCACTTGGATTTGACATTTCTTAGCAAGCTCCAGAGTCAGCATGTCCGCTGGCAGATTGAACTTGGTCTTGGACTTGTTGAAGTCCTTTTTGTACAGAGCATCACTGGCGATCTTGGCAGAATTCATAGCCAGCATGATGAGAGGGTCGTCCTGGACACAGCGGGCGCCGATGTGGTGGCCGAGCTGCTTACGGTATCCGGTTTTGTACTTGTACTGAAACAAAGGAGGCAAAGGAATAAAAGAAAACTCAGCACTCAGCATCAACTATAAATGTGATGGTCGTTCACTACCTACATCACTAATGATGTCTCTGGAGGCTTTGGCTTTCAACACAGAGATGGCATCCTCTCTGACATTGTAGGCTTTGGCCTTCTGGTCATCCCATGACTTTGTGTACAGTTTCTGTTCAAAGCAAGAATAATAGTTAGAAAAGTCCATGCTTGGTACCAATTTCAACCTAAAATACAATAAAGATATAACAGTTATTACAGAGGTAGTAATAATGCAAACTCACGTTGCTGATAGTAACAGCGTTAACCTTGGCCAGCTCATAGGGGGGGATGTCAGGTGGTATGTGAATGACGAGCTTCTCCTTGTCCCAGACCTCCCTATATTTCCTCTGTCAGAGACATTAGACATGAATACTGGTATTTATACAGATTCCTCAGCTGCACAAATAATCAAACCCAATATTGGTCTAAAGAAATGAAAGAATTGTTTCTGTGATGAGACTTTACCACTCACATCACTGAGGTTGTGAGCATTTTGCTTGGATAGGACAATAGCCGGGAGGTCGACGGCGCTGGTGAACTTGACAGTGCTTGGGTGCTGGCGGTAGAGTCGGTCATTAAGGACAGCCTGTGCATTTTTCACTTTGATGACATCTACGGACTCGTGTGGTGACCAGCCGCATCCTTTCAGCCACTCCATATCGGCTTTGTACACAGCCTGTAAACAAGCAGAGGAGAGGGTTTTTAATGTTAGATACTTTCAGATGTTTAGTTAAACTCTTTAAATGAAGATCAGTGTAACGGAATGAAATGACTGTTTCCCCCTCTCCTCTGACACAGGACTAGTCTGCATGAGATATGGCCTCAAGGTCTCATGCATTTGCTTCTAAACTGCTTCTTTCCAGCCCAAGAGAAGAATGAAGAAAGGACTCTGTCCTTTTAATTAATCAAAGAACTATATTTTTAATAAAGCTAATCAAACAAAGTGTTAGTCAATAATAAGATGTGACCAATCTGTGAAATCAAAATAGTAACTACTTTATTATAATCCTATAGAATATAATAAGTAATATGACTTTAAATGTTTCCACTAGGACTGATCTCACGTAGCATTAAAAGACGACACGTTGCTTTACTGATCCAATCAGAATCTGCCAGATCTGACGGAGGCGTGGTTTTGGTGGTGTTTGGTAAATCTGTCATCTTTTCATTCGACCATAAACCAAAACATCCGAAGTATAAAACTATGCCCATGTCATCTTTAACGCCAGTTCAAAGCGTTCGAGAGAAGTTGTCGGAGTGGCCAATCTTCACCCAAAAGAACCAACGACAAGCTGGATAAAATCTGTTGCTGTTCCAACTGCTGCAATGGTTCCTTTCAGAATAAAAGCTGAACCATCAAGACCCAGGTTTGGGTCTTGCTAGATGCCAACAAAATTGTCGTGACCCAGAAGTATCTCACAGACTGGACTGGTCGGCAACCGCTGCTTTTCCTACCGGCTTCGGTTCCAGAGAAGGTCAAGCTGGACCTCGACATTCCTGATCTAGACGGGGACTTCCGCTAAGGGTACATAGACCGACAGAATGGCGTCGAATGTGTTTATGAATCTCCTAACCAAAGCTTAGCGCGAAGACATCACCTTCAGTTCCTATCAGAACTAATCGTTTCTTCGGATTTGTTGGTTCTGAGCAACATTCCACACTACACCATTCTCCGTCTCACTTCACCTTAGTTACACCATACATTTAGTGTTAAAGTTAGTCTAGTTTAATTTGCTTAGTAATACATTTTTAAACTTTTAAAACCTGACTCTCTCTTCAGTTGTCTCTGAATTAATACGAAGTTGTTTTCTAATCTCTGCAATAAAAAGTTCCAATCTTCTGGTTAAAATAACCCAACAGATCCATAAGATTGATTTCATATTTCCTATGGAATCCTACGTCTTATGGCTTATTAAATAACATGTAATTTAAATCATTACACAGAGGAGAGGGTTTTTAATGTTAGATGCTTTCAGATGTTTAGTTAAAACTCTTTAAATGAAGATCAGAGACCTGATAATGTTTGAAACTACAAAACTAAGCATAACATGTACAGTACAAGATTGCTACTGGTCCAAGCCTTAACTAGATATACTCACATCGCTCTTCAGGTCATAAGCCTTCCTGGCCTGCACTACATCAGTAGAGTCTGGAAGACAGGTCCACTGGTGTAGGTAAGTTCTGTAGTTGAAGTCGTTCACTTGTTTCTGGCATTTCTTGGCCAGTTCAATCGTCAGCATGTCAACTGGGAGGTTGTACTTGGTCTTGGTTTTGTTGAACTCCTTCTTATAGATGTTGTCACTGGAGATCTTGGCTACATGAGCAGCCAGCATGAGCAGTGGGTCATCTTTAACGCTGAGGGCACCGATATGATGGCCGCACTGCTTGCGGAATCCAGCTTTGTATTTGTACTGGAATTCATATAAAAACATTTTCATCAATTGCATTGTACCTTGTGTGAAAACTATTCAAATTAGCAGGGGAATTTAAAACAAAAAGCAACAAAGTGAGAATAAACTTAAGTGGGGTCGGCATAAAAGAACTTACATCACTGACGATATCACGGGATGCTTTGGCAGCTAAGACAGAAACTGCATCTTTGGGCAGGAAGTAGCCCTTGTTGATGGTGTCAACAAAACCTTCACGATAATATTTCTGGGGGAAAAAAACAAAGGTTGCTGTTAGGTTTGTTATATGCTCTAATGTTTTTCTCACTGGCTTCTGTTTTATTAGCAAACACAATAGTGTAACAGTTATGATTATAGTCCTTTAACGTGCTGTATTACCCGACTAGTGTTGAGTTTATTCTGCTGGGCGAGGACGATCTCAGGTGTGTCGGGCATGATGTGGAGGTTGGTCTTGTCATTCTCCCAGGCCTCAACATAAGCTTTCTGAAAGGAAAATGTGAAAAACAAAGTATTATGAATATATATATACTTTCAGAGAGTTTGTTTTAAAGCCCCTGGACACAGTACAGTAGGGCGAAGCGCTGCTCTTTGTACCTTGTTCATAATCTGGGCATTGGCCTGAGCGAGAGCATATGGCATGTCTGATGTTTTGGCAGTGAAGTGGAATTTGCTGGGATGCTGGCGGTACTTCCTGTCGCTCAGAATCTCAGCTGCTTTCTTGGCTTTTTCCACTTCCAGGGAACCTATTGGCACCCATCCCATTCCCTTCACCCATTCCATGTCCGCCTTGTACACAGCCTATATGCCAGAGGACAGGAAAGCAGCCCAACTAAGTCTTTTCAAAGGCGAAAAAGAATAATGCAATTTTCAAACACATTCATGCTCACATCACTCTGGAGGTCATAAGCCTTTCTGGCCTGCACCACGTCGTTGGAGTCAGGCAGACAGGTCCAGTTGTGCAGGCGGGTTCTGTAGTTGAAGTCGTTGACTTGGATCTGGCATTTCTTGGCCAGTTCAAGGTTCAGCATGTCCACTGGGAGGTGGAACTTGGTCTTGGACTTGTTGAAGTCCTTCTTGTACAGAACATCACTGGCGATCTTGGCTGAGTTCAGAGCCAGCACGATGAGAGGATCATCCTGGACGCTGAGGGCGCCGATGTGGTGACCAAGCTGTTTGCGGTATCCAGTCTTGTACTTATACTGTCAAGAGACAAATTATACAGTTACCATTATAAATGTAAACATGATACAAAATGCGCAAACCTATACATATGATACACACATCACTGATGATTTCTCTTCCGTGTTTGGCTGCAACAACAGAGACCGCATCGGGCTTCATGTTGTAGCCCTTTCTGAACATCTTCTCTACAGCTTCTCTGTAGATTTTCTGAAGCAAAAAAGACGACAGAGACACAAATCACTTAAAAACTGCTGAGGATGTCTAAAATAAACCATAACACTTAAGACGTACGTTGCTGATGTTATAAGCGTTAACTTTGGAGAGCAACAGTTCAGGAAGGTCAGGGGTCACATGGGTCTTAAGTTTGTCTGCTTCCCATGCAGAAATGTAGTTTCTCTGTGGAGAGAAGCAGAACAACAAAATTAAAACCTCAGACAGGAAACATCAAGAAGATTTATACAAAATGAGCCAAATAGCAGATTGAGATTCACCAGCTCCCTACCTTATTAATAATTTCAGCATTTGCTTTGGCTAAGACCATGGGCATGGCAGTCATATCAGATCTGAACTTGAATTTTTCTGGTTTCTGCTTATAAAGGTGGTCACTGAGAATCTTTGCAGCATTCTTGGCTTTCACTACATCCAAGGAACCAATGGGGACCCAGCCTACACCAACAACCTCATCCATGTCAGCTTTGTACACAGCCTGGGGGGAGAAAGAATCAAATATGAGATGACGCATGCAAACAGTGGCACGGCACAATAAACTCAATCTGTGACAAGGGAACCTACATCACTCTGGAGATCATAGGCTTTCCTGGCCTGCACCACGTCGTTGGAGTCAGGCAGACAGGTCCAGTTGTGCAGGCGCGTTCTGTAGTTGAAGTCGTTGACTTGGATCTGGCATTTCTTGGCCAGTTCAAGGTTCAGCATGTCCACTGGGAGGTGGAACTTGGTCTTGGACTTGTTGAAGTCCTTCTTGTACAGAGCATCACTGGCGATCTTGGCTGAGTTCAGAGCCAGCATGATGAGAGGATCATCCTGGACGCAGCGGGCACCGATGTGGTGACCAACCTGCTTACGGTATCCGGTTTTGTACTTGTACTGGTAAAATGATAAGAAAATAGTTCAAGATATAAGTAGAATTAGTTTTATTTTGAAAAATTAAGAATCAGTGACAAAAACAGATCACAGTAACATCCCAATGACTAACTGTTAAATCCTAGAAACGTTTTCTATAAAACCCTTTTTTAATTTGTCAAAGGCAAATAATTATAACCAAAGAAGCAGACACATGGCACAATACAGGCAACTCACATCACTGATGATGTCCCTGGAGGCCTTAGCTGCCTTGACGGAGACGGAGTCTGGAGGAAGGAAGTAGCCTTTACTGATGGTCTCTTCAAAACCTTGTTTGTAGAGTTTCTAGAAAAAGGAAAGAAAACAAGTGATTTGGAAGAACTGTGCTTTATCTGAGTCACGTGATGGTAATTCTTACATTTACATATTTTCTCTCAGATGTTCATATTCAGAGAACCTATCACAAAGAACTTATAGGTATAATCTGACTAAAAGGTCAAGTCACTTAATCAAAACAAGTTAACAAAATTACGTTAAATAACTTTCTAATTATTGTATAAATGATGGTAAATACATAAAAGATGGTCACAGCTGCATGACAATAGCCGCTCTTGCTGTGAGAGCTACAGCTAAGAGCAGAAATGGGTTAGGACAGACTTTTTATATCTATTTTCTTTAGTTGCAAACTGAAATGAGACTAACCTTGCTCATGTTGAGAGAGTTTTGCTGAGAGAGGACAATCTCAGGGGTGTCAGGCATGATGTGCAGTTTGGTCTTTTCGTTATCCCAAGCCTCGGTGTACAGGCGCTGCAAAAATTCAAGCACAAGTTGTCAATTTAAATAGAATATTTTTGACCAGGAATAAACATAACTTTTTAAAATCAGTTTCACCTTATTCATTGTCAGTGCATTACTCTTGGCCAGCACAATGTTCATGGCATCTACTGGACTGGTGAATTTAACAGTGCTGGGGTGCTGGCGGTACTTCCTATCACTCAAAATCTCAGCAGCCTTCTTAGCTTTGTCTACGTCAAGAGAGCCAATGGGGACCCAGCCCAGCCCTTGGAGCCACTTCAGGTCAGCTTTGTACACAGCCTGAAGAGAACAACAGCAGACTGTTTGATTTTCTTTGTTTCACCAAATCAGAGATGACCGTATATTAAAGTAAAACTAATGCTTACATCACTCTGGAGGTCATATGCAAGTCTGGCCTGCACCACGTCGTTGGAGTCAGGCAGACAGGTCCAGTTGTGCAGGCGCGTTCTGTAGTTGAAGTCGTTGACTTGGATCTGGCATTTCTTGGCCAGTTCAAGGTTCAGCATGTCCACTGGGAGGTGGAACTTGGTCTTGGACTTGTTGAAGTCCTTCTTGTACAGAGCATCACTGGCGATCTTGGCTGAGTTCAGAGCCAGCATGATGAGAGGATCATCCTGGACGCAGCGTGCACCAATGTGGTGGCCAACCTGCTTACGGTATCCGGTTTTGTACTTGTACTAACACAAATGAAAAAACAAAGTAAAATGATGCAATTACTGGCAAAAACTGCACGTTTATGTTACAGTTATCTGCTACGTTTTTATTGCTACGTAAAATGCAACATGATTTACATCACTGGCGATGTTCCTGGATGCCTTGGCTGCGATGATGGATACAGCGTCATTACGCAGATCGTAGCCCTTCTTCTTGGAATCTTCATTGGCTTGTTTGTACCTTTTCTGTAAACAAATCCAGATTAAATCAATTTGTATATTTATTAAAGGTGATACATGTTTTTACCATACTGGTAGAGTCTTTCATACCTCACTATAAATGACATTGTTGGCTTTGGCTAGTAGAACGTCCATTGCGTCTGGCATGATGTGGATCTTTGTCTTCTCTTTGTCCCAGACTTCGGTGTATGCTTTCTGCAGTTACATAACACATGAAATTTAAAATGTATAGAACATAGCTTGAAGCATTTCCTTTTTATGGTCAATCTTTGCTATAGCATATCCATGACTTGTTAAATACATTTTATTTGAGTTGCTCTCGTACCTTGTTCATAACCAGAGCATTGGCCTTTGCCAAAACTACAGGCATGTCCTCAGTGGTGCTTTTAAATTTGTAGTTGCTCGGGTGCTGACGATACTTCCGTTCACTTAGGATCTCACCAGCTTTCTTCACCTTCTCAACATCCAGTGACCCAATTGGCACCCATCCGATCCCCTGCATTATCTTCAGATCCTCCTTATACACAGCCTGAGTGAAACATCAGTGCTTCATGTGGTAAATGCAACCTACAATATCTGCTGCAACAAACCAACAACAACAAAAAACTCATACTGACATCACTCTGGAGGTCATATGCAAGTCTGGCCTGGACCACATCGTTGGCGTCAGGCAGACAGGTCCATTGGTGCAGACGAGTTCTGTAGTTGAAGTCGTTGACTTGGATCTGGCATTTCTTGGCCAGTTCAAGGTTCAGCATGTCCACTGGGAGGTGGAACTTGGTCTTGGACTTGTTGAAGTCCTTCTTGTACAGAACATCACTGGCGATCTTGGCTGAGTTCAGAGCCAGCACGAGCAGAGGGTCGTCCTGGACGCAGCGTGCACCAATGTGGTGGCCAACCTGCTTACGGTATCCGGTTTTGTACTTGTACTGTCAGAAAGTAACAAGATATACACATATTTAATATTAAGTTTCATTATAACTTTCACAAGGACACATCTACATAAGCAAAATATCATTGATTCATTTGTGTAGCTTACATCACTGGCAATGTCCCTGGATGCCCTGGCTGCGATGATGGACACAGCATCGTTACGCATGTCATAGCCCTTCTTCTTGGCATCCTCATTTTCCTGTTTATACCTTTTCTGTGAAATAGTAAAAAAAAAAAACAGAGGTAGCTTTAGTATTGATCCTTATTGAAGTACAAAAGACAGAATATCATATTGACAATACTTAACTTCATATCAGAAATTGTTTATACTCTAAGGATCAAAACTGCATGTTAATGATTTAAAAACCTACCAAACTGTAATTATAATTGTTTGCTTTGGCAAGGAGTACATCCATGGCATCAGGCATGATGTGGATCTTTGTCTTCTCGTTCTCCCAGGCTTCAATATATGCTTTCTGCAGATGTGGAGAAATGAGTACACAATGTTTCAAACCCTCTGGATATTCACTCCCATTACAGAAAAGACACCAGCGTTTTTAATTCAGTGAAATTATTCTCCACAAATAAACACTTGATAGCTCTTTGAGGATTTCTGAGAACAGACCTTGTTCATGTTCTGAGCGTTGGCCTTAGCGAGTTCCATTGGCATGTCCTCAGTGGTGAGCTTGAACTTGTACTTGCTCGGGTGCTGACGATACTTGTTTTCACTCAGGATCTCACCAGCTTTCTTTACCTTCTCAACATCCAGCGAACCTATAGGCACCCATCCAATACCCTGCATCATCTTCAGATCATCTTTGTACACAGCCTGGAAAAAGCAAAATAATTTATAAAGCAAAGATTATTTTGAAAATATTGCATTTATGAAGATAACCTCAAAATAATACTAACATCACTCTGGAGGTCATATGCAAGTCTGGCCTGCACCACGTCGTTGGAGTCAGGCAGACAGGTCCATTGGTGCAGACGAGTTCTGTAGTTGAAGTCGTTGACTTGGATCTGGCATTTCTTGGCCAGTTCAAGGTTCAGCATGTCCACTGGGAGGTGGAACTTGGTCTTGGACTTGTTGAAGTCCTTCTTGTACAGAGCATCACTGGCGATCTTGGCTGAGTTCAGAGCCAGCATGAGCAGAGGGTCATCCTGGACGCTGCGGGCACCAATGTGGTGGCCAACCTGCTTACGGTATCCGGTTTTATACTTGTACTGCAAACAAGAAGCAAAAACAACTCATCAGAACATTACAGCTGTTCTCAAACAATCACAGCATTTATTGGAATTGTATAAAACTGTGCTCCAAATCAACATCAATAACCATAAAAGCTGTAGTCATACATTTTTCTCAGAAATATTTAAATATTTTAAAGTTGTTGAAACCACAAGAAGAAATCCTTAAATTGTCTTACGTCACTGGCAATATCCCTGGAGGCCTTCGCTGCTAGAACAGAAATGGCATCATTTCGTAGGTCGTATCCCTTTTTCTTGGCTTCTTCATTGGCCTGCTTGTATAATTTCTGCAGAAAACAATCAAAACTCTCTTTAAGTATCATCCATAAAACATAAAAACACTCCAAAGAGTATAGGGACACCTGATTATCATTAAAAAGTGCTCACCTCACTGTAGATGACTTTGTTGGCTTTGGCCAGAACAACATCCATGGCATCAGGCATGATATGGATGCTGGTCTTGTCTTTGTCCCAGGCTTCAGTATAGGCTTTCTGTAAAGGTTTCAATTTTCTCAGTCTTTTGTTTTCATGTTTATTCTCATCAAGCAAACCTTGTCAGAAAATGGAAGCTCGGTTTTCTTTTGGTCAGGTAAATGTTCCGTTTTTGTCCCTGTAAGATTAACTAGTCAATTTAAAATATTCATCCATCCATCCATCCATTTTCATCCACTTATCCAAAGTCGGGTCGCAGGGGCAGTTGCCTAAGGCAAGAGGCCCAGACTTCCCTCTCCCCAGCCACTTGGGCCAGCTCCTCCAGGGGAATCCCAAGGTGTTCCCTGGCCAGGTGAGAGACATAGTCCCTCCACCGTGTCCTGGGTCTACCTTTAGGTCTCCTCCCGGTTGGATGTGCCTGGAAAACCTCACCAGTTGTACAGGGACCTAACAGCCTGTATCAGAGGGCCTGGTATCCCATACTCCCGAAGTAGCCCCCACAGGACCCCCCGAGGGACGCGGTCAAACGCCTTCTACAGATCCACCAAACACATGTAGACTGGTTGGGCAAATTCCCACGCAGCCTACAGGATCCTCCTAAGGGTATAGAGCTGGTCCAGTGTTCCACGGCCAGGACGAAAACCACATTGCTCCTCCTGAATCTGAGGTTCAATAATCCGACAGACCCTCCTCTCCAGAACCCCTGAATAGACCTTACCAGGAAGACTCAGGAGTGTGATCCCCCTGTAGTTGGAACACACCCTGCGGTCCCCCTTTTTAAATAAGGGACTGCCCCCGACGTCCACGCAATATTGCAGAGCCGCGTTAGCCAACACAGCCCCACAATATCCAGAGCCTTAAGAAACTCCAGGTGGATCTCATCCACCCCCCAGAGCCTTGCCACAGAGGAGCTTTTTAACCACCTCAGTGACCTCAGCGCCAGAGATTTGATAGGCCAGCCCAGTCCCCAGACTCTGCTTCCTCACTGGAAGACGTGTCGGTGGGATTGAGGAGGTCTTCGAAGTATTCTGCCCACCGATCCACAACGTCCTGAGTAGAGGTCAGCAGCACATCGTCCCCACTATAGATAGTGTTGGTAGCGCACTGCTCCCCCCCCCACCCCCGAGGTGCCGGATGGTAGACCAGAATCTCCTCGAAGCTGTACGGAAGTCTTGCTCCATGGTCTCATGTAACTCCTCCCATGCCCGGGTTTTTGCCTTGGCGACCAACCGAGCCGCGTTCCGCTTGGACTGCTGGTACTCGTCAGCTGCTTCTGGAATCCCACAGGCCAAAAAGACCTGATAGGACTCTTTCTTCAGCTTGACAGCATCCCTAACCACTGGTGTCCACCAGCGGGTTCGGGGGTTGCCATCACAACAGGCACCGACGATCCTGCGACCACAGCTCCGGTCGGCCGCCTCAACAATGGAGGCACGGAACAGGGTCCATTCAGACTTCATCAATTTAAAATATGATTTATTTAAAATAAATAATAAGGAAAATTTATTGTTTAAAAATAAGACAGCAGGAAATATGATTCTGTTGTTCTAAGGCTCTGAACCATAAAAAACATAAATAAACATAAAAAACATACATAAATTCATTTTAACACACATATAATTTAAATAAAGTAAATTTTCTTTTGCCAATATAATGTATTTTGCTGTTAATGTTACTGAAAATGGTTCATATGATTGTCTTCTCTTTTGTTGTCCAATAACAATGTGCAATAATTGAAAATAAATTGTAAAAGTTACTGACACAAAAACGTAAGAGGAAGAGCAAAGTGCATTATTTTAAAGCCTATTTCATCTGATTTTACACCAAACAGCAACTAAAGGATTTCTGAGAACAGACCTTGTTCATGTTCTGAGCGTTGGCCTTAGCGAGTTCCATTGGCATGTCCTCAGTGGTGAGCTTGAACTTGTACTTGCTCGGGTGCTGACGATACTTGTTTTCACTCAGGATCTCACCAGCTTTCTTTACCTTCTCAACATCCAGCGAACCTATAGGCACCCATCCAATACCCTGCATCATCTTCAGATCCTCTTTGTACACAACCTGGGCAAAACACAAGCCTGGTTAAAGGAATACATCTCCAAAAGAGTCCAAACAAAACAGCCAAAAATTAATACTTACATCACTCTGAATGCCGTATGCAAGTCTGGCCTGGACCACATCATTTGAGTCAGGCAGACAAGTCCAGTTGTGCAGACGTGTAATATAATTGGCATTGTTGACCTGAATCTGGTTCTTCTTGGCCAGTTCAAATGCCAGCATGTCCACTGGGAGGTGGAACTTGGTCTTGGACTTGTTGAAGTCCTTCTTGTACAGAGCATCACTGGCGATCTTGGCTGAATTTAAAGCCAGCATGAGCAGAGGGTCGTCCTGGATGCTCAGAGCACCAATGTGGTGGCCAACCTGCTTGCGGTAGCCAGTCTTGTACTTGTACTGCAGAAAATAGAAAGAGTTTATCACTAAGATCTGGTGACGTAAGAAGGCACAGAAAGGTGATGAAGAGGAGACACACAGACACTTACATCACTAGCAATAACAGTGGAGGCTTTGGCAGCTTGGATTGCAATGGCATCATGACGAAGGTTATGGCCCTTCTTCTTTGAGAGCTCGTTATCCAGCTTGTAGCGTTTCTGCAAAGAGGAAGACGGATAGAAGTTTACGAGGAGACTATGTCTTCTTTGGTTGCATTTCTGTGTCAAAGTCCATCAAATATCTGAAAGATATATCTCTGTGCTGCAAAATGAAGATGATACTCTACCTCACTGTAGTTTTTCCTGTTTTCCCTGGCTAGGGCAATGTCCATTGCATCTGGCATGATGTGGATTGAGGTCTTATCCTTATCCCAGGCTTTTGTGTACGATTGCTAAAAAAGAATAAATAAATTAGATGCTGGATTTCACAGCTTAAAGATGTATTTCTGTAAAATTCATTGTAAGTTTGGCCAAGTACCTTATCCATAATCTGATTGTTAGCAGTGGCCAGCGTTAGGTCCATAGAATGCATGTCTTTGGTGAATTTAAAGTTGCTGGGATGCTGACGGTATCGTTTCTCACTCAAAATCTGACTAGCTGTTTTTGCTTTCTCCACATCAAGCGAACCAATAGGAACCCATCCAATTCCTTTCATGTAAAGGTCATAATCCTTCTTATACTCATTCTAAAAATGCAATACACACAAAAGGAGAAGTCATCAACACAACCTGCATTGTCAGGTACAATAATATAGTTAAAAACTGTGAGAAGGATATTTTGATTTACATCACTAGCAATAAACTGCATGTTACGAGCCAGTTCCAGGTTCATGGCACCAGGCAGGAGCAAATTAGAGTGCCGGATCTGTCTGTAGCCAGTCATAGTCTGAGCAGCAGAGGCTTGCTTGGCCTGGACCACACTCCACATGTCCACTGGGGTGTGATACTTCAGCTTGGCCTTGTGGTAGTCCTTCTTGTACAGCTTGTCACTCTGAATCTTAGCCACCTGCATGTAGTGGACCAGGAGGGGATCGTCCTGGAGGCTGCGGAAGCCAACATGGTGGCCTCTTGCCTTCTCATAAGCCAACTTGTACTTGTACTGTGTGACACCAAATATAAATTCATTTACACAAATTGCACCGAGACTCAAAAAATGTATTTCAAGTCTATGTGTGAATGGTTTGCCAGCTTACGTTGCTGGCGATAGTGGTACCAGACTTGGCAGCTAGAATGGGGATGGCATCTGCTTTCAGGTTGTAGCCTTTATTGGCCATCTCTACCACACCAGCTTTGTAAAGTTTCTAAAAAAAAGTCATAAAAACAAAATATAAGTGTAAGCGATTGTTTTTACATCAAATACTAAGCATTAACAGCACACTGTATACGCTATTACAAGAAACAAACGTGTAACTTTAATAAGTTAGCCCTACATTGCTCATGTTGAGGGCATTAGCTTTAGCTAGGACAATCTCAGGGGAATCTGGCATGATGTGGACAGTCAGCTTGTCTTTGTCCCAAGCAGCGGTGTAAGCTTTCTGTAAATAAAGACATCAGAAAAAAATCAAAATCTTTTTCATATGTTACAAAATCATTGACGGTGGAGGGCACTTAGAGCGGAAGGTTTGCACCTTATTCATGATCTGGTTGTTGGCAGTAGCCAGAGTCAGGTCCATGGAGTCCATCAGTTTGCTATACTTGAATTGGGATGGATGCTGGCGGTATTTCTTTTCACTGAGAATGTCACCACCGACTTTAGCTGTCTCAACTGCCAGTGACCCAATAGGCACCCATCCGATGCCTCTGAAATAATTGTTCCATTCAGCCTTGTAGTTATACTGAAAAGAAACACAGGAACTTGCGATCATTGACGTGAAATGTAATGCTATCTCATGAAAAGAATGACATTTTGAAATTACAAACTCACATCACTTGAATTGAAATTCATGTTACGAGCCAGTTCCAGGTTCATGGCATCAGGCAGGAGCAAATTAGAGTGCTGGATATGTCTGTAGCCGGTCATAGTCTGAGCAGCAGAGGCTTGCTTGGCCTGGACCACACTCCACATGTCCACCGGGGTGTGATACTTCAGCTTGGCCTCGTGGTAGTCCTTCTTGTACAGCTTGTCACTCTGAATCTTAGCCACCTGCATGTAGTGGACCAGGAGGGGATCGTCCTGGAGGCTGCGGAAGCCAACATGGTGGCCTCTTGCCTTCTCGTAGGCCAACTTGTACTTGTACTGTGTGACACCAAATATAAATTCATTTACACAAATTGCACCGACAAATGAAAAATGTGGTTTAAGTCTGTGAAGACATTTTTTCAGTGGCTCACGTTGCTGGCGATAGTGGTACCAGACTTGGCAGCTACAATGGGAATGGCATCTGCTTTCAGGTTGTAGCCTTTATTGGCCATCTCTACCACACCAGCTTTGTAAAGTTTCTGTAAAATTAAAAATAAAAGCATAATGACTTTCACTCCTACCCCCATGACATTGAGAGAAATCATGACAGCTATCACGTGTATAGTGTAACTTTTCTCCCAGACAGTAAAATGTGTACTAGTTTTAAAAGTCCAGTCTATTGTTTTACATGGCTCATGTTGAGGGCATTAGCCTTGGCCAGGACAATCTCAGGAGAATCTGGCATGACGTGAACGGTCAGCTTGTCTTTGTCCCAAGCTGCTGTGTAAGCTTTCTGTAAGAAGACAAAGAAAAGAATGATCAATCTTATGAAGAAGGCAACCTTTTCGCCACATCTAATGTATAAACATGCCACATACCTTGTTCATGATCTGGTTGTTGGCAGTGGCCAGGGTCAAGTCCATGGAGTCCATAAGTTTGCTGAACTTGAAATTAGATGGATGGGTGCGGTACTTCCGGTCACTCTGAATCTCACCACCAACCTTAGCCGTTTCGACACCAAGTGACCCAATAGGGACCCACCCAATGCCTCTGATATAGCTGTTCCATTCAGACTTGTAATTAACCTAAAACAGTAATAACACATGAGTTTTGAGGTCACAGCGTAATGTGTAAGTTTAATATGGTTTTGGCCTACTTACATCACTAGCTATGTCATTCATGTTGCGACACAGCTGCAGGTGCATGTTGTCAGGAAGAAGCAGGAAGCTGTGAGGAATCTTCTTGTAGCCAGTCATAGTCTGAGCAGCAGAGGCTTGCTTGGCCTGGACCACACTCAGCATGTCCACCGGGGTGTGATACTTCAGCTTGGCCTTGTGGTAGTCCTTCTTGTACAGCTTGTCACTCTGAATCTTAGCCACCTGCATGTAGTGGACCAGGAGGGGATCGTCCTGGAGGCTGCGGAAGCCAACATGGTGACCTCTTTCCTTCTCATAAGCCTTTTTGTATTGGACCTGAAGAAAATGCAAAGCTTACATGTAGGTGATACAATGAATGTTATCAATAATTGAACGTTATTCATTGAATACATGAACTGCATACATTGCTGGCAATGTGTCTGCCCTGCTTGGCATGCAGAATAGGAATAGCATCGGGCTTCATGTCATATCCTTTGGCAATATCCTCCTGCCACTTGTGCTTGTAGTGACTCTGCAAAAGAAGGGAATTATAACTACAAGGTTTTGTTAAGCTTCTGGCGCTTTTAAATACAATTTTGTCAGACTTGCACATTAAAAAAAACATTCGGCATTCAAACCTCGCTTAGGGTCTGGGCATTGAATTTAGCCTGGAGGAACTCTGGGCAGTCAGAGGGAAGATGATAGGTGTGCATGAACTTTTCTCCAGATGCTTTGTATGCAGTCTAAATGACAGGGAGGAGAGAGATCACTTAGAGAGAAGGAGATGTGCCAATATTGCATCATCAGTAACAACTATTAGAATATAACTACGATAAGGAGGAAGCATTCTTACTTGGTCCATTTGTTTTGTGTTGGTCAGAGCTAGAGCCATGTTCATGCCATCAGTCTTGCTTGTATATTTAAATGAACTTGGATGCTGGCGGTAGCTTCTTTCATCTAAAGCAGCCTTGGCAGCTTTGGCTTTCTCAACATCCAAAGAACCAATAGGGACCCACCCTATCCCTCTGCAGTAGTTGGTATAATCTGACTTGTAGACATTCTGTCGGTATAAAGAAAAAACAAAATAGAAATCTGTTTATTAACCTAACATTACCCAGTAACAATGGAAGAACATTAAGAACATACATCACTCTGAATCTCCATCATGTTGCGACACAGCTGCAGGTGCATGTTGTCAGGAAGAAGCAGGAAGCTGTGAGGAATCTTCTTGTAGCCAGTCATAGTCTGAGCAGCAGAGGCTTGCTTGGCCTGGACCACACTCAGCATGTCCACCGGGGTGTGATACTTCAGCTTGGCCTTGTGGTAGTCCTTCTTGTACAGCTTGTCACTCTGAATCTTAGCCACCTGCATGTAGTGGACCAGGAGGGGATCGTCCTGGAGGCTGCGGAAGCCAACATGGTGGCCTCTTTCCTTCTCATAAGCCATTTTATACTTGACCTGTTTAAAAGAAAATACATGAACAATGGTTTTGTTAAAACTATTGTTAGCTGTCCTAAGATTTTAATATTAGCCCAATTCAAACATACATTACTGGCAATGTCTCTGGCAGATTTTGCAGCAACAACAGGAATAGCATCTTCCTTCACATGATGTCCCTTGAGCAGATCTTGACGATGAGCATATGTGTAATAATTCTAAAAATATATAAACAGTTATTTTACAGTCAGTCAGTCACTCATCACACATAATAATAATTATTATTTTCTTCTGAGAAATTGCAACAGACCTGGCTAATGTTGACAGCATTGTATCTGGCTTGCATCAGTTCAGGAGCATCCGCTGGAAGGTGGTAAGTGTGCATGAACTTCTCTCCGCTGGCTTTATACTCTTTCTGCACAATTTGAGGGACAGTGATGATTTATATCAATCAACAGCTTATAAAACAATGAGACTTTTATTAGAACAAAACCAAGATGATTTTTCTTCTCCTCACCTCATTCAGTATCTTTGCATTAGCCTTGGCCAGCTCCATGCTCATGGAGTCAGAGGTGCTGGTGAATTTGATTGTGGAAGGGTGCTGTCTGTACTTTGTCTCGTTCAGAGCTGCTGCTGCTGCCTTGGCTTTCTCCACATCCAGGGAACCAATTGGAACCCAGCCGATTCCTTTCATTGAGGTCTCGTACTCCATTTTATAATTATACTGTGAAAAAAAGAATGGAAAAGCCAAAGAACTGTTAAGCAATTAAGAATTTCAAGATGGTGTGTCACAAGTATCTCCAAAAAAAACTAACTTACATCACTGGAGTTGTAGTTCATGTTGCGGGCAAGCTGGAGGCCCATTGCATCAGGCAGAAGGCAATAAGTATGATGATGCTGCTTGTAGCCAGCGTAGGTCTGCACTTTTGAGGCTTGTTTAGCATGAGCCAAGCTCAGCATGTCCACCGGGGTGTGATACTTCAGCTTGGCCTTGTGGTAGTCCTTCTTGTACAGCTTGTCACTCTGAATCTTAGCCACCTGCATGTAGTGGACCAGGAGGGGATCGTCCTGGAGGCTGCGGAAGCCAACATGGTGGCCTCTTTCCTTCTCATAAGCCTTTTTGTATTGGACCTAGGAGTGCGAGCACACATACGATATTTATTACCTTTTATATTTATATGGTGTAGAGAATAAAGTGGTACCTTTGCTGTAGTTAATGCCTAAATTGACTGTGAGCATGGCTACACCCGTGAAGAAGACTTACGTTGCTGATAGCATGTCTGGCTGCTTTGGCAGCAACAACAGGGATGGCGTCAGGCTTCAAGTCATAACCTTTAGCGATCATTTCCTGCCAGGCAAGCTTGTAGTAGTTCTGAAAAATGTAATTACATAGCAAAACATTACTTTTGCAACTAGAGTGAGCCAGAGCAATCCAACAGTCTGACAAGTTTTCATGATTTCACATTTAAAGTAAGCTGGACTACTTTGTGTCATTGAAAAGGGAACTACAAGAAAACTGAAAGGAAGTTATTGGTTGTTGGGGCCACCTTGCTGATGTTGTAGGCATTGCACCTGGCCTGGAGGAGCTCAGGGATATCAGGAGGCAGAGAGTACTTCTGATGGACCTCCTCCAAACCTCTCTTATAGAACAGCTGCAAGGAGAAAAGAAAATCTCGTCTGAAACATGTCGATCAAGCCAGAACTTCCCTTCCAGCGGGAATGTTGGAAAATGTCACAAATAATTAGAATGACAGTAAACTCACATCACTCCTCTGAAGCTGGTTGACTGCGGACTGCAGCATTATGGGATGGTCGCTGATGGCTGTGAATGGGATTGTGTCCGGGTGCTGTCTGTATTTTTTCTAAAGCAGATAAGAACATGGACATCTGAGACATCTTTTACTGTGGAGACGAGTAATAGCTTGTGTCATCTAGCTGCTCACGGACCTCGTTGAGGATCTCGGCAGCTTTCTTAGCTTTCTCCACGTCCATGGATCCATAAGGAACCCATGGTGTTCCCTTAACGTACGCGTTGTATTCAGACTTGTAATCATTCTTTATGAAGAAAAACAAAACAGAAATACATGAATACCTTGTTATTACAATGGTCGTATAAATGTCTCGATTAAAACATAAAACTACAGGGTTTTAAAAACATTCAACACTAACATTATCATTTCTGTTTTATGCTGATTTTGGGTTGAATTACAGCAAAGTCCATTTCTGTAAACATCTGAAGTCTTAAATGTTTTCCACGTCCATTTCTTATTGTCTGAAAATGACCTTTAACCCTTTTCCAGACTGATGGACACCTAAATGTGCTTTTCTGAGACACATTTGGATGCTCCAAACTGTCTAAAATCCTATAACCACACATCTGATCAGTAACTGCTTATAAACAGGGTGTACGTTATTTTTACTACTACTGTAATCTGTTTCCAGTAAGATTCTGTAAGTCTTTCATACATACATCACTCTGGATGGTGTTGGCCTTCTTGGCCAGGTCCAGCAGCACGCTGTCATAAGGAAGGAAGTAGTTGGTGCTGATGCTCCTGTACCCACGCATGCTAGCGATGGACTGGGACTTCTTGGCCAAGGTGACTGAGATCATATCAAGTGGTGTATGATACTTGGTCTTGATCTTTTCATAGTCCTTCTTATATTCACGCTGTGGACACATCAGGGAGATTTTATTAGAAGGTGTCATCTGTTGTCAACTATTATATTCAGGAGGAAAGGAAGTGACGTTGAATTGAAAACAAAACTTACATCACTCTGGATTTTGGCTACGTGAACGGAGTGCAAGATTTTGGGATCGTCATTGATGCTGAGAGCTCCAACCATACGTCCCCTGTTCTTCTCATACTCCTTTTTATACTTAACCTGAAGAGGTAATAACAATAGTTGTGGGCTGAGTTATTAAAAAAGGCAGACAAGAGCTACCCAAATTCTTAAAGGCTGACGCTGAAGCGTACTCACATCACTGGCAATGTTTGTGTGAGCGCGAGCAGCAAGTATTGAGATGGTGTCGCCCTTGATCTCAAACTTCTTTGCCTTAGTTTTCTCCCAGTCGTATTTATAACAACTCTGCAAGAAGAGAATACACAAAACTCATAACTGACTGCAATCAGTCACAAATCTTTTTCTTAATGCAAACTCCTTCGGCTGGCACAAAGCGTATCAATGCATATCTCTAAATAATGTTCTTCCCTTTGCTGTCCAACAGAATTAAGATCAATTTTTGACCCTTAACTGAGAAATAAATGCAGCATGATGTGGAGACATTGGTCTCATGTTAGCTTTCTTTGTGAGGTAAAGTCACTATAATAATAAAATATACATTCAATGTCAAATTTAACAGTATATAGTGGGGCTGGACGATACAGAGAAAAAGCCTAGCGATAAAACTAATTTATTTTGATCGACAACATTCATTATTGATAATTAGGGATGTGTATTGGTGAAATTCTGGCGATACGAAACGCATCACGATACAGGGGAGATGGTACGATATATCACAATATATTGCGATACATTCAGCCGGACGGTATAAGCGATTTTTTTAGACTAAAATTATTGTAGGAAAATTCAATAAACAGTCCAAACTGATATATAACATGTTTAACATGAGGTATCTGAACCATAATAGAGGGATTTACATTCTAATAGTGGAAACAAAACACATATATATGCAAATATGTGTGTGTGTGTGTGTGTATATATATATATATATATATATATATATATATATATATATATATATATATATATATATATATATATATATATAAATAATTATTGTCCAGCCCTAGTATATATTTGTCCTTTTGCTGCCTTCCAGGACCAGGTTAGTTTTGGAAATGAGATTTATTACCTCAGTGAGTTTTCACCTGGTTTAATAAAGGCTTGATAATAAGTTTAAAACAATACTCACCTCACTCAGGTTAAAAGCGTTGACTCTGGATTGGACGAAGAAGGGATAGTCTGGAGGGAGACTATACTTGATCTTTGTTTGCTCATGCTTCGCCTTGTAATTTAACTGCAGGAGAGAAAAAAGAAGTCCTTTAAAATTCCCATTTATCTCTGTTAAGACTCGCTGTTGTATTTCCCATCGCTGGGGGGCAGTAGTGGATCAGTGGGAGGTTCTCTTACTGCTACCTAAACACTTTTCTGATGACAGATTTTATTCTGGTACAAGTGAATGCTTGTTTCTATTTTTACTACAGAGAAACGACTCTCCAGTTTCCATGGAGCTCACAGAAAGGCATCTGGGCTACATGGATGATCGAGCACAGTTAACAGATCAGCATTACTGGGGGGAGTTGATCTAGCATTGGTCTTTAAAAGGTTCCCTCAAATAAAAAGACATGGACAAGATTTTAAATCTGTATTAGGATGGTGGGTTATTTTATGTCCCGTTTTCTTGGGGACAATAACATGATACATACGTCACTTAGCTGTTTGGCGTTGATGGCGGCTTGAACGAGGACAGGAGAATCCACCACTTGAGTGAACTTTACTTTATCTGGATGTTGCCGATAAACTTTCTGCAAACAGTAAAATAAAAAAATCACATGTCATACATACAATAAATAATAGTGAGAGTAAATGTTATAAAGGAGAGCTTTCATTGGCTGTTACCCACATCACTACACTGCTGAAGCTTCTTCACTGCTTCGTATTCAGGTGTAACGGTTTGAGGAAAGAAGCATCTAGTTTTTATGTCTTCATAGTCTGCCTTATATAGTTGCTGAGGGATAGAAACGTGTCATTGGTGAGAAACACATTGTAAAATAAATTAGTACAACATTCCTAATTCATGAAGTACAGTTGAAAAAAATACATATCTTTACCTCGTTCTTCATTTCCTCGACTTTCTGGCAGTGAAGCATGTAGACGTCTTCATAGCTGCCGACGTAGTGGCCCTTCACCTCATTTTCATATTTTGCTTTGTAACGTGTCTGAAAATATGACAACGATTTAATGTGTGCATCTAAATTAGAGAAGGATTAGACAAAAGACTGCATTAGTAATACATTTTCTTACATCGGTAAACCGTTTCAGCACGGAGTCCATCTGAAACTTGGGAGTGTCACAGTAGTTGATGCTGAAACCTCTGGATTTCTCATAGTTGGCCTTGTATACTTTCTGCAACAAAAACAAAATGATTAATGAAAGAAAAGGTATCTCATCCTACAAATTTCCTTTGTTTTCTTTTTTTGTTTCAGATGAAGAATTTGATTTTTGTATAAGAAACAGATGACCTGAGAAAATGTAAGTTGTTGTTTTCAAATGACGATTTCAGGTATTAAAGACCAAGTCACCCCCTGCCAGATTCATACTCAACTCCCACTTCCTGTTTGAAAAATGCAACAAATGCTGTTGCCTAGTAGACCGAGAGGGCGGAGCCACTAACAAATACACACACTCATGACATTGTGACATCATAATGTACCATCTAACATCATAGTGTACCTCTTAGCCAATAGCGATGGCAGATTTAAATTCAAATGCAGTGCAGAGTTTTTACCTGACGACGGCGCAACACTGACAGTTTTAGGCAGATAATTTAAATTTTTACTAAGATTAACTAAAGTGCCAAATTATTGACTGAACGTGTCTACAGAGCAATTAAACACTCATTTGTATAGTTTATCAACAAAAAAAGTTGATTTGAGGGTGACTTGCTCTTTAAGTAGAGAAGGCTATCCTAACTAACTTCACTTCACGTGAAAAAGTCATTGCCCTCCTTGTAAATCGTGATTTAACTGTGCTTAGGCATATTACTTGGAGGCCTTGGTTCAGTCCCTCTAGATCCATCCAGTAGAACTAAGCAATCATTTCATTGTTTATGTTTATTTTTATTTATTTAGCAAACGCTTTTATCCAAAGTGACTTACAATTTATAACCTATAGGGCATGTTGTGGTCTGTGGGGGAAACCGGAGTACCCGGAGGAAACCCACGCATGCATGTGGAGAACACGCAACTCCACGCAGAAAGGCCGCAGCCGAGTTTCGAACCTGCAACCTTCGTGCTGCGAGGCAACAGTGCTAACCACTGCGCCACCATGCAGCCCAATAGAACCTTTCTGACATGAAGTAGGTTAAAGGATCTCAAAAAGCAACATAGTTCCAAAGATATTCAAAAAAGAATGAACCCAGGTTAATGTCAGAGGTCACGATGAGGTCATTTTGGGGAGACACTTGATTGAGGCCCATGACTTTAAGTAAAATATTCTATATGATGACAAGGTGAAAGTGGAACTTTCTGCAAGGTGTGCATCTTGTAAATTTGGTGTAACAGAAAACCAAAGAACCGACAGTGCTGGTGGTAGTGTGGTGGTTTGGAGCTGCTTTACAGCTTCAGGACTGGAACCACTTGCTGTAATTAATGAAACCACAAACTCTGCTTTCTGCTAAAAAATCCTGAAGGGGAAAATTTGACCTTTGACCCTAATCTGGCTAGTCATGCTAGAAAACCCTGTAATATCGCTAAAATAAAACAGATCCTTCACAGCAATAACACTGGCCACCGAGGGTGTTGTTGCAACCAGTTTACAGGGCAAGAACCGAGCCAGGTTGGTTAGGGAAACTTTTCTCATCTTCATCCTTTAAGCCGTACTATGAAAGCTGCATTTTTTTTTACTTACTCGGGTTATTTTTGTCCAATATATTGAAACGTTTTGCTTTTCTGTAACATTCAAGTGTAACAAATAAAAAACAGAAAAACAACAGAAGAAATCCAGATCATTTTCACAGAAGTAAAAAAATAAAAAGCAACACTGTGGTGGATCCAGATTTTACCAGATAATAGGACTAAATATATAAATAATTCTGGTGCAACAGCACTGCTAATCCCTTCTTGACGGTGAAATTACCAGCAGTAAGAAGACTAACAACTTCAAAGAATACTTTTAGTTTTTCAGCATCTTTTCTGATGAAGATCTCAGAAAGAAGGAATGCAAAATGATGAAAGATGAAGCTAAGATGGAAATAAAACAGATTCTATGATTTGTTGGACACCCACATCGCTGAGGATGGTGCCAGCATATCTGAGCTGTCTCAGGAGTGGATTCTCTGTTGCAGGGAGCGTGTTGTAGTCACACTGCGCTTTCGTTTTTTCATACTCCTTCTTGTACTGGACCTGAACACAGAGCGCAGATGAGTGTGAGTGAAAACAGGAACAGAAAAGGTTGATGAGCTTGATAATGAAACATTGCAGTCATGCTGTGTGTGAGACTTCCTGCATCAGAAGGAGCTTGGCCTGTTGACTCCCACTCAGCTCTCAGATCCACTCCATCGTGTCTTCCACATGAGAAACAATCTGCGTGTTGGTGGGCTTACCTCGCTGGCAGCAATACGAGCCTTCTTGCACGAGCTGTAGACGGGCGTTTCTGTTTGCATGAAATAAATTTGGTCTTTTGTGTCTTCATAATGTTGAGTGTATTTTCTCTGGGGAAAAAAAAACAAAAAACACAATAGTAAGATTAATCAAAATCAATGTTAGGAGTTGAGGTGTGTAAAAAGAGCACTTACTTCACTGAAGTTGTCCATTGCCATCCTGGCGATAGCTACGTCAAAGTAGGGCGTCTCACACCACTGCCCCCTCACGTTTTTATTGTAATCTTCCTTGTATTTAAGCTGTGAACAACAATGTTAAAAGATGTTTGGGCTCTAGAATACAATATATAGAGTTACAATTCAGTATGGTTCGTAAAACACAAGCAGAATAAGAAGAATCCCTGTATTTTGACTAATTTGTTAACCTGTCTATCTATTTTAATGAGGTCATTTGCAACAGAAAGAAGGTTGCTAGGTAGTTCAAATAGACTCTGCTAATGTTTGTGGACTCTATCTCCATTAGTGCACCATCTACTGCATTCAGAATCTCCCTTTTGTGTTTTGGCTCCTGAGTATAAGTGATTTCCTAAGAAAAGTCTTGAAAATTCAAAACGTGATCTGTTTAGGTTTTCTAACTGGTGCAAATCAGCTACATTCAGACACACGAGCTTCTCTGATTTTTTTTTGTGCTCTGATGAAGACTGAAAGAGTCTATGAAAAATACACATTTTCCTTAAACACTGAAATTAGAGGTCTAATGCATGCATAGGGTTTGTTGAAAAGAAGGATTGGTAACACTTTATAATAACTATGAAGGGGTAACACTTTATAATAACTACGTCTTATTTAGCCTTAATTACACATGAACAAACATGTAAGTAACTACTAACAAATAATTAATTAACAATGACTCTTAATTAATAAACAATTAACCAATGCATTAATTAATGCTTTGTTTTTAATGATTAGTCCCTTGTAAAAGCTGTTTACTCATTTCTTATTCATATGTAACAAACCATTAACAAAGTACTTTTAAGCAACTGACTAACACATTAATTAATGCTTAACTTCTAATGACTAGTTTCATGTAAAAGCTGTTAATTTATAGCTTATTCATAATTAACAAACCATGAACAAAGTTCTTATTAATCAGTTTTTGGTAACACTTTATAACTACATCTTATTTAGCCTTAATTACACATGAACAAACATGTAACTACTAACAAATAATTAATTAACTATGACTTACTTAATAAAAAACAAAGCATTAATTAATGCACTGGTTAATTGTTTATTAAGTAAGAGTCATTGTTAATTAATTATTTGTTAGAAGTTACTTACATACTTGTTCATGTGTAATTAAGACTAAATAAGATGTAGTTATTATAAAGTGTTACGGAAGGGGTAAATGATCTTCTGCAGCAGCTGCTGGGAAGAGAGTTCTGCTTACATCGCTGCGCTGATCGGCCACTCTCCTGGCAAGCTCCACCTCAGGAGGATCAGGCAGGGACGTGTACTTGGCTTTGCGCTGATCGTGACCCTTCTTATAAAGAATCTGTGGGGATAAGCAGGAGTTTTGACTGTTTAGTGACCTACCATCCTCATAAAAGTTAAACACATCTGAAGGTGAACATTTGCTTTGAGCTGAGAAGATGCAGCTGAAAAGGCCGCAGGACACATAAAACTTACTAATGCCATACATAAAGTCAGGTTGTTGAAAACGTTTTTTCCTTTTAACGCAGCGGAGAATTAAAGATAAATAACAAATTCATCTTACATCGCTGAGGACCTGCTGAGCCTTGGCCACCCTGCGCAGCTCGGGGCTGTCGGTGTACGGGTAGAACAGGGTCTTCTCCTCCTCCCAGGACTCTTTGTAAAGTTTCTGAACAAGAAATGTCATCACTTACTACAAAAATACTAAAATTATTATAGAAAGTAAACATTGTGTTTTTTTTTATTTTAGAGATGAAGCTTGGTGGTGAAATGCGATACTGGACATACGTTGCTATAATTAGCAGCATTCTTCACAGCCAGAACCAGCTCAGGAGCATCAGGTGGCAGCAGGTACTTGTCCTTGGTCTCATCCCACTTTTGTCTGTACAGAACCTGCAGGAGACATCGAGAGTAAACGGTAAGACTCTGTGTTAAAATCTTAGTGACTGACATTAGTTGACATTACCTTGCTGATCAGCTCGGACACATGCTTGACATGGTGGATCTCTCTGGCGTCACTGCCATACAGGCTGGTCGTTCGAACCTTGTTGCCTGCCATACGGTATTTAACCTGACAGGAACACGTTTCATTTACATGGAATCAACTTAGAGATATTTAGCCAACTCACACACTTCTAGTAAAACACAACATAATTCAGTGTAACTCTTGATTCAGCAACAGGACAGAGGGGCTTTCGGTGCTACCTCACTAAGCTGCTCCTGGGCCTTCCTAATGCGGATCATTTCAGGGGTCTCAGTGGAGATGGCAGGAGATGTCCCTCTGGACAGGTCATAAGCATGGCGGTACTTATTCTGCCAAGGATATCCAGTATTAAAATAAATCAGGTAATCAACATGTTTGGAACAACAGTGATACTTTACAAGTAAGTGATTAAATGGTAACACTTTACAATAAGGGTCCCTTTATTAACGTTACTTAGTGTATTATTAAGCATTATTAAACTATTAAGTAAAGTGTTAACAACTGCTTTATGCATTACATAGCATTAATAAACAAATTATTTTATGCATTATTAAGCAGTTAACTAATGTATATTACTGAACCTTAGTTAGTACAGTACTAAGCTTTAAACAACACTTGCATTATTTAATTACTTTGCATCATGTGTGTTAATTACCATGTTAGTTAATGTGGTAATTAACCTTTAATAATAATTCAAGTAACTATTTATTATGGCTGTGTATTTGCAGCAAACAAGCAATAATTACTGAATGACCTCTGGGCCCTTAGGTTCAGTCAAAGACATCAGTTAACTGCTTAATAATGCATTAAAGGATATGTTTAGCAATGCTACGTAATGCATAAAAACAGTTGTTAACACTTTATTCAATGGCTTATTAATGCTTAATAATGCACTAAGTCACATGAATAAAGGGGCTCTTATTGTAAAGTGTCACCGATTAAACTCAAAGTAGCTTCTTACATGGCTGAACAGTTCCAACATCTTCTTACTGTGGGCCAAGTATGGAGTCATGAACTTGGAAGTATCGACCTTGGCCTTCTTCCTGACTTTCCTGGCAGGCAAGCCAGACTAGAAAGAGGAAACAGTTATTATCTTTATTGGTAAAATAAAACACCTGTAAAGGAAAACAGCTTTTACAAAACAAAGTCATGTAAAGCTACCTGAACAAGGATGCCTCCTAGGCGAGGGTGTTATCAAATTCATAAGCTGCGTGAGTCCACAAGCTACTCACATTACAGTAACTGGCATTGGGAATTGTTTAGCATTAAAGTCAGTGGGCCAGGATTTTCATAAGAGGTTTATATGTGTTCAAATCATGCAGGAAAACCGATTAAAGGGGCTGAGTGTGATAAATCCAAAATAAGCCAAAGGTTATTATGAATGAGTTCAATGTGTTGGATGCAATGTTGACCTCAGTAGCTTTACAACACACACAGCAGTGATCCTAGAGCATCGTTTTTGTGTGAGACAACTTCTCTATGGACCAGTGAGGGGGCGGGGTTTAAGCATAATAAAACATAACAGAGCATTACATTAAAGTTTTTGGATACACATGTAATACAAATGTAATCACAATGAAAATATTCCATTATTGTCACATTTCATTAATTTTTTTAATGAAATACTGTGCAGACTAAATATAAAAACATGTATATATAATTTTTAATACGTTCATTTATTTCTCTCCAATCCAGTACCCATGATCCCCAAACTGGTCTTTTGCATGATGGTACAGGACACCTTGATTACATTAGTGCCTCTAGTTTAGTAATAACATATTCTAGCAACCTTTAAGTGACAGTTCACATCTTTTGAAGAGTGTTTTCTGGGGAGAAGTTGTGAACAATCAATATCTCACCACTTGTTGATAGATGCTGGAATGTTCTCGGTTTGGACAAATGTAGTTTTAATCAGATCAGCTAACATTTAGCCACAATGCAGCCAGTTAAGTCCCTGAAATCATGCCAAATGTTCAAAATATTTTAGTAGTTCATGTAATTTACACCCCACTCAGTCGTTGCACACTGGGGGGGTCTTCCTGTTGGATGTTTTCCTCTCCACTGTTGCTACATGCTCTTACTTTGTAAAGTGCCTTGAGGCGACTTATGTAGTAAATTGGCTCTATATAAATAAAATAAATGGAAGCCTTTTATTTATCATTAATTTCACATTTTATGGTGATTTCTGGAGATTTATTCAGGAGCTCCAGTCAGAAAGGCTGTGGTACCTCACAATGCAGCTAATTCCCTCTGCAAGTAACTACATAATTCTGTGTAAAATAACTATGTAATTTAATGAGAAATTAAAGGAAGTGTAAATGCTGAAAAACCTTTGCTTATGTTTTACAAAGGTGGTGTTAGGACAACTTAATCATTTTAGAACTGGCCCCAATCAAAGCAGTCATTAGTTCATCTAAATGATCAAAACCAACCTACGGTTAATCACAGGTAAGATGTTAATTGTTCACCTTTACACAGAACTGTACTTCAAATTATCTGAATTGTTCCACTAATTAGCAAGCACAAGCAGTCATTTCCTGTTGGAGGTTGCATTAAATGTTGATTTGTTTATTTTTCTACTGATTTAAAATAAAAGATTTTGAACTGTTAAGGGCCAGACATCCACACCGGCCAAGGCTGCAAACACAACGTGTGACTATGATCCATTCAGGCATGCAGACCACCCTGCCCTGCATGAACTACTGTTGTACCTTGGGAGGAGGTACTGTACCTGTAAGCCCTGAGTCTTGTGCTCAGAGTGAGATGTCGTTGTGGTTGTTGTAATCTGCTCAAAGTACTAAAAATATAGGACACACTCTGGGTTTTCAGAAATTTATAAGAAGTTATGGGAGGAACAGCACAGTATGTTTTGGATTGAGGGTGATTTTTCCCCACAGCTCTGGTGTTGGACTAGGATACCACTGCATCACATGCAGCTTTTCTATAAACTGTCCAGTGTTTTATGTTTTGTTTTAGACCGTTATAAGCTTATTACCTCTTGAATAAAAAGGGGTAAGTGAAACACGGGTAAAACCTCAGCTACAAATAAACCATGATGCAGTTGTCACAGCAGTCAAACTAAGCTAGTATTATACAGAGGATTAGGAGTTCCAACGTCGTCTGTGCTATTTGAGCTCATCTTTAATCCTTAGACTAAATTTATAAACACCAGATGACAATAATTCTATTTTTATTTGTCATTTCACACCCCATTGCTCCATTGTCCGTTGCCACAACAAGCTGTTTAGACAACTTTATGACCTCTATGATATAGATTGCAGCTATGTCTCCTTTTTACCTCCAAATCTCACATTTTCAGGCAGTTTGTGTTTATGAGAAAAGTCTCATCTTGAGTTTCCTACTTATAACCAAAAATGGAAAGAGGAGATTAGAAAAATCGAATATATTTAAAACTGAAAGCTAATGGCATGTTTAGCCATGGATGAAGTTGATTATACGCATACTTTAGAGAAAAAAACCCCACAAAGGCCATTGAAACCACTTGAAAACCACACAAGTAATATAAACTTAAAAAGAATGAAAATCGTGGTTCATCAGAAAACTAATTTAAAAAATAATGTAATTGTCCTGGACGATAATGATGGGACACTTAATACTTTGTTGCACAACGTTTTGAATGAATCGAGTTTGTGTAACTTTCAGAGAGACTTCGGCTCTGTTGACGGGTACTTTGCCTCGTTCCCTGTCTGCAGTCTCGGGTCTGAAGGCCTCCTTTTACAGATGTTTCTCCTCCTTTCACGGGTGTACAATAAAATTTAGATCAGGACTCACCAAAGGGAACATCTGAATGGTTCAGTGATGAATTCTTAGTTATCCTAGGGTGGTTTTAGCTACCCTTATGAATGAGACCAAGCTTTCTCCAGCAGTGTGGTACTCACCCTGATACCAAAAAGCACTGTGACTACTTTTCATATTTTATATAAGTAAACTGGCTGGTTAAAAGACTGAAGACACATGTGAGGCTAATGCACATGTTCCTATGATCAAACTATTTTTAATGAGGTGCTATAGTGATGCTTTGTATTTTGCTGATTTGCCGACTGGGTTGCTTGGCTCTAAACAGTAGCACAGGATTTCAAGATCCTGGTTCTGGTCTATAGGGCCTTACATGGACAAGCACCATCTTACATTGGTGATCTTCTTAGTCCCTACACCCCCAGCAGGTCCCTGAGGTCCAGTGATCAAAGCCTACTGGTTGTGCAGCACCAGGCTAACGACCAAAGGTGACAGATCATTTGCTGCTGTGGCCCCCAGACTCTGGAACTCTCTCCCCCTGAGCCTGAGATCAGTGGACTCAGTGGTCTCCTTTAAAAAGCAGCTAAAGACTCACTTGTTCAAGCTGGCTTTTGTATGACCTTCTTCACCACTCTCTCTTTATTCTGCTCTCCCCACCTATTCCACCTTCCTCAGGATCCACTGATTTCCCTCTTTTCTGTTCACTCTCTCTCTTTCTTTACATTTTTTAATCACAGTTCTATTTTTGCTCATTTTAAATATATTTCTAAACATTTTCTGAATGCTTTTTTATATTTTTACAATTTTTGTTTTTGTGAAGCGCCTCGTGATTTTTATCTTGAGAGGCACTATAGAAATGAAATCCTCCTCTTCTTCTTCTTCTTCTTCTTCTTCTTCTTCTTCTTCTTCTTCTTCTTCTTCTTCTTCTTCTTCTTCTTCTTCTTCTTCTTCTTCTTCTTCTTCTTCTTCTTCTTCTTCTTCTTCAGCAAGACAGGTGAGACGGGCAGCTGTTACAGGTAAATATGTCCTCATCAGATGAAAGCAGTTGGGGTTGGTCCTAATGGTTCTGGACACTTTTCTCATGTGGGACTCAAATTTAAGATGCAAAACCACAAATCAGAGCAATGTCTGACTTCTAAGTTGATTTTCAATAAACGTTTAATTCTAAATAGTTTTGCCTGGTTCAAGAGGTTACATTCAAAGACCATTTGGGAGCTTTCTTTTTTAATAAAATGATACAAAAAATTCCACCTCATCCTTTTGTGTAATAATGAGAAATGAGATATATCAAACGATGTGTCTGTTTGGTCATCTGTGTTTGTATGCCTAAAACCAGGGGTAGCAAGCACTGGACTTGGAGAGCCACAACCCAGCATGTTTTAGTTGTTTCCCTGCTTCTACACAGTTGATTCACCTGTTCAGCAGCTCATCAGGCTCTGTAGAAGCCTGTTAATCACCTGCTGATTAAAATCAGGTGTGTTGAAGCAGGAAACCTCTACAACCAGCTGGATAGCAGCTCTCTAGGACTGGAGTTTCCTACCCCTGGTAGGAAACCAATTAGGTTGTGGAACTTCTAGTTTAGCTTGTGTTAGGATCTGATTATCCTTCTTCCCTCCACTGTAATAAACATTGTTAAAGGTTGAGTAAGTTACGCAGAAAAAACGATTATTCTCACTCTACTGGGGATTTAGACTGTTTTTGGATTAGCCACATTTAATGCCTTAAACCATTATAAGGGCAACCAGAGCTGAGAGAAAGAACATCTCAATCATTTTTATTGACATTGGCAAGAGGCCTTAATATCTACATCTATCAGACAGGAGAGAACCATAGAAGAGATGAACCAAGACAGCTGCACCTCCCTACAACACAACACACCTCCAAGTTAAATCTGTAAACTTAGTATTGACACATCCAGCTTCCAAAACTTCTGTGCAGGAGAAAGATGAAAAAATCCAAAATAACAGAACAAACCGTTCAAATGCTAAACTTCCCTGTAAGTTCAAAAGTGTGCATGAGTTTGTTCTGCAGACTGAATTAAATAAGGCGAGACAAGCCCTTTTCGACAAGGTCATTATGATAATACTAACAATTATCATGTCCTGCTTGCTACTATTGAGAGGTTAACTAATCTCCCAACACAGTTAAACCCTGATTTTATATCCTAAACCAAGTCTAATGAGTTTACATCCTTTTTCAATGAGAAAATCATAAACATCAGATCGACCATTTATTCCTCCATGTCAAGCAACACAACCAGACCACAGCTACAATCTCACAGCAGTGTGATTAGTGCTAAAACACTGGAGAACATTCAAGGCCTTAAACTCATCTAGCTGCTGTCAACACAACCTGCCGACTAACTTCTTCAAAAATGTTTTAGCTGCTTAAAAGCTGATGAAATGAAAAGTGTTAACTGTTCCCTAATGTCAGGTATTTTCCCTAAAACACTGAAAACTGCTGCTGTTTAACCTCTAAAGAAAATTAGATCCATTAGTGATGAATAAGTACAAACCAGTCTCTAATCTCCCTTTAATCGGGAAAGTTATTGAAAATGGTAAATGGCCTGTATTTGATATAGCGCCTTCTAGAGTCCTGGAGCCCCCCAAGGTGCTTTACAACACAATCAGTCATTCACCCATTCACACACACACATTCACACACTGGTGGTGATGAGCTACAATGTAGCCACAGCTGCCCTGGGGCACACTGACGGAGGTGAGGCTGCCAAGCACAGGCGCCACCGGTCCCTCCGACCACAACCAGCAGGCAACGTGGGTTAAGTGTCTTGCCCAAGGACACAACAACAGCGACAGACTGAGCGGGGCTCGAACCTGCAACCTTCCGATTACGGGGCGAGTACTTAACTCCTGTGCCACCGTCGCCCCAACAAGAAAAAGCTGTTATGATCCAGCTGAACAACTTTTTAGAGACAAACAAGCTGCTAGATAGTTTCCAGTCAGGCTTTAGACAACACCACAGCCCTGAGACCGCACTTATTAAAGTATTAAATGATATTAATCTAAATACAGATTCAGGCAAAACATCTGTCCTGATGATGCTCAATCTCACTGCAGCTGTTGATACAGTCGACCACACCATCCTTCTTGATAGACTGGTTGAGGTGGGACTTTCAGGCATGGAAAAAGGGCAGGCATGTGGAAGACGGGGGTTATGGTCTCTCTATTGGTCATAAATCAAAGCTGATCACCATGAACATGTGAATTTCTCCAAGGCTCAATTCTTCAATCTCTACATGCTCCCCCTGGGTCAGGTCATACACAATAACAACATTATCTATCATAGTTATGCAGATGACACCCAGATCTACCTAGCTCTATCACCTAGTGACTGTGGTCCCCTAGACTCACTCAGTGTTTGGAGCAAGTCAGTGACTGGATGCAGTCACTGACTAGCTCCAGTTAAACAAAAACAAGACTTTGAAAATAAGGATAGACAAAACAAGACCTAGAGAAACTCATTCATGTGTTCATCTCCAGCAGGCTGGACAATTGCAATGGTCTTTTGACTGGTTTTCAAAAAAATGCTGTGAAGCAACTGTGGCTTATTCAGAATGCTGCTGCTAGAGCCTTAACAAGAACCAAGAGAACCGAGCACATCACTCCTGTTCTTAGATCTCTACACTGATTACCAGTAAACTACAGAATCAATTTCAAGTGCTTCTACTAGTTTATAAGTCACTCAATGGCATGCTCAATGGCATGGGGCCAGAATACATGTCAGATCTCCTTTCTGGATATACTCCCAGGAGGGCTCTGAGATCCTTAGGAAGTAGTCAGCTGGTAGAACCCAGGTCAGAACCAAACAGGGTGAAGCTGCTTTTAGCTACCATGCTGCTCACAGATGGAATCAGCTTCCTTATAACCTCAAATGTGTCCCAACTCTAGTAAGTTTTAAATCACAATTGAAAACGTTCATGTTTTCATCATGTTCTTGTGCATCACCTTCTGCACTGTAACTGCTCACCCTTTAACTTTAACTTTGTTTCTTTTTCATTTTAAAATTGTGTTTTCTGTCACGTTGATTTAAATGTTCCCGCTATTCTTGCTAATGGAAAGCACAATGAATTGCCTCTGTGTATGAAATGTGCTATACGTATAAATAAAGCTGCCTTGCCTTGCCTTAACACCGTCAACAAGGCTGCTGAACTACACCATAGTGACTCATCTAACTTTCACTCCATCGCCTTCTGCCCCCTTTTCTTCTCCCCTCTCTCAGTCTCTTTCTGGAGAGTCCGTTTCTAAATTTGTCTAAATGCCAGACAGAGAACTCCGCACTCCACCTCTCACTGCCTCAAGAAGTTAAACTGACTGAGGAATAAAAATTCCATTAAAAAACAAATAAAATAGTTTGAGATTACTATGAAATAAACATGTTCTATGCTAATTTAGAAAAGAAACTGATTACATTGTTTTCTATATTTCATGAAAACTATGTTTCTCCCCATTCTGTAGATTAAATAACAGGCCATCTTACTTGTTGTGGAAAACAGTGCACCATTTCTCCACAGTATGGATGAAAGTACTAGTGAAATCAGAGTGTATTGCTTTTGTGTCTATCCATCTGTCCCACCTCCCAAATGATTTGCATCTTTGCATCAAAGATGGCAAATCTTTTTCAACCAGTTGATATGTTATATGGGAGTTAAATGATTCAAAAATGCTTGGCGACATGCTTCGTAACTCTAAAACAACCACCAACAATCATTCAAACTCCCCTATGAGATACCAGCAGTATTCAGATTGAACAAATACGAGGCTAACTTTAACCCCATATTTCCACAGGAAATACAGGATTATCTGTCAGCCTTCTGCTTTCACTCTTCCATCGAACACTGACAAGGAGAGCATGAACATCATACATGTTTTAACAGCAATTTGAAACAGAACATAAAATATCCTGGATTGAGTGTATTTAGTTCATGCACAGTCTGAAAAAAAAAATAGGGCCAAAGAATAACTTGTGAAGAATTTCAACGGATGTCATTTGATGCAAAACACCAAAATAGTAACTTCCAGAAAATTGCTGAGCAAGTCATTTGAACTTAGCATGATCTGGCTGTGGGTACCATTAAATGGTTCCATTTGTGTCAGTAACTGGTTTGAAATGATGCAGTTAAACTATCTGAGGATGTCTGTGAAATATAACACCAGTTGGCTGTTGGCATCAGTCTCGTCTATCTAGAAACATTTACGGTTTCATTCCTTTATTGTTGGTTTCAAGCTCTATACTGTAGAACCTCACACGGGTTCTTTACAGGATCTGCCGCTGGACTCATTCAGCCAGTAAATATCCCCAATTTAATTAATATTAAATTAAAATAGTAATTTAGCAATGGAAGGAAAAAATTGCAGCTTTGCCTGGAAAGCTCATGCAAACAGGATGGGAAGCAGCTACCTACCTCCACAGATTCGTCGTCCTCCTCCTCCTCATCATCATAGTCATCATAATCGTCTCCAGTATCTGCCATTTTGGCACCGTTTTAGAAGCTCTAAACACAAGAGAGATACAAACTTTCAGACATTTCAGCTTCATGTTATGTAAAGGATGAACACCGTGCTCTGCAGGTTCAGCTTTTCTTACAAACTGAAATCAAAACTCATTTCCTGACTCAGCCTAAATAAGGTTTCACTTTATGATGCTTCCAACCCCCCCCCCCCCCCCCCACACACACACACACACACAATGACACAGAACATAAAGGCCAGATCAACGTCTGACTAGTGCAATTCAGCAGATCTCTGCAATATTTCCCGATAATAAGGAATTTTCACTTGCTATCCACAAGAGTCTCAGCCTGATTCCAACAGTTATGCGCCACTCCTAACATGAAATGTTTAAAGGAAATCAGTAAATTAATAGCTACACATTGAGAATGGTAGGTTAGGAAGCAAAGTGCATTAGGATGGGACCCCTGGCTCCAAATCTGTGAGAGGACCCCCCCCCCCCCCCCCCACATACCACAACACAGCTGAGCGGACTGTGGCTCCCGGCTGAAGGTTGCCGACAGCTGCCCAACATGGCCCCTGCTATTTGACATGTAAGCTAATGCCCCAACCTGATTGGCTGACTGTGTTTAGCAAAGGGAGATGCAATGCCTTCTGAGGCTGCAGGTTAAATATAGGATGACATACTAACTACCATTTTTAGCACCTAATAGCCCTCTCTTTAAGTTAAAAAACAAAAAATAACTGTCTGAAAGGAAAAATATGCAGAAAATCGATTTAGAAAACCAAAGCAAGCAGATGCTGAAGCTTCAAGTGGAATCAAAGAGCTGCTGGTGTTTGAGACAAATCCAAAACTCAATCTGGTCTCATTTCACTTTAATCTTGTGATTGTTTGGTTATTCCTTCGAAACGCAAAAACAACAACAAAAAAAAGTTCAGTTTTTATCCCTCAGTCAATCTCATCTTGGATCCAAAAAGCAGTAAAGGATGGAGACAGTGGACATCCAAGCAGATGGAAAGCCATGCAGGGCATAAAAAACGTATATTTGAGGATTTTAATCCATTCCTTTGCTTACCGGTTAAGTTTAAGTTTAATGGTCTCCCAAGCCGCCAAAGCCTTTCCAGCCTCCCTCCAGAGAAAAGCTGGGCGACAGCACACAGCTGCACTTTCTAGCCAGGTTATCATGTGGGTGACCCAGCCAATCAGAAGTCGTTGCTCTCAGGTTTCAAAACCTAAATATACCCAAGTGATCATTTCAGAAAGGAGCACCTGTCGAGGCTAAACACATCACCGGTACAGTAATGAGGACAGCGTCACAGACAGGGGACCGTCAGCTTGCACACAACAATACAAAGTATGTGCAGCTCAGCGGTAGGCGACTGTGGCAAGGAGGATAGTTTTCCCTTTCTGAATGATTTCAACAAGACTTAGACTACCAGCTAAGCTCAATGGCCTAGTGGTATGGGTGTCCACCCTGAGATCATGGGTTCAAATCCACAGTTGGATCATACCAAATACTTAAAAAATGGGACCCAATGCCTCCCGCTTGACACTCTGCCTTAAGGGGTTGGATTGGAGGGTTAAACCACCAAATGGTTCCTGAGCGCAGACATGTCTGCAGCTCATTGCTCCCCCAGGGGACGGGGCAAGTGCAGACAACAAACTTCACCACACATCAGTAATCTTAAAGAAAGTTAAACATTCATTCACTCATTCATTCATGATGGGAGTGGATTTGATTCATGGCCTGGATGACTAAGATCTGTTGAGCTCATCTATCAGATGACCCAAAGCTGGTTGCATCCTGTTAAGAATCAGGGCAACAAGCTACAAGCCTGTGGCATAAAGAAGTGTACCCTTATTGACTTTTTGTTTGTCTTATGCAAACAAAATACAATCTTAAACTAAAATGTTTATAACACTTTAGATAACAAGTGGATCCAATGTTTGTAATTACTGGTAATGAGTTTTTAATCATCACTGTGGATGAAAATCATCCTACTTTTCTTCAACCATGAACAGCCTGTTTAAGGTCAAAGGTCAGACATTTACCCTAAAGTTTTCTGCTAGTGCAGAAGTCTTGGTTTCATCAATTACAATAAGTGGACCAGATCCCGAAGTCGCAGAGCAGCCCCAGACCATCACACTACCACCACCATGTTTGACTGTTACTTTAGCTGTTTTTACAGGACCATTGCGTTTGCAAAATGGGATTTGCCCCAGCTCCCTGGGGAGGATAAAGGTCGTTTATAAGATCAGACCGTGGCGGTAATGTGGCGCAATCGTGGCAATTTTATAAAAGATTAGGTAAAGGCGGCATAAAGGGGGTATGGGGGCAGTGACTGAGCTGCCGCAGACTTCTGTTTATCTTGGACATAACTTGCTTTTTATTGCGATTGAAACCGTGATCGTTAAGTTTTTTTTAACAAGCAGCTCCTAAAGGTGTCTGTCCCCATCAGTCCCGGTGCAGTCTCTGGTCATCTGAGCTTCAGCTCTAACAGAGAGGCTCGTGGAGCGCTGCGGCATTCCAGTTTGCCATTTCAGCTGACTTTGTTCAAAAAGCAACCCTTATTGCCTTTGTATACTTTCATTTTCAATAAATTTGCCAGCCGGAGCTCAGCAATAACTCCCCACGTCATCATGACATCTGCCTCTGTTGCGCCAGGGCGCATATGACAGACCATTACCGCAATATTACTACCAAGCGAGACGGAACAAATGCCGCAAAACGCCATGCCGGCATGGCGCGTTTATAGACATACCATTGCGGTAATATTACGCCGATTTGCCGGCATGGTGTGTCGTATAAAAGCACCTTTTGATGTTTGATTTTTAGTTTCACACTGTATAGAATGGGAAAATGTCATCCCTACAGTTTTATTTTCGTCTAATTAGAAGACAAGACATTTTCCCAGAAGTCTTGGGGATCATCTAAATGTTTTTCGAGTATATGTGAGACAGGTCTTTGTGTTGTTATTCAGCAGGGGCTTTGATCATGGACCTCTCCAGTTGAGGCCATTTTTGCCCCCATTTTCTTAAGGTTGAAGCCTGACCTCTGATTGATGTAGTTTTCACACAGGATCTGGTTACTTTCCATTACTTTTTTCTTCTTGATAACTGAAAACATTTGAAAACTATATTTTGTACTCACCCAGATTCTCCTCAGCTAATCTGTTTACTCATCGGAAACATTTTGGTGTGAAAATGTAAAAACAGGCAAAATCTAAGGGAGCAGACACTTTTATCCCAAAACTAAGACAAACCATATTGAAAAGCCTAAATATGAAATGAACTACTGCAATCTTATCTGGTGAAGATATGTTTGGAAAACTTAAGATTCTTTAGAATAAGAAAACTCAAACAGCTTCACTTCAAGTAAAAAGACAAGAAATTCTGTATTGAGAACGATTGGGGAATCAAAATGTTTGAGACATCTCCACATCTTATCTGTGTGTGAGTGTAGGTTTTTTTAGGTGCTGTGCTTTCTATCCACAATTTATACTCAGGTTATTTGGAGATCTTAAAGGGAACGCATGAGCTGAAATATCGATTATAGTGGTTGAGAAAAACTGGTTGTGGGGCGAGGGGGGCACAGGGATCAAGAGTTTGTCCTATAACCAGTGGGTTGCTGGTTCACACGCAGGATCTGCCCATGTCCGTCTTTGTCCCCTTGGCCAAAACACTTGGTCAGGGAGACCAGTGGCACGAACTGTGTGAAGCCTTGCCTCCGTCAGTGTGTCCCTGGGCAGCTGTGGCTACAATGTAGCTCATCACCACTGGTGTGTAAATGATCGTGGTGTAAAGCACTATGGAGCACATGTCTTAGAAAAGTCCTATACAAATGTACACTACTATTATCTGAAATCAGTTTGACTCCACTCTCCACTAAAAAGCAGTTAGCGATTTGAATGTTGCTGTCTGTAACAGGAATGGGAAGGTTTGTGATTCTAGGTCACTTCACGATGTTTTAATATATATTTTGTTATTTAGCACCTTACAGAAAAGGTGCCTGAGCCTATGTTCATAAATAAAGCAACATTTGAGCGGGTATTTTGCAAGTCATATTTCAAAAGCTTTGGAAATGTATTAATAACTATTTTTGTCAGAAGTTCCTCCTATAACTAGCATTTATTAGCCACTGTAATGTAGCACTCCCTGTTAGCATGCTAATGTGTGGAAATGAAAAGTCCATGCCTATTATTTTTAAAGATGGAGCATCTTTTTTTTCCTGATGTTTTACGCTGAGCTCTCACTCATTGTTGAAGGTGTAGAGTGCAACCTGTGAAACTAGACGGACAGCAGCAGCTGGAAGTCAGTCTCTCTCCAGTGGCACTGATCCTCCATTCTGTCACATGCACCAGAGGACTACTGCTTGGTCACATTTGAAACATCCCAACAGTACAGATCTGCAAACCTAAATTAGAAGAGGTGGGTTGATATAAGGTGCCATTATGAATATAGTTTTTCTATCCATTCTCAGAAACACTGAAGTCCAGTTGTATTTGCTTAGACTTGCTAAATGATTTTTCTTCATGTATTAATCGGTCTAGCAGGTAAAAGAACGACAGTCAAATAAAACACAGGGGTGATACTAAAGAGCAGCTGCAGCAGAAACAACAGCACTGGTACCGACTACACATAAAGATGTAGAACAATCCAATAAAGTCTTGTCTTTAATTAGATCAAGTTATCCAGCAAAGCAACTTGGAATAAATATGCTTGTTGCTAACAGCTAATTGTCAGATGAAGTCATGCACACTGAACTGATTCACTCTAAATCATCACTGATATTATGAACACTACATTGTTTCAATGTTAGAGCTTTAAAAAAGTTTATCCCATTTGGTTCTAAACCTCAAAAAGCATTGGTGGCAATCAGAGATGCTGCATCTATTTATACGTATCAGTTGAAACTGGAAAAATACAAATGATGGTGCAAAAGTCCTTTTATGTCAGTAATCCAGTTTAGACTGAGAGACCATCTAAAGGCTTTGCATGTGTTCTGGATTCATTAGCTGATTAGTGTGACGCTTTGTTGAACCTTTTCATAATATTGTAATTGTCTGAATTTTGATTGTGGGTTTTTCATCAGCTCTAAGCCATAATCACCACAATTATAACAAATAAAGGCTGAAATATCTGGACTTGCCTGTAACAAGTCAATATCATAAACTAGTTACACATTTTAAATTGAATTACGGACATAAAATGAGCTTTTGCACCATAATCTAGAATTTTTTGTAAGCAACAGCTTTAAATTTGTGTAGCTTCAAGAGATCCTGTGCTCTTCAGACTCCACAGATTTTATCTCGTTAATTATGACCCTCGACCGCTTTTTTTATATTCTTGACAAGTTTACTGCGACATTCCCTTTTCCCTTGAGTTAGGTTTCATGTTTTGCATGGGATGTTCCGGGTATGTTTTTCTCAAGGTGAAGCCACGTGACTTCCAGTGATACTTTAAGAGAAAAACCACTGGTGAAAATTTAAGGTATGCACTGAATCACACTTGAACAGACCATATGTAATAGACTCTGCAGAAGAGCAACACATTTTAGACTTTTAGTGAGTTCTTATAATTAGTTTCATGGTTACTTTAAAAAAAAAAGACAGTTTTGCTTTAACTTACCTTCTTAAGAAAAATCTGAACATATTAGCCAATATCTCGTCTGACAGGCTCTTATTATTCAGACTTGCTTCTCTGTATACGAGAGTTCTGATTAAACATCACTCACACATACACCACTCATCTCATTTCTCATTACACTAGATCCATCCATCATTTAGAGTAGTTAGTCTTGTTTAAAATTGTTTAAATTGTTTAGAAATAAATAATCTTAAATGTTTTAAAGGACTCTCTCTTCTCTTGTCTCTCAGTTAATCTAAAGTGTTACATAATCCCTGCAATAAAAAGTTCCAATCTTCTGGTTAAATAACCCAGCGGTCCGTAAGATTGATTTCATATTCACTATGGAATATTATGTCTCACGGGTCCTTAATTAGATGTAAATTAACTTCTTTTACATAATGGCGAGCCAGCCAGGAGAGAGGTTAAATAACCTTCGGAGGAATAGCTCCTTCATCAAGTTAGTTTTTTTTTTTTTTACAAAAGAATTTCCCTCAGTGAGATTTAAATGTTCAAAAGTACACCAACAAATATGGGAACTATCTAGGACAAACCTGGGCATTTTACGGCCCGCAGGCCACATACGGCCCTTTGGTTGACTTTGACCGGCCCGCGTAAGGTTAATTGGAAATTACAAAATAAATGTATTTTCTCATTTTACCTCATGCATGGACTTATGAGGCTCCGAATGTGCCAAAAATGTGTCTATGTATTTATATGCGTGCCTATGTATTTATAGTGAAGGCATTCATGAGAAAGCTGCAGTTTCTTTCAAGTCGACTGGAGAGCAACTCTCACTCACATGCAAACCCTGAACGAAGTCACCCCATCAGCTGATCACCTCAGCAGGTACTCATCCATGTTAGGAGCATTACATGGTGAGTTTTCAAGGCGTTTTGAAGATCTCAGAACAATCGAGGATGAAATGCACATGATTTCCTCTCCCTTTACCTGCAGTGTGGATAATGCACTCAGTGATGTGCAGCTGGGACTCATTGACCTGCAGTCTGATGCAGTACTGGCAGAGCACTTTAAGTCAGGATCTCTGCTGGATTTCTACTCTTCTCTTAAGGAGGAGAACTTTCCAAACCTGAGGAGACATGCTCAGAAGATGTTGGTTCTCTTCGGCTCTACCTACATTTTTGAACAAACATTTTCAACGATGAAGTTTACAAAATCCAGGTAAAGATCCTCTCTCACTGATGATCATTTGTCAGCTGTGCTTCGCATCTCCACCTCAGACATTCAACCTGACTTTGATGCACTCGTTAAGGCCCAGCAGAGACTAGATTTCTCTCACTGAATAAGAAAAAAATTGCTTAAAACACAAAATAAGGTGTTTGGACCAAAAATGTAGGCAACTGGCAGTGAACTGGGACACTTTTATTTGAAACCTCTTTCTCAAGATCACAGTTCAGTGATGTTATATTACAGACAATACTGTGTGTCTGTAGAATGCTAAGAACCTCTTTCCAACAATATTTGAAACTCAAAATGTGTTTTGGAGTGAATGTGACTGAAACTGTTAACTAATATAAGTCACAAATGTTTAACAAAAACCAAATGTGCACACTTTGTTTACCATTGCTTTGGGAAATTTGAATGAATCACATTTTTGTAAGCCAACCTCACTTTTTCCTTTTTGCTCATTTATAACATATAGTCTACGCTTACCAGCTTGAAAAAACAATGGTATTTACTGCTTTTTATAAAGAAAAACCATTAATATTATGCATAATTGACTTCAGCCTTTTGGCCTGGCCCTCCACAATATTTTCTGTTTCAACCTCACCACTCACTGCGTCCTGCTGACAACGGTATCGTCTTCCTGAATCCTTCTGCTTTCCTACACTATGGTTCCCTCCTGTCTGCTGCTCATCACGCCTCCTGAAAAGAGTCAGGAACCATGAGCTCAGTCGACATATTTGGCTCTCAAAAAACTAAAATAACCCTAAGTGCACCATGTTCAAACTCTAATCTGTGGCTGGAATAATAACCCATACAAAGTCGAACAAAATAACATTTAAATATGTAATGCAAAACACCCAAAACAGATAAAAACCACTTTATTTCAGTGATTATTCACAGAGACTGAAGGGAAGAAGGTTTTGTGAGATTTCACCCTCTCTCAAGCATATTTCAGTCACCTTTACCATCATTAATTCCACATTCTGCTGCAGGCACTAAGTTTCAGGAGAATACTGGACTGTACAGAGAGGGGGCTTGAAAAACCACCACACCCAGTCCAACAATACTGCAAGGCCACATGGGGCAAGAACACACAGCTGGAAAACAAAGTCCATGTACAGCTCCAGGTCAGACGCTTCAAGGACCTCCGTGTTTTGCTGAAAGGAAAACCGTGCAGAAATTTCACTTTAAATTATTTGAGCATCTCTGTTGTTCATTGTTCCACAGAAAAGTCTTTGTTCTGAATAAAATGTCTTTTTTGTAAAATAAATTATTACAGGACAATACAACATCCTGCCAGTGGTCCGCGGGAGTCAGCTCCACAAGAAACGATGGAGAGTAGAGGGCCATCTATCATCTGATCTCACCCAGGTCTTCGTGTCTCGAGGCAGAAAGAAAACAGGAAGGGCGCACTTTTGAAGACGTGAGGGTCATCATCTCACACGGAGCCGTGACATCATCCACTCTAGACCCTGACACAACCTGGAGGCAAGGAGATCGACACACAGGACCAGGGAGATGGAGGAGCGCAGATATTCAGACAGAAACACTTCATCGAGTTTTGACTTTTTATTAAAAATATAAATGTGAGTAACTGCAGTTCTCACCCCTCCCCAGTGAGGGCACAGCAGGCCTGGATGTGCCACTGGTGGTCTTTGACTGAGGTAAGCTGGAGGCTCTGAGAGATCTCAGCCACAGACATGCAGCCTTTCACATCCTGTTTGTTGGCAAATATCAACAGACCTGCCTTTCTTAAGTCCTGGACAGATCAGAGTAAAACACAAATTCAAGCTCTGGTTTGTTTTTGTTATCACAAACAGCACACGGTTCTATAAAATAACTTAGTATTCAATTTACACAGAAAAAACAAAACTATGTAGAGCCAGTAAGTAAACCCAAGATAGAACCGACACAGAAAAAATAACTAGATGTGACAAAATAGAAAACAGCTGCTCAGGACCCTCCAAGTACTATCTGGAGTTAATAATGATAATATTCAGTATGGACATTCAAGAAAAACCTTGCAGCATCATGTTGGAAACATTGGGGTCTACGTATTTTAGATACCTTAAGAAATGATCTGTTTTGAAATGTTAATAGATGCTGTGTTTCCCCTAGGAATTTTTCCAGCTGTGGTGTGTGTGGGGGGGGGGGGGGGGGGGGGGATATGACACGCCTCACCTTTATGTTAATATTGTTTTATTAGACGCACTCCACTCTGAACTGCACCAATCCAGCAACTGCTGCATTTTAATAACTAGTATTACCAATATTTGCACAAGATTATTTTTTGTTTTAAACTCTCAGTGACACACTTTGCAGGGGGGTTTGGCATTTAATTTTTCTTGGCGTCTGGAAAAGCATCTCCTTTTGCCCCCCTTTATTTGACTTTCTGCCCCCTTCATGTTGGTCTAAGATCATTACTGGGCTGGCCCTATTAAACATGTTCTACACCCCTGCTTAGTAGACTTAATGAAGTATTTTTAAGCCAGTATAAAAATGACTGAAACACAAATTTACATATTTGGCATTATTGACCAATATCTTTGATTTAATTTATTTGTTAAGATGCATTACAGTGAACATTATAATAAAGCCTAGGTCGCAGGTCGATGATAGACTTTGTAGTCGTATCATCTGAACTGAGGCCGTATGTTTTGGACACCCCAGTGAAGAGAGGAGCGGAGCTGTCAACTGATCGCCACCTGGTGGTGAGTTGGATCAGATGGCAGGGGAAGATGCCGCGTAGACCTGGCAGACCCAAATGCATAGTGAGTGTCTGCTGGGAATGCTTGGCAGAAGAACCTGTTAAGACAGTCTTCAACTCCCACCTCCGGCAGAGCTTTGACCACGTCCCGAGAGCAGTGGGGGACATTGAATCAGAGTGGGCCTTGTTCCACTCTGCAATTGTTGAGGCGGCTGTTGCTAGCTGTGGTCGCAAGGTGGCCGGTGCCAGTCGTGGTGGCAACCCCCGGACCCGCTGGTGGACACCAGAGGTTCGGGGAGCCGTCAGGCTGAAGAAGGAGGCCTACAGGGCGTGGCTGGTCTGTGGGGCTCCGGAGGCAGCAGACAGGTACTGGATAGCCAAGCGGGGTGCAGCAGTGGCAGTTGCCGAGGCAAAATCTCGGGCATGGGAGGAGTTTGGTGAGGCCATGGAGAAAGGCTATCGATCGGCTCCAAAGAGGTTCTGGCAAACTGTCCGGCACCTCAGGAGAGGGAGGCAGCAACTCACTCACACTGTTTACAGTGGGGATGGGGAGCTGCTGACGTCAACTGGGGCTATAGTCGGACGGTGGAAGGAATACTTTGAGGAGCTCCTCAATCCCACCTATGCGCATTCTGAGGAGGAACCAGAGCCGGGAGACCTGGGGATGGACTGTCCAATCTCGGAGGCAGAAGTTGCTGAGGTAGTCAAACAACTACACAGCGGCGGAGCCCCGGGGGCGGATGAGATTTGTCCTGAGTATCTCAAGGCTATGGATGTTGTAGGGCTGTCATGGTTGACACGTCTCTGCAACATTGCGTGGTCATCGGGGGCAGTTCCTGTGGAATGGCAGACCGGGGTGGTGGTCCCCATCTTTAAGAAGGGTGACCTGAGGGTGTGTTCCAACTATAGGGGGATCACACTCCTCAGCCTCCCTGGAAAGGTCTACTCCAAGGTACTGGAGAGGAGGGTCCGATCGATAGTTGAATCTCAGATTGAGGAGGAGCAATGTGGTTTTCATCCTGGCCGTGGAACTGTGGACCAGCTCTATACCCTTGCAAGGGTGATGGAGGGGGCATGGGAGTTTGCCCAACCAATCCACATGTGTTTTGTGGATTTGGAGAAGGCTTATGACCGTGTCCCCAGGGGCACCCTGTGGGGGACGCTCCAGGAGTATGGGGTGGGTGGCCTTCTGTTAAGGGCCATTCAGTCCCTTTACCAGAGGAGCGTGAGATTGGTCCGCATAGCCGGTAGTAAGTCGGACCTGCTCCCAGTGAGGGTTGGACTCCGCCAGGGCTGCCCTTTGTCACCGGTTCTGTTCATTACCCTTATGGACAGAATTTCTAGGCGCTGCGTGGTGTGGAGTAGGGCCCGACCGATATATCGGCCGGCCGATATTATCGGCCGATATAGGGGCCATTAACACTATCGGCTATCGGCCAAAAAGACGGCCGATATGGCCAATATTGCTCTACCTATCCAGCAGATGGCGCCAGCTTTATGAACTCATGTTGTGTGGCTGCACTCCTCGGGGGGTGGAGCCACCGTCACAGCACACATGCAGCGGAGCAGCAGAAGCAATTCAGTCAAGCAGAGACGACGGTGATGAGGAAGTAGGAGGTAAGTCTTCAGTTTTAAGCATATTTGTTGTGTCAGTGGTAAGTTGAACGGTAAAATAAGCAATGACAAAAGTATGTTTCCCCTCAACATGCTTCCTACGTTTATTGTGTGCCTCGTGGCCTCGTATTGAAAAGTTAACCTGAAAAAATAAAATGAAACTGCAGCAGCATTACGCTCTATGCAGAGCTCACGCTGCTTCCCCTTTTTCTGCTGGCCTTTTTCTGGTAGACATTCTGGAATATTCTCAGACAATTTCCTCCGCTCTTCAGCAGTCTTTTCAAACTGACGCGGTTCATCCGTGGCTCGCGAAAAAAATAGTGCAGACGCCGAAATGATCGCTGCACGGCTGGAGCGCCTAAGCACTGCAGAATAGGATAACAAGGGCGTCTCAATGCGGTAGTGGGTCTCCGTTTCGCGGCGCTTCGGCGGCATACGACCGTTGCCGCAGCTGAGGACGGGCGAGGGGGGGTTGGCAACAAAGCAATGAAACGCTGTGCAGGGAGTCCCCCCTCCTCTCCCTAGCTGGGAGAGGAGTAGGGGCGGTAATACGAGAAAATAAACATTCCTCTCTACAATAGAATAAATCTATTGTATTTTTCAGCCTTATATTTTACATAAGGCTTATACATTGCCACATACTAGTCATTTAACGTATCTTATTTTTATTTTCCTAATACTGTCGGCTTTGGAAAGGATCAAAACAAATAAGTGTAAAACTCAAAAGTATTTTAATGCCAAAAAACAGGTAGCTAGGACGCTGAAACTAGCAGAGTATGACTGAAACTGAACCGTATGCACTGAGGAGTGAGAGATGACAGAGGACTAGTTATGAGGAGGAGCTGTGAGTGGGAGCAGAGGACAGCAGGGGAACATAGGAGGAACTATAAATGAAAATATTTTTAAAGAAGAATCCTAAAAGGGAAAGAAGAATAACTAGGAAAAAAAACTGACAACAAACGGAGTAGAAAATTCAGTGGAAGGAACAAAAAAAAAAAGAAAAAAAAAGACTTGAATACTAAATGAGAAAACCTTAACAGCTGGGGAACCAAACAAAAACAGAGCCATTGGTTTTGAGCCACAATGCCTGATATCATTTATTTACATGATAATATTTTACTTTGTCTTGGTATCAACAGATATATAACTGTACTTTTATGCAGATTATTTTATTACAGATGGAAAAAGAGGGTCGAGGTAAGGTGTGGGCCTACTTCACTAAAGATCCATCCGGTGATGTCATCTGCAGCATCTGCTCATCTTCAGTAGTAGTTTGTGTGTTCTGTTGTTTTTGAGATTGCAAAATAAATCTTATTTGCATTACTTGGAAACCCTAATGAGTTATTGAGACAGTTCTTTGGTGTGTAATATAGAAATAAGTTAGCATCAAAAAGGCAGAGAATGAAGGGTTTAATCTTAAGAACATTTGTATTAATTTTTTTGTGAGGGAGATTTATCGGCCATTATATCGGCTATCGGCCTTTGTTAAAAGTTTTATATCGGTATCGGTCCCAAAAAAAGCATATCGGTCGGGCCCTAGTGTGGAGTGTGTCGAGTTTGGTGGCAGGAGAATCTCGTCTCTGCTTTTTGCGGATGATGTGGTCCTCCTAGCTTCATCCAGCTCTGACCTTCAGCTCTTGCTGGGTAGGTTCGCGGCCGAGTGTGATGCGGCTGGGATGAGGATCAGCACCTCCAAATCTGAGACCATGCTTCTTGACCGGAAAAGGGTGGCTTGCCAACTCCGGGTCGAGGTAGAGGTCTTACCTCAAGTGGAGGAGTTTAAGTATCTCGGGGCCTTGTTCACAAGTGAGGGTAGGAGGGATCGGGAGATCGACAGGCGGATTGGTTCAGCGTCTGTAGTGATGCAGACGCTGAGCCGATCTGTCGTGGTGAAGAGGGAGCTGAGCCAGAAAGCCAGGCTCTCGATTTACCGGTCGATCTACGTCCCAATCCTCACCTATGGTCATGAGCTGTACGTCCCAATCCTCACCTATGGTCATGAGCTTTGGGTAATGACCGAAAGAACGAGATCGCGGATACAAGCGGCCGAAATGAGTTTCCTCCGTAGGGTGGCCGGGCTCAGCCTTAGAGATAGGGTGAGGAGCTCGGACATTCGGGAGGGACTCGGAGTAGAACCGCTGCTCCTCCAAATCGAAAGGAGCCAGTTGAGGTGGTTTGGGCATCTGGTCATCCAATTTGGTCCGGGAACGCCTTGGGGTCCTGCCGGAGGAGCTGGTGGAGGTGGCCAGGGAGAGGACGGTCTGGAGCTCCCTTGTTCGGATGCTGTCCCCGCGACCCGGACCCGGATAAGCGGAGGAAGACGACGACGACGATTATAATAAAGTAAATTGTTCTAGTGCAGAGAGGAGACAACCCATAGAAGCATTTGATCTGATTTCAGAGAAACATAGAACAGGTTAGATGCACCTAATAAATAA